CAATTTAATTCGTTTTTTGGATGCAAATAAATTAATTTATTTGCGTATCTGCATAGTATTTTTGTGTATTTATTCACTATTTTTATTGCAAATTTATTACGTGCATAAACTCATAAAAAATTCTGACGGATTTTTTTTACTTCTGGAGTCATCGTCACGTCTGTGAAAATTCAGAAGACACAAACATTAATCGAAAAAACTTATATGACGTTTTGTTGGAAATTCAGCTACATTTATCAAAAAAGTTTTCAATTATTGGACAAGTTTGAGCAAAGTTATGAACAAAAGTATAGAGTGACACTCACTGATGTTCGCCACTGTACGTACCGTATACACTTTTCATAAACCACTCTCTAACCTTCGTTTTCAGACAGCAACAATATAAATTGAGATCTTTGTAAAGATTCAAATGTGAGAAATAAATTACTTGTATATTCGTTTTTTATATTTCGGTACTTTGTGCATATTTAAACTACAACTGTGCCAGCAAATTTATCTGGTTCACAAAAAAAGACCAGTATAAAAAGCTAGTTTCTTGGTTATTCAGACACAGTTAGCTACATACTTTTTGCCGGAGCTCTGGCTTCAATAATGTTAGAGTAATTTTCAGACTTTTAGAGTTGTCAATTGTACACTATTTTTAGAATCTCAAAGTTTCTCAGTGATTTGTTCCCAAACAACGAGTCCCACATTCCTGAAAATTGGTAGTCTTTTTTTTCTCAAGCACACCATCTTACTTTTTACAACTACTCTGTATTCAGACACAACAACCAATACAATGATTGAGTCCATAATTGGATAAACACTAATGGCACTAAAAACTCCTCCTGCTGGGAAACTGCATTCAATACCAAAGAATGGTAGGTACATTATTATAACCAATGGAGAAAATAAGAAGATAGTAGGACATGTGATCTGGAATAGCAATAAAAATTTTGTACTGAAAAACCTGTAATAGAAGGGCCCCGACACGGTCAAGTTTAAGTTAATTTTTCTCGGTTCCTGTAAATGCTATTAAAAATAAATCAACTTATAAAAAACTTCTGAAACGACGATGATAAAGAACTTAGCATCCACCATCCCAATGTGGAACGCCATAACTGCCAATACTACCCAATTCCTTACCCCTTCACAATTTGAAGATCTTATTGATGCTTCTATTACTCGTTACTAATCACATTCCTTTTTTTAATCTCATGTTCTCTACTGTATATTATTCCCTTCATTCCTTTTCCATTAGTAGGCGCTCCTCGTGAGGGGGGCTGCCTCTCTCTTATGTTTTCTTATATGTCACCGTCTGCAAATAAATAAATCTTAATCTAAAAATCTAAATCAGTTGACAACTTTTTCATATTATTGACTGGAACCGATAAAATTGGCTCAAAGTTAAAAGTCAGAGGCCCTCCTATTACAGGGCTTACAGTACCTGGAAAACTAATGTTCTAAACAACTGGCGATGATGACGTTTCAATGTGTTTGAAAAACTTTGCATCGTTTGCTCCATCTTCGCATGCATATTCCACCCACAGTACACCATGATACCATATTGCATGGTCATTATGAATGACAATGAAGCGGTGTACATTACTGAGTTCCAACGGATAGATCCGTCTTTAGGATGGAAATACAAAACTGAAAGAATTGGAACTCTTTATAGTGAAGGAGGGGGGGGGGGGCGTTTGGAACAATAAAGCTTACCATAAAAAGCCGGGATATCCTCAATCGCAACATTATAACCAAAACGCATATCCTGTTGGAAGTAGTCTTTAGTATCCTGGTCCATTTGGAGTAAAAAGTAACTGCCGATGCACCATGAAAAACCAAAAACGAAGCAGTAGACGAACCAAATGATAAATCGGAATCCTGTGAAGTAGATCATATAATGAAGGCTGAAAAAAATTTCTAAAAATATATTAGAGACCCGCACAACCCAATAAGTGCCCAGTATCGATAAATAAATTGAACCGCCAACAGAGAAATAGTTAATGAATAGATTCCTGCGTAGGCTGCTGTAAAGTTATCCACTTTATCCCAGAATTGAGAAACAACCCGTTCTCTCACCCAGAACCATATTCATTGTCTTTTTACTCAAACCAAACGCAGATGACAAAGCGAAATATACCAATCCGCTATTGTAAAAATGAAGATTTGGTTTGAACAACGCCTCAGTGAATGCTAAGACAACACTCAAACTGGTGAAAATGACCATCAGGTATTTATAGGTTCCAAAGATTTTTCGCACACCGAAAAGGGTGAGAACTATTACAATCAATCCGATGGTTAAACTTGTGAAAAATGCGAAAATTCCAAAGTTTAGAGTAATCGATGAGAGGAGGTAGCTGGTAGGCATTATTTTTTGTAGTGAATAATGAAAAATGAAATACATGTTCTCGCTAAATCATGTGAGTTTGCAATTTCCGGTAGACATTACATTTCTGATGATCAACGATTATTAATTGTTGGAAACTGAGCAAAGTTGAGTCAGAAAACCTTATGGTACAAAAAACAATACAATATTAGAGGTGGTGAATTTTTAAAATCTGCATTTCCAACTTGAATGGTCGATTGAGCTGTCACCAGTGCTCCACAATCCCCCCTTTTCAATGATCTCCCGAAGACTGATAAGACAATAATGTAGTGATTGTTGGCAATATAGCCTGATACGGAGAGAGAGAAAAAAGGGATACAATATTTATTTATCAAAAATTGCCATGGGCCAAATCATATATTTGTTTGGGTGAATTAAAATATTCAAACACTTTAATCATCTCCAAATCATCTTGCATCTTTTTCGTATTTTTATACAAATCAGGTAAAAGACTCATAATTCCGGCTACACGGACAGCTGGGTCCTCGATGTTTTTGAAATTTCTCATATAGAACGACAGTTCTTTAACTATTTGATCCTTTATCGATTTTCCGATTTTAGAACATTCTTCTGTGATTTCCGCGAGAGTGGTGTTCCAGAGAATAAAATTAGTTAAGGCGAAAAATTCTAAAATATCCAGATTCTCTAACATCATTGGTTGGACAAGGGTTCGGCGGTGAGTTTCGAAAGTTGGCTTCAAAAATCTGAAATTTTCAGAATATGAAGTTAAATTTTTTGCTTCAATGCTCCCTAACTCGATTCTAGCTGATTCAATGTCTTGGAAATTTACAGAATTTCTCAATCAAAGATAGATCTTCATTTTTGTAGTTTTTGTCTTCTTTGTAAATCCATATACTGGCAAGAGGCGATGTGGAGTGAGCCGTAGTACGTACTAGTGTCTCCCTAGTTCCAGCAGGCATATCTCGTTTTGTTGGATTTTTATGAAAAAGTTGTCAACTACAAAATTGAAGATCTAGGTTTGTTTGTTAAAATTTGTTGGATTAAAGGAGGCCAGACAGGAAAGTCTACAGGGTATTCTCGGGGCGAGATCATGTATTTTGACGGAAAATCGTGCGATTGCGACCCAATGCGCGCTACTTGACGAGCATTTATTTTTTTTGTATACACTAAATTGGTTCAATGTTAGGCAATTATTCCCGACTTTTTTTTAGTTATTCTGTCATTCTATGATGTCGCCGCATGAAAACAGAAAAAAAAAACAAAAACGGACATATGGGAGTCGAACCCGCGATGTCCTGGGTCCTGGGCGCGCAAACGCCATGGATGGGCGATGGAGGACGCGCCGATGAATTGGGTACAGCGAAAGGGCGCCGATATGAGCCATATACGAGGCATATGGGGCACACAGCCGCCGCAAAGCATCTTCTCGCCTCGCTTGCTGGCACTCGATAAAATGAATAAAAACGTTCATTAGGGGTTCCTAGCGGTATCAGTTAAGTTCTATTGTGATGTGATTCTGTTTCAGCTCTTCCAGTTTCGTACGTTTTATTCATTACTCCCTCTATTTTTTATATATTTCGACTGAATTATTTCTACTTTTACGAAACTCGATGATTCTTTCTCAAAAAAGACTTATGGCATTTTTCAAGGGAGTTATGGTTTGGTGTCCGTTGTTATTTTCTAACTGTATCAAATATCACAAAACTAGAATTTTGAAAATTTTCATGTCTGGCCTCCTTTAAACTTTTTCAAAACTCACTCTAAAAACTGTTCCTTCGTCAGTTTTTGATTAACCTCAACATCCTTATAAAACGATTTCAAATCGCTCATATCTGCGTAGTTTCCAGATGGAAAGATGTAAATATCAGGTCGATTCTTTGAATGACTAGAAAATGCGCTTTCCAATATGAAAAATGGTGTATAGAAGTTGCGGAACAGAATGTGCTGAAAAATTCTAATCTTTTAAACTTGTTGGCGTAACAGTTAAGTTTCATTGGGATGTGATTTTATATTCCCGACCGGAAATACGTATTTTGAAGTTTTTTTCAAATCTTACTTTCTGATCTATGGGAAGCATTGCGAAGTCATCAAAACAGCAAGCAATCCAATCAGCTGTCAAAGAAACGCCTTGACTTCCCTCATCCACTGCTTCTTTATAAGTTGACGGCACCGCAACTTGCTCTTTAAACAAATTTTGGCCGTTCTTGTTATGTATGACACGTCTGGCACTCAATAGTTTTTCATAATTGGCTCTCATTTTTGATAGAAGAGGCATGGAATCTTTGTAAGACTCAGGGAGGACAGGTGAAAGTGAGAGTTGAGAATTTGAACATGCCGGGACGTCCTCTGTATTGGAGTCGGTTTTTAGTTGAACACCCATTGGATTCATTCCAGCTTGAAGGCATTTTGAGAATCGACACGCACGACAAATGCAACGAACCCCTGAAAAAGTTGATATTGTTTTTGAGATTTTTATAGGCACGAGAAGCTGACCACACCATCTTCAAGAAATTCCCGTTTGAAATTTTGTTTTATTTAAAGCTCAATTATTACAACACTTTGAGTTATTTAAAACCAGTTGGCTGGTGCGCCTTCGCGATACAACTCTTTCTTGAAAGGAAATCTAGGACAAATCGCGCCAAAGACGAGCCAGCCAGCTGTTTGAAGCGCCAGCGGCAAGAGCTTTTCAATACCTACATTTTACTATTTACAAGGGAACCACTCCATATGTTACCCGGGGATTCAGATGAAACCTATGCTAAATAGTAGTACACAGCCTGACTAGAAAAATCCCAAAATTATAGCTGCCGTCGTGAAGGTCTATTCAAATGGCGAGGCATTTTATGATTTTTCGTGAGTTCGGATTCGGTACCCTTCGGGAAACCATAACTTTGTTAATTTTCATGGTGTGCATTCAAACTTTTTTTTATTTAAAAGGTGATAAATTGGCAAGATTTAAAAGGTGATAAATTATCACCTTTTAAATAAAATAAGTTTGAATGCCCCCCATGAAAATTAACAAAGTTATGGTTTCCCGAAGGGTACCGACTCCGAACTCACGAAAAATCGTAAAACGCCTCGCCATTTGAATAGACCTTCACGATGGCAGCTATAATTTTGGGATTTTTCTAGCCAGGCTGTGTACTACTATTTAGCATAGGCTTCATCTGAATCCCCGGGTAACATATGGAGTGGTTCCCTTGTTAGACAAATAAAATATCAATTTTGATGAAAATAAAACGCTTTAAAAAACTCACCCATGGTCACATCACAGTTGGCATTCCCTCGACACTGGAAAGTTTTCTTCAACTGTATACATCTTCGGAAAAATGCGGTGCAGGCTCTGAAAATTATTAGAATTCGAGCTGTATACACAGTCAAAAAATACTGACTTGCAAGCCTCGGCTCCAAAGTGAAAGCCATCTCCGACTCCTAAACAAATTGCACATTTTGATTCCAATTTTGGCGGTGGCATTTTTTGCTTTCGAATTTCTATAAAAATAAAAATCCATTATATAGAAAAATCATTATCAAGTGAAATAGAAATTAGATGATTCTTATGGGCAATTGGTTTGTAGTTTGTAGTTTTTCTTTTGTTTGGAGATAAAAGAAAACATAGCGTAGTGTATCGAGAGACGTTTAGTGATTGATAAAAAACTTTCATTGGGAAGAAACAGTGTAGGAAAAGAGGAGAGCGGAATGAGAAAAACACGTGACGTGTCCGAGACAGACGGACACACACACACACACACACAGAACAGTTTCCTTACTATTAGTAAGAAGTAGATTGGTTTTTGAAAAGTTTTATTTTTTTTGAAAAATTTGTGTAACATTTATTTTTTTCAGATTTTCTCAAATTTCCGAATTTTCAGGAATTTTTAACCGTCCTGAAATATACTAAATTGTTTTCTTATTATTACGAAGTTCTCAGAATTTTCTAGAATTCCTAAAACTTCAGGTATATAGTTCTTCTACTGCAAAACTATTGAAAAATGAGTTTTCGTCGTTTTAAAGATATTTTTAAATTCTTGAAATTCTGTCTTCAACTCTTCTTCTCGAAATACCAAAAAGAAGATTGAAAAGAGAGTGCATTCCTACAGAGCAATATGTGCTCAGGGTATTCGCAAAAAAAAAAAAGAAGACGAGAGATTGTGGAAAAGGAGGAGAGTCCAGAAATACCGTCCGCTCAGCTGATTTTTTCTTCTTTTTTCTTTCTATATTTCTACTCCTCTGACTCTAACCGGATTTTTCAATACTCGAAGGATGATTTTTTGAAGAAAAAATATGCTATGTATCATTCTTTCTTTCTGATTATAATCTGGTTTTTCGAGTCTCTATTTTTTCTTGATTTTGTAATTTTTATTTTTTATCAACGGCTGGGACCCTTTTGTCTCGATTTGCTTATTAAAGAAGGACGAAAGTTCTGACTCTTGAATAAAAAATGCTTTCGATAAAATTTTAATAACGCATGTATTATGTTAGAGCAAAACCAAAACAAATTATGTGTATGCAATATATTAAAAAACAAACCAGAACAAAACAAGTTAAGATATCTTCGCAAATCTATCTGAAGACTGAAATTTTAACGGAGCAAGAAACTTCCAAAAATCTGAAACCCAAACGATTATGCTTTTGAAATCTGAAAGTTCAGAATCACCCAGTACAGCTCTGATCTGGCTGAAGACTCCCCAAGGCATGTATGTTTTCCAACACCAAACGATATTTCTGGAGAAGTGACTCATCCCGAATGTATCTTTCTGGATCGAGTTTTTCGGAATCTTCGAAGGGCTGTTTCATGGTTAATTCTCAAGAAGTCGGAAACATGATCGAAGCGTGACATTAAATTTCTGCGATAATTGCGTCCAAAATTTTCCAAATCTGAAAGTTCTGGACCAAGAAAGCAACCCAAAGTCATTCCCTGTTTCCCAAGATTTCCAATTCACAAGATTTCTAAAGTTGAAACCAATGCGACAGTTAATCTCCATCCCGTCGAGACTCGCAAAAGTTCCTATGATTTTACTAAGATTTATCAAAGATTTGAATTTCATTGTAACATTTTTTTTTGTTATTTCAAGAAGCCTTGCAACACTTTGGACTCCAGAAAAAAACTACAGAAATCACAGATTTGGGAACTTTGGTACTAGGAGTCAGAGATTTCGCAACTTTTCAATATTGAAATCTCCGAATTTCAGAATTTGAAATTCCAGGAATCATTTTTTTTCAAACTTCAATATTTCCAAACAAAAACTATTTTTTTTCGAATTCTAAGTATTCTAAACTTCCAATATTTCAAGTATTCAATATTTCAAGTAACTTTTTTATCAAATGAAACACCGGACCCTGATTTTTTCAAATATGGTTTTTCCTTCATCGTAGTTTCAGAGCAACCAAAACATCAATTTCAACATCATCCTCTATTTCTCTCCGGTTTTAAAATTCACGCGTTTTAAGTGAAGCCAGGAGATTGTAGCCGCCGATAGGCGGCGGAAATCGACTGGTTCAAAAATAATTAAACAATTTATACATTTACTTGAAATCATTGTTCTTCTCATCCCCTTGAATTTTCAACAGGAATGGATATAAACTTGCAGATTGTTCTCATCGACAGAATACTGTCCTGATTTCATTTCGACATACAGTACTGGCCATAAAGAATGCGTCGACACTGTCGACTCAACAGTTTTTTTTACAGTAACTTCATTCAAAATAGAGCTAAAGTGTCAAACGTTTTGTAAAATGTAGCAAATAACCCTAGAAAAAAAATATTCTGAAACATTTTTACACAAAAAACGGAAAACAACTTTTTTGGCGACAAAATTCTTTTTTTTGGAAAATTTCGGGTTTTTGGAGGTTTTTTTTTCATAAATTCGGAAAAAATAGAAGACAATGATGAATAATTTTTTAAATCAAGTTCAAAATTAATTTTACACATTCATAATCGTCAGATTTTTTGAAAACAAAAAAAAATCCAAAAATCCGAAATTTTCCAAAAAAGTGAATTTTGATCAGAAAAGTTTCCGTTTCCTGGGTAAAAATGCTCCAGAATATTTTTATAGGGTTATTTGCTACATTTTACAAAAAAGTTGGACGCTTCAGCTCTATTTTGAAGAAAGTTACAGTCCTGTCGACGCATTCAAAGGATGCCAGACACCAAAAAAAAAAATTTTCCTGATATTTTGCATAGAGAACCCCCATGAGGGGTTGAACTCATGACATGCAGCTCAGGGGTACAGCGCCGCTACCGGCTGAGCTACGAGGGCGCGAAGTCTGGAAAAGCTTCAACGTCTAATCTCACCTGATTTCCGCTTCTTCTGAAACAAATTCAAATTTTTAAAATGATTGTTAAGAACACCGTATCCTTGAGTATAAGTGTCTCACGGTCATTTTTACTATTGGAGGACGCTTGGGGCATCGTCCAAGATCAAATTTTTATACCTGAAAAACATAACAAACACAGTCGTCTAGATAATTACTAATTTATTATAAAAGATAATTAAAATACGAGTGAATTTAAATTCTTAAAAGATAAAGATAATAAGAGGTAAATGATTACAATATAACTAAGGACTAGATAAAATATAGAAACTAAATGAGAGATGATTAAAAGAGATAGAGAGATTAAGTTAAGAAAATAAACATAAAAGAATAAAACGGAATAAACATGAACTAAAGTTCTGGTGAGAAAAGGAGAGCAACCTTAGGGACCGCCGCTCCTCATCTCGTTTCCTGCCAGACTGAGGCGCTGCTCTTGGTCCCTTGTTTCCAGCCCGCGACACTACCAGTGAGTATTAATTTGGCATTCACAGAAGCCTTATCCAAAATAGGTTTTTGTTTCACTAAAAAACATTTTTTTCAGTTAAAAAATATTTCCAAAAAATACAATGACAAAATAATAACAGCTCCTACTGGGACGTCGTCCTCGTCATTTCGATTAGAAACAATAAATGAAGAGCGAAACTTAACAAAAATCACATTTTCAGATTCAATTTTCAAAAACCAGACTTTGTTAGATAGAAATCCTGTAAGAAATGGTAGTCCGTATAAATCAATCAATGATTGCTCAGCGTTGAAATCGTCCAATTTTATTTGACAGTTTTCCATGTGTGGGAGATTTAAGAACGCCTGAAAAGAAACTAATTGAAACACACTTCTTTTAGTTCTGCAACCATTTTTTTTGTAAAATTATAGTTTTATTTTCTATGCAGACTTTTTTTTGAGATGCTTGAGATTGAGTGAAGGAGTATCACGAAACAGTTTCGCCGATTGAAATTCTTTGATAGTTTTCATTGCTCAGAAAAATGTTTCGGGAAATTTTCCAGTCATTATTTTTCTAGATTTCTCAAATTTTCAACCATTTTTTGCTTTTTTATTAGTTATTCAAACAAATTCGTTGGACAATTTTGAGAAATGAAAAATAATAGATAAATCCTAAATTGAGAAAAACAGGCAAAAAAGCACTTAAAACCAACTTCCCATTTTTTCCCGATTTTTTCGAAAATTCCCGAATAATAAATTCGGGAAAAATTTCAAGAACAAAACTTTCCGGAAAAGATCTCCGGGAAATTTTTCGGGTACCCGATTTCTCGAAAAAAAATTTCTTTAAGATTTTTCCAAACCAGTATGGTCTCACCCAAGTAGAAAAAATAGGTTTTTTCTCAATTTCAAAAATCGTCTAGCCTATGAAAAAATTCTCTAGTTCCTCTAGCGCGTGTAGTCTTTCTAGCACTTAACAGCTGATAAGACGCCAGTGTTTGATCAAGAGACCCAATAACAACCTTCTATATAAACCAATGGATAAGTTGGTCAACTTGAAAAATGTTCTTAATTTTGCTAGTTTCTGTCTTTCTCGCTTGGTTAGTCGTAAGACAATACCAGAAAGTGTCAAGACTTCCACCTGGACCAGTTTCTCTTCCACTAATCGGAAATCTACCGCAAATTGTGTATTATCTCTGGTCAACAGGAGGAATTGTACCAACTTTCGATCTTTTTAGAAAGGTTTTGAAGTTTTTAAATACGTCTCGAGTATTCTGAATTTCAGCGATATGGAAACATTTTCACATTGTGGCTCGGTCCAATCCCCTATGTGAGCATTGCCGACTACGACACTGCTCATGAAGTGTTTGTGAAAAATTCCAACAAATACGCCGACAAGTTTATTGCTCCCCTGTTCCAAGCGATCAGAAGTGAGGATTACTGTACTAAAATAATTAAAAACTATGTCACTTGTTCAGACGATAAAGGAGTAGCGGGAACAAACGGAGAACATTGGCAAGAAATGAAGAGATTTGTATTGCAAACATTCAGAAATATGGGAGTTGGAAAAGATGTCATGGAGCTGAAGATTATTGAGGAGTTGGATGCAAGGTATGTCATATCCTATTGTAGAAATACATAGTATGTGAGCCTTTTGAATCTTCATACCCTTCGTAAACTAAAACATAACTTTCTCAGATGCGCGGACATTGACAAAGCCGCTGTGAATGGAGTCACCATCACACAAGCCTCTGATTTCTTCGATTTGACCGTTGGAAGTATTATCAACAATATTCTAGTTGGAAGACGATTTGATGAAGATAACAAAGAAGAGTTTTTTAAAGTTAAACATTCTGCGGACTCCGCTATTGAAATTGTGTCTCTTTTCGACATGATGCTGCCAGTATGGGTTTTGAAGACATTCTTCAAAGCGCATTATGATACTGTTATCAATTCCAATGAAGAGACTAGAGACTTCGTGGGAAAAGAAGCGGAAATTAGGTGAGATCAGATGTCGAGAATTATTATAATTGTTGTGTTCAGAGATAATCAAATAAAATCAGGCAAGTATTCTATCGATGAAAACAACGTCAAAGACTATACTGATGCATTCCTGTTAAAAATCCAAAAAGATGGAGAGAACAAAGATTTCAAGTGAGTGTATGAAGTGTTGATTATTTTTGAACATACAATTTCCAGTATCGAGACTCTCAAAACTATGATCGTTGACTTGTGGACTACTGGACAAGAGACTACTACAACAACTTTGATTTCTGGATTCAACCAGCTACTCTTACATCCTGAAGTTATGCACAAGGCCAGATCAGAACTGATGGAAATCACTGAAAATGGATCTCGTAACCTCAGCTTAACCGATAGACCCAAGACACCATACCTCAACGCGATGATTGGAGAAATTCAACGGCTCGCTTCAATCCTGAACATCAACTTCTGGAGAATCAACCATGAACCAACTTATATGGGAGGACATATGGTGGATTCTGGAGCACTGGTTGCAGCTCAATTGAGTGCTCTTCATATCAACGAAACTGTTTTCGAAAATCCAGAGAAATTTGATCCAGAAAGATACATTCGTGATGAACCACTTCTCCAGAAAATTATACCTTTTGGTGTTGGAAAACGTGCATGCCTTGGAGAGTCGCTGGCCAGAGCAGAACTGTACTTGGTGAGTTGAAATATTCAGATTTCATAAGCATTATTGTTTTTGTTTCAGATTTTTGGAAATCTCTTGCTCCGTTATAATTTCAAACCACACGGAAAACTGTCGACCGCTGACGTTTTCCCGTATAGTTTTGCCAAGAGACCATTCAAGCTGGAGATGCAATTTGTGAAAATTAGATCGTGAAATAAACATTTTGGATAAATTACGGTTCGTTTTGTATTTTCTGCAATAAATCTCATTTGTCGCTGTGATTTATGTTGTATAATACAACTTGTATTCAAACTACAAATACTGCCGCTATTTTTTCTGGACCACATGACACTAAATAACAGGTTAAGAGATCATTGAGGTTTATCAGTGAGTCAGAGACAGTTAGCTCCGATAGATTCATCTCTTGGATGAAAATACAAAACTGGAAGATTTGGAATTTCAGCTCTTTATGAAGTAGCGTAACACAATACTCAGGCTTGTAAGAAGACAATAAGATATTCATAGGTGCCAAAGATTTTCCGAACAGTGTGTGAACTATTACAACATTCCAAAGGCTAAACTTGTCAAAAAATGTGAAAATTCGAAAATTTAGAGTAATTGATGAGAGGTAGAGATAGTTGGTCGGCATTATTCGTTGTAGTGAATAATGAAAAATGAAATACATGTTCTCGCTAAATCGTGTGAGTTTGCAATTTCCGGTAGACATTACATTTCTGATGATCAACGATTATTAATTGTTGGAAACTGAGCAAAGTTGAGTCAGAAAACCAGTTAGTTAGTTGGCATTAATTTTCGTAGTGAATAATGAAAAATGGAATGCATTTTGTACCTGAATAATGTTCCGGTAGACATTGTATTTCTGGTGATAAGACGATTAATGAACGTAAAACACTGAGGACAGCTATGGTAGGAAAAATATGAGTCAGAAAATCTTTATGTGCAAAAAATACACAGTCGAAATACAGTACGGTTAAACTTTAATAAACTGCATTTCCAGTTTGAATGGTCGTTTTCCAGCACTATACGGCATGATCTCTCTGGTTGACAGCTCGCCATGTGGTTGGAATTTATATCGGAGTAGGAGGTTTCCGAAGATCTGAGAAAAAACTTTAGTTTTTCTTTATAAGTCTGTGGACCTACCAAATAAAGTTCGGATCTTGCCAATGACTCCCCGAGACATGAACGCTTTCCTAAACCAAATGGTATCACTTTTTGAAGAAGCTTCTCATCCCTTATGAATCTTTCTGGATCGAATTTCTCTGGATGTTCAAAAACTGTTTCATTGACATGAAGAGCGCTCAATTGAGCCGTCACCAGTGCTCCGGAATCCACCATATGCCCTCCCATATAGGTTGGCTCATTGTTCCATCTCCAGAAGTTGACATTTAGAATCGAAGCGTGACGTTGAATTTCTCCAATCACAGCGTTCAAGTATGGTGTCTTGGGTCTATCGGATAAACTGACGTTACGAGATCCATTTTCAGTTATTTCGAACAATTCTGCTCTAGCCTTTTCCATGAATTTAGAATGTAGGAGGAGCTGGTTGAAACCGGAAATCAGAGTGGTTGTGGTAGTTTCCTGTCCAGTAATCCACAAGTCCAAAATCATTGTCTTCAAGGATTCAACACTAAAAAATAAAGCTTTTTTCGACTAAGTCTTCAAGTAAGCCTACTTGTAGTCCTCATTCTCTCCATCTTTCTGCATTTTCCACAAAAACGCATCGGTATAGTCTTGGAAGTTGTTCTCATCGATCACATACCTTCCAGCTTTGATCTCATCGATTCTGAAAAAAATTATTTTGAATTTCTGATAGCGTATCTCACCTTTCAATAAAGAATCTCACCTTTTCAATGCTTCCTTTGCCGCGAATTGCTTCGAACTCTCTTGACCATTTCTCATTTTTTCGAAACGTCTTGGGAAGAAGTTTTTCAGAATCCACACTGGCATTGTCATATCAAATGGAGAAAATGTTTCAAAAGAAGCATCCATGACTTCCTTGATTTTGAGAAAATCATTTTTGTTGTGTTCCTCGAATCGCTTGCCAACCAGGATACTGTTGATGATACTTCCTACGGTGAGATCAAAGAATTCTGCTGCTTGGGTAGTGGTGACTCCGTTTACAGCGGCTTTGTCAATGTCAGCACATCTGTAAGTGTGGCATGTAATATTTTGAGACTCGTGTCAGTTAAGGAAATGTAGGAATATTTTGTTTGCCAAAGGTTAAACGCCAGAGGGGCCGCTCACCTGGCATTCAACTCCTCCATTATTCTCGTCTCCATCAAATCCTTTCCCACTCCCATATTCCTAAACGTGAACAGCGCAAACCGTCTCATCTCCTGCCAATGATCCCCATTTGCGGTCAGAATTCCAATGTCTTCTGGAAATTCAAAATTTAAAAATTATTTTTTTTCTGACCTCTTACTTCTCATCTCTCGGAAAATCGGCGAATGAAATTTGTCGGCATACTTGTTGGCATTTTTTACGAAAACCTCGTGTGATGTTTCGTAATCGGCAATGCTCACATGAGGGATTGGACCAACCCACAAGGTAAAAATGTTTCCGTACCTCTGAAATTAGCAGAATTGAGGCATAATTTGAAAAATGCAAAACCTTTCTGAAAAAATCCAAAGTCGAAACGACTCCTCCGGTTGTGTATAGATAGTAAACAATTTGCGGTAAATTTCCAATTAGTGGAAGAGAAACTGGTCCTGGTGGTAGTCGGGATACTTTCTGGTACTGCCTTACGACTAACCAAGTTAGAAAAGTGAAAACAATTAGAACAAAAAACATGTTCAGTTCTTTATGTTTGAATTTTTCGGTCGCATGTTTATATACAAGACGGATGGTGTTGTCTACTGATAAGAAAAGGAAAAAAAAACGTTGTTATCAGTTGTTTTAACTCAAAAAGCTATAACTGCTACAGTCAGCAGAAAATATAATCGAATGATTGAAGGATTGTATGAGAGCGAGGAAAGTTTGGTCTTTGAAAATGCCAAAGATTTATGATAATTTGTTTGATAACATTTCGAGTGTATTCGGAGAATTTTTCTAAATAGTTGTTCTGTTATAGATAGGGAAAATGAGACATTTTTGAGATTTTGAAGGGACTACCCGTTTTATATCTGTCGAGAAGCACTGAATGTAGCTCAGCTAGCTTGGGAATTTGATTAAGCCTGTGCAGCAACAACTTCAGGACCTGTTGATAACGTTGATGGCTCACGCTTTCTTCTTTGCACCTCTTTCCAGACTTTTTGAATTGTTCGGCATATGCGAATTGCTGTTCTCTTGTATTCCGAAACCGCATACATTACACAAATTGAGTCCATGGCTGGATACAGAGTAAAACTACAGAGTAACACACCAGATGGAATACTGACATTCAGATTAAAGAATGGAAGGATAATAATTAAAGTGATGGGGATGAATAGGATGACAGTTGGGGTGGTGATCTGAAAAATGAGCTTTTGTGCCTAGCTAAAGGTCTATCGCTTACTTGAAGAACCAAAGTTTTGAAAAACTGCCGATGATGTCTTCTCAGCATCCCTGAGAAGTTCTTGATCTTATCCTCCATCTGCATATGCATCGACCATCCACAGTAGATCATAACAGCGTATTGAGTGTTTACTACTGTTAAAAGGTTCAAGATTCCCATTATATTCCACCAGCGGACAGATCCGTCCACGGGGTCGTAGGCAACCATGGCAGTTGCCGGAAACTCTTGGATGTTTCTGTGATAGCGAATAAGTACTTCTTCGAGGAAGTACTCGGTGGATACTTCATCCAGTGTGAAAAAGAAATACGTGCTCAGCGAGTATTGAAAGCCAAAAAATGCGCAATACAAAACCCAGATTAAGGCAAATCGTCCTTTGAAGAATTGCAATTTTTCGACACTGAAAGAAAATGTTAAAGTTCGATGAAAAATCCAATATAATTACTCAAAAACCGCCCAATATCGATAAATGAACTGTACTGATAATAGGGACATCGTAGCAGAATGTAAAAATGTGTATCCTGCAATAGGAATGGTTTTTGTGTATTTGCCGCTTAATCCGAAAGACTCTGAGAAACTGAAGAATAGAAATGCAGCGTTGTAGTTATGCACATTCTGAAATTCGTATTTCTCTCGATTTTTAATATCCATCTATCATACAGGGTATACAATTATTTCCATGGTGGCAAAAACCATTCCAAACACTGTGAATGCACTTATCATATATTTGTAGGTTCCAAAAATTTTTTGAGCACCCAAAAAGTTTAGAAACAATAGAATGAGACCAAATATTAGTGACGAGAAGAAACCAATTTTTGGGACGAACTGCGTCACAGAGACCCAGAAAAGGTAATCTCTAGGAGAAGTTGTAGCGTTGTTTAGAGACATGGTACAGTATGAATTACTGGAATTACTGAGATCTGTTATTGTACCGACCAACGAAGAAACAAAGAGAAGTAATTTCCACTATACGACTTTTTCTAATTTCCTGAACATGTGAAGAATTTGTAACTGTCAGAACTGTAGACGTACCGGAAATAATCAAACTATGTAATACAGTACTCCGCAAAAGTTTAATTCCACACTCAGTTTGTACTGAAACACCTATTTAGGTCATGAAAAGATGTGAAAAATAAACGTCTCCCTTCAAAATCTACGTACAAAAAACTTGGAGCCATCAACGTGATCCGGAAACGAGAAACCGGAAAAATTCCGAAATTCACGTTTTGGCCGATCCACAAAAGTTTAATTCCACTCTGAAAAAGGGAGATTTTGGAGGTTTTGAAGTTCTGCGACCACCTTTTGAACGCCTGAATTTGAAGAATTTCAAAGGTGGGGAGACAGGAGATTTTTCGTAGTTTTTTTGTAGCTAGGGTATATTCTACCGTCACGGTGTACAACGCTTAATGTCACTCTGCGTACAGCTGTCGTCCTCGCCTTTATGTATGCAATCGGGCGTGCGCTTTCTCTTTGCCCGCGTGGCTCAGTCGGTAGCGGCGCCGCACCCTCAATCATCGCCCTCACAAGTTCAACTCCTCGAGGGGCATCTTTGAACGGAATTTCGAGAACATTATTTTTTTCATGTCCCCCCACCTTTAAGATTCTGACCCCCATAAATAAATAAATAAAAGGCTGTAGAGCAGAAAAATTGCTTAGTTGACAAGGAAACGTTTTTTAAGAGGACATTGGAGAATTTGCTGCAAATTTATAAAAATGATCTTTCAAACACGTTGAGAACGATTTCAGCAATATCAGATCCTCGTGTTACAGACACATAAATTGAAAAAAAATTGTGATCTTTGCAGGGAAAGATGTGCGCGGAGCCCCAAACTAGGAAAAGTCACAAAAAAAGCACAACAAAGAGATAGACAAAGTCTCTTCCATAAAAGCCGATTTTTTTCTGGCTTTGGAAATTTTGTGGTTCTTTTTTTAAAGTTTTCTTCCTGAGAGATATAACCGAAATATGGATAGTCCCTGCTCGATCGAAAAAGATGGGAATGTTACAATTTGTATGATAGAATCAATTGAAAAACTAGATGCGCAAAGCGCTCCATCTTTCGTCTTCGAGTTTAGAGAGGTTTGACTATAATCATTTTTAAGTCTTCGGATTTCAATTTTCAGTGGATAATTCTCATTATGTTCATTACTGGAGTCATCACTTCTTCATGCTGGATTCTTATTCATCCCGGAACCACTAATATTGAATCTCGAACTTTGAAACGATCTATTTTTTGTTGTCATCAATCCTATAACTTTATTTCATTTTCCTGTATGAAAATTAATGTGAAAAATAAGGAAATTGCTGTCAAACCAAGTTTAAAGGTGGAGATATGTAGACATAGGTTTTTTTTGTTGATATTTCGTTAATACATTATTTCTCAAATATAGTTCAAGGATTTCTTATAAGTAGTTTCCTCGGACTCGTGGGAAGATATATACCGCAAAAAATTCAAAAAAACTTCATAAAATTTCTTGTCTCCCCTCCTTCGAGCTAACGATCATACACCCTACGCCGCGACCAAAAGAAGGAGGAGAGTTCTTGCCCAAAAACATTTTTCTCCGTTATCACGCTCTTTCCAGTTTTGATTGTGTGTATCCTAATGTTCCTTTATCATCTTTTCACTTATTACTCATCCCTCCCTTGACATAAAAGTCATGAAAAAGTTTCAAACGCAAATAGTGACGTGATTGCGAAACATTTCACCACAAGGGTATATAAACAGTAGGAAGAGTGAAGAGAAAGCGCCCGCTGGTCAGAGATGTTCGAGGAAATTTATTTCTGGTGAGTCTTGTTAAAAAACGCTCCATTGCTAATTGATCCGTTTCAGGAGCAAGAATGGCCGGCCGGACGCTGAAAAGAATCATGACCTGAATTCTGCTTGCCACGTGAAATTACGTTGTTTGAAGACCGAGAAAACCATCGTTAAGACGTATCATATGGATTTTGGAGAGGGGCAAGCTGGAATTAAAGCTCATGACTTGATGGATCGAACTGTTTTTCGTCAGGATATCGCTCCATATGTATCCTACTCGGTGAACAAAAAGAAGAGATGGGAAATGGTGGAAAATGATAAAATTGAAATTCTTGGAGAGGTTCAAAAACTATATGATGATATGGAGGTATTGATTCTTGATCGAGTTCAATTTAGATGTCCAACATTTATTTGTAAGATTTTAAATTTTTAAAATTTTCAGTCATTTTAATTTTTTCAGCTGGCCGCTATTACTTTCATGATTTGTACTTTAACTGGTTTCCAATTCGAAACATCCATAGACTCCACGAGGATAAGACTTATCAGTGCACATCTGTCAATTCAGTGTTTGGTGAAAAAATCGAACATTTCTCCCCTGAAAGTCGATCATCTTGTAAATCTCCAATTTGCCTGGAAACCTCAAAAGTTGCTGGAAAAACAAAAGTTGCATATCACATTATCACTCCTCCAAAGAACTACGAAGCACTCGTTCAAAAATCATTTCATCCTGGAAGAGTGAGAATGAAGTGGTGGTGGTCGCCTGAAGATAATTTGAAAACCAATTATAAGTCTTGGATCGATGAGGATTATTTCGAATGGATCACTTATGATGCGTTGATGGATAGGGAGTGGGATGATGTTCATGAGTGGGATGAGGAAGGTTATGTGGAAAATGAGGAGGAGCCAGAGAAAAAGTGGTGAGTTGGAAGATATTTGAAAAATTAAACAATTCTGAACATTTCAGTTACAACCTCGAAGATCATTTTGTGGATAAATGGACGATGGTGAAGAGGACAGCGAAGTGAGAGAAAGTTGTTAAATTATCACGTGTTTTGTTATAAGTTATTAACCGGTATTTTAATTAAGTATGAAGATCTCAATAAATGTTTTGAAGATTTTCTTTTTCTTGCATTTCTTGTGATTCAATTTTTTTCAAATTTTGTGAGAGATATCAGGAAGTGCTAAACCAACTAAATTAACAAAATGTAACATTGGTGAGACGAACCATGAAAATTCTATGTTGTCTGCTAAACAAGTGGATGAGCAAGGACAGGGCAAGGATGGGGCAAATACAAGAAAAGCCGGTCACTAAAATATCCTAAAACGTATTTTTTGATTGACTTTCTGTCACTTTGATCATTTTACAAGTCTGGAGCTGGGCTGAATTTCCCAGTTTTTCAGCTATTCACCAATATCTGAAACATACCATTATTTGACGCGTTGTCGTATGTACGAAAACACTAAAAACAAACAGATTTCAGAGACGGCGAATAGCTGCAAAACTAGAAAGTTTCCAAAAGTTCTTTGGATGCAAAGTTTTCAATCTAGGCCTGTTTTACAACCTCCAAAATATTTAAAGCGATTGGACACTTGACAACCGAGCTCGAGACTCCTGAAAATGGTCCAGACAGCCAAAAACCATCCGAAAAATACGTTTTTGTAAATATTATGGGTAGCTAGCATGTTTATAAGGAAGTTAAAGATAGCAAGGAGCTAGTCAGTGGTAGGGTTAGCACGACGGAAAGCCGGAATGTTCTAGAATTTTTATTTAAATTTCAGCTTGAAAGTTGCCCTCGGTAAAGCGTGTAGCTCAAACGGCATATCCAATATTTTGACAGCAAGCTCAATTTTTTCAAAGGAGGCAAAACATCGAAAACCTTTTTCTAGATATTTTTTCTAGGGAACCTCCATGAGGAGTTGAACTCCTGAGAAACAGATCAAGGGTACATCGCCGCTACCGGCTGAGCTAAACGGGCGCAAAGACGGCTGCCGACCGATGCTCGGAGCGATTTTGTCCCCCAAACTTTTCGCTGTCTCACTTCCCTCAAGACCCTATTTTTTCTAAAAATACAACAGTTTTCCATTCACGAACACATGACATCACTTTTTGCTCTCCTGCGAATCTTGTAGCTGACCATTTTTATCATTTAACCTTTTCCTGAATTAGTCATTCACCCCATTTCCAGATAGCGTCATGGAGACAGGGAGGAGCTTTTGGAACTTGAACAAACAAAATTATTGCGAAATATTTCACCAGTGGGGTATATAAGCAGCAGCAGAAGGTAAAAAGTGTCACCGGCGGTCAGCAAAGATGTTCGAGGATATTTATTTTTGGTGAGTTTCTTTTTTTTTATATTCAAGAAAATCAGAATTCCAGGATTTCAGAAACTCTGAAAATCCAAAAAATGCAAAATTAAAAAAAATCTCACTGCTTCTAAATATACATTTTTTCCTAACTTTCAGGACAAAAAATGGCCGCCCGGACACTGAAAAAAACCATGACCGTAACGCCTCATGCCACTACCTTCTTCGTAAAATGAAGACTGGTGGTGTTATCATGAAGACTTATCATGTTGATCCCAAGGATCCTATCTGGGATCAGGGGTTCCATGAAAAAATGGATGGAACGTTCTTCCAGAAGGATTTGGCTCCATTTGTAAAATATTCCCTCAATAAAAAGAGACGTTGGGAGACCAAAGGAGATTTGAATAGTCTTAAAAATCTTCAAAGTTCGTATCGTGATATGAATGTTGTTGTTAGCGATCGTGTTTGGCTTGACATGGATCCTTATTGGTGTGAGTATACTGAAATGTTTTTTCTGTTAGATAAAATACTCATATTTTAGGTTTCATTTCTCGAGAAAACTACTTTCACGAGTTCTTCCTACGGTTCCCAATTCGTCATACTTATCAACTTGATACTGATAACAATTACCGGTGCCTTTCCTCGAATTCTGTATACGGGCAACCCCTCAAAAGCCTTCTTCCCCAAAATCGTTTTCCAAAAAAATCCGATCTCCAAACCAACAACACTTTTGATACTCCCAAAATCGCTTATCACATTATTACGCCTCCGAAAAATTATGAAAAACTTCGAAATGAAGATTTCCGGCCTGGCAGATGTCATCATGGATGCTGCAACACTTTAAGCTATTTAAGAAGAAACGAGAAAATGAAAGAGGATCTTTTGACTATTCGCTACGATGATTTCGAAGATTTCGATGATACGGATTCTTCTGAAGGAAATAGTGAAGATCCTTCCAATTCAGATTCTCCAAAAGAATAGTAAGTTGATTAAATGAGGTTTTTAGCTAAATTTTTTTCCAGCTACAATCTTGTGGATCATTTTGTCGATAAAAGGAACCGGAAGGATGCTGGATCTTTGAATTCATCTTCTTGGAGTGTCATTTCTCTTGATTGATCTCAAAACTGTATATTTTCAATAAAACATTTTTAATAGTGTATCTATTTCATTGAAGACGATAAAAGAGCAATTTTCCCAAAATTTGTCGCGGGAATACCAGCTTAACAACGCAGTCATACAAAAACTGTGTACGATAGATAATTCGATTCTTGCAGTCGCGCAATATTGCACAACGACTCATTATTATGTTGACCCCCGGTTTTCTCGTTGTGTCTAATTCTCCAACAAACACACGGACACTCGGAAAATGACCGAGACAACACAAATCACACAACACATTTTGCCTTGTTATATAAGGGGGAATTGGGGTTCCCTTAAAAACCTGTTAGTATTTTTTGTTAGAATTCGTCTCTCCGAATTTTAATTTTCAGTTTATGAACTTTAAGAATCAATTTCTTTGAATGTTTTTTGCAAAAAAGTTTTTGACCGATTCAAACTTTCATAAATAATTTTCTTTTGTTCTACTGAATTTTACAACTCTAAATTTCTAATTAAATTTAAAATTTTTTTCTGCCAAGGATTATCATTTTTCAGTTCTCTCTTCAAAAAAATGACTACGATTCTTGAAGACGGAAATGGCTTATTTAGTACTCATGTGGCTTTAGACGATGTAAACTTCGCTATTAAAAATGAGATGAGAACGGAAAGTGAACTTTCAAAAGACAGTCTGCTTGAGATTATTGGAGATGGAAACGTAAGTTTTCTTTTTTGACTCAAATTCTTTGAACCAAGTTATCTCGGTTCCTGTGTAAGATATCAAGTATGTGTTAACTACCAAAATATTTTTGATGTTATGATAAACATTTTGTCAGTTGACCACTTTTTGATAACCTTTTCAGGTAAAAAGATAGATGGTATGAAATGAACGGTTTGAGGGACTCCTATGTATTAAAATTTTACGTCAGTCAAAATTATTTCCAGGGCTTCTCCTCTTGTGTGATCCTAGTCACTTGCGACTGGTCAATCCCTTCTATTGATCTACCAAAGAAATTGGTATTAAAAATTGTGTCATTTACCCATATTAAACGACTCATTGACAATGCTAAAAGTAAAGGATTTTGCAAAGTGAAGTCAAAAGACGAGGAGAAAATGGCGGAACACTTTTTAATTTCTATTTTGGCAATGCATAACCAGGAGATCAACTTTTACGAAATCCTAAGCTCGGCGAATGCTGAGAATATTCTAACTCCAAAGGTGTATTTTTCTCAAAAGTTTGACGAAACCAACCGCTGCAAGGGATTCATTGGAATGGAGTTTTTGGAAGGCATCGGAATCAGGCATTCCTATGAGAACTGTACAGTTCAAGAGTTTCAACCAATTCTCAAATTGATTGCTTCAATCCAAGCCTTATCATTTTCGGTTCCAAATGAGGATTTCAAGAGGATAGAGGACGAATCGGTGTATGCGAAAAGTGTGGAAGCAATGATGTCTGGAGAGGGAATGAAGGGATGTTTTGAGCACACAAGGCTTCGAGATACAGAACAGTTTACGGATATTGTGGAACGAATTCAAGGATATGGAACCAAGATTTTGGATTTTAAAAAGGCGTTCAATTTGAATAAAGTTCTTGGTAAGTCGATCTGATCCTTCCGTGAAGAAGTACAGACTGCGACCACGTAGCACAGCTCAGAATACAATTAAATTTGTTTTGAAAAATTTGGATTTTTTCAAGGTATTACCAAAAACGTCTTCGTTCTCGGGGACCTCTGGAAGCTAACATTTTATGGACCAAAGAATCAAATGGACAATTTACGGCTCTGAAAGTTATAGATTATCAGGTATCATCTTTTTTCATTCTAGAATTTTTCCAAAGGTTTCAGACGGCTCATACTGGAAACCCTGCAGAAGATTTGGTCCGTTTCTTGACTTCCACACTGTCCGGATCTGATCGGCAAGCTCATTGGGAGCAGATATTGGAAACGTTCTATGAATACTTTTTGGAGGCTCTAGGTGAAAATAAAGCACCGTATTCTTCAGAAGAGGTTTGAATGCTTCTTGAAAAATTGCTGAATAAATAATCATTTCAGCTCAAAAAATCGTACAAACTCTTCTTTCCAATGGGTGGATTGGCACTGCTTCCATTGTTTGGGGCTGCTGTAGATATGAAATTAGAGTCTATGGATAAAGATGAAACTGAAAAATATAAGAATATTGTAATTGAGAAATTGAAATGCTTGTTGGAAGATGTCGAGAAGTTTTATTTGGAATCGAGTGTATGAAAGTTTTAAATGAATTGTTTTACTTGATTGGATTATTTTACAGTAAACAACTTTATAATTTGAACCAATTTATCTCGGACCATGTAAAAGATATAAAAAAGTTGTCAACTGAAAAAATGCTTATCATAATATGACAACCGTTTTATCAGTTGACCACTTTTTGATATATTGTTTAAGGACCAAGGATAATCAGCTCGACAATGATGACCTTCCGTTATAGGTTACTAGCTTCCAACAAACCTTTCCATTTCAGGTGAATGTTTCTTTTTTCGAATTAGTCATTGATATATTTTGAAAAACGTCATGCTTCATAACTTCTCAAAACTTGGAGGAGGGGTTTGTGAATTAAAATACGAAAAACTGAACACAAAAAGTATTGCGAAATATTTCACCAGTGGGGTATATAAGATGCAGGGAAAAAGTGAGCAGCAGTGTCACCGGCGGTCAGCAATAATGTTCGAGGACATTTATTTTTGGTGAGTTTTTTCTTGTTTTTTAAGGTTTTTCATTTGAATACCGTAATACCTGTAATAGAAAAGCCCCCTCACTTCCAATTTTGAGCTAATATTTCTCGTTTCCTGTCAAGGATATGGAAAAGTTATCAACGGATAATTTGTTTATCACAATGTCACAATAATTTCATAGGTTGATATTTTTTGGTACCTGACCAAAGGAGCCAAGCAAAAATAAGATCAAGCTTGATAGCGTGGGGGGAAGGCTTCCACAGTGCGTCCATTAAGTTTAGCACCCCCCCCCCCCCTATATTTTGACCATGTGGCTAAAACTAGAAAAGTTATCAAAAAGCTGTGAATGCAGTTCGACTTCAAATGTGAAAAAAACCCCAAGAACCTAATTTTGGGTATCCCACCATTTTTGCGTACCACCAGAAAGACACTTTTTCAACCGTCCAATAAGTTTAGGACCCCCTTTGAAATTTTAGAAAACTTGAAAATTTTTTGTCGAATTTTTGCTTTTAAACTCAACATAACTTTCAATTTCGAGCTTTTAAAGTACATTCTCATAAGTATTTAAAAAAATCATAATCTATAGACTTTCGAAATCATAGATTATCCTCATTTTTGGGTATTTTCGGAAAATTGACCCAAGTTATCAGAATTTTTCGATTATTTTGAGGGAAACGGGCATGAGACATACAGAATGGGATGTTGGCAAGTAAATTCAGATACTGGGAGGTCAGTCAGGGTCTTGGTTGGGAACAGACACTAAGATGGGATATAACTGTGGAAAAACGTTTCTAGATAATCCAGTGTTAAAGTCTGAAACACGTAAAATCGCTTTCATGATTTTTAGGACGAAAAATGGCCGCCCGGACACTGAAAAAGACCATGACCGTAACGCTTCCTGCCATTACATTCTTCATAAAGTGAAGACTGGTGGTGTTATCATGAAGACTTATCATGTTGATCCCAAGGATCCTATCTGGGATCAGGGGTTCCATGAAAAAATGGATGACACATTCTTCCAAAAGGATTTAGTTCCATTTGTGAAATATTCTATCAATAAAAAGAAACGTTGGGAAACCAAAGGAGATTTGAATAGTCTTAAAAATCTTCAAAAATCACATCGCTTCATGGATATCGTGATAAATGACCGCGTTTGGCTGGACAGCGATCCTCGTTGGTGTGAGTTTATTCAAATGTTGTTCTTCAAAATAAATCTGAAATTTCAGGCTTCATTTCTCATATCAACTATTATCACAATTATTTCCTCCAATTCCCAATTCGTCATACTTATCAACTTGATACTGATAACAATTACCGGTGCCTCTCTTCTGATTCTGTATACGGGCAACCTCTCAAAAGTCTCCTTCCCGAAAATCGATCTCCAAAAAAATCCGATACACTTCAATCAGCTACTTTCGATATGCCAAAAGTTGCTTATCACATTTTGACTCCTCCAGAAAATTATGAAAAATTGAGAAACGAAGATTTCTGTCCTGGAAGCAGTGATCGTTTTCTGAAACATCGTTCCATCAAACATTGGAGAAGATGCAAGAAAATGACCGAGGCTCTTTTAGCAATCCGTTATGAGGACTTTGATTATTTGAATGATCCAATTTATTTCATCGATAATGAATGGGACATTGATTTTGGAACTCCTAGTAAATTGTGAGTTGAGATTAGAAGATGACCTCAATTTTGAAATCATAATTTTTTCAGCTACAATCTGGAAGATCATTTTGTGGATGACTTTGTTTTTGTGAAAAGAAGACGCCAGAAAAATGATAATTTATTTTTTTTGTAAAAAATAAATGTATTTGAATCTAATTTATTTTTTGTTTAGCAGTCGTCATTGAACTCAAATATAGAATTACCTACCGTAAAACCTATAATAGAAGGGTCCCTAACTTTGAGCAATATTCTCTTGTTTTCGTTGAACGATATGAAATGTTGTGCACTGATAAATTGTTTACCATGATAACAAAAGTATTTTGTCAGTTGCCATATTTTTGATATCATGCATAGGAGCCAAGAAAAATTAACTCAAACTTGCAAATAAAATAATCATAATTTCTTTAAGAAAGCACTAACAGTCAACTTTGATCAAATTTATCTAGGTTCCTGCAAAAGGAATAAAAAATTGTTCAACTGAAAAAATAATTGTGATATCAATATAAACATTTTATTAGTTGACCACTTTTTGATACCTTTTCCATATATCGAGAAAATTGGCTACTTTGACAACCCTGTTTTTTAGATTTTGAGAAAAACATGATTACATTTTATCCCAGCGTTACTCATACCTGTTTTTCCATTCTCTGAAAATTGTTATCAAGCAAAACACATATTGTGAGCATTCGTGTTATGAAATATTTCCCAGGTAAAAAAAAACTAGGCTCTCCAGTTGTTTTTGCTGGGGAAGCATACAGATTTTTAAAGATTTTTTTATAATTTGAAATATTCAGTTTTCAACTAAAATTGTTGTATTACTCTAGGATCAAGGGCGGCGAGTTCCTAGTCAAAATTCCTACTGTCACTATTTCCTGAAATTCTTGAAAACTGAGGCAACAGAGGACTGTTGGACGAATCAGGATCGAGGATTGCCGTGAAATTGAGAGTTATTCGAAAAAATACAACTCGGAAGCGACACTATGTGAGAATGACCATTTGAAACGAAAGGATTCTTCATGATAAAAAAGATATTTCAAAGTTTCTCACAGATCCTCAATCTGTACTTTTTATCCGAACATTTTGAGTAACCGCAAAACATGAAGTACATATAAAAATAAATAAAAGTGTTCAAAAATTCAAAAAAGTTCAAGAAATTGCAGTGTTTCATATCCGATGCAGATCGTTTCCATCGATAAAACACGTCATGCAAGTCGGGGAGAACATTGAACTTCGAGGAGATGTAATCTCGTGAATAGGACAACTACGGTAGCCGTCGTCGGCGAATTTTTTGAACTGATGTTTTTGCCGACCGTTGTGACTAGAACTATGGTTTCATTCACAGTCCGTTTTTGTTCCTGGAAGTAAACCTGAAAGTAAAATTAGCAATGGAAGTAAAATAATAAAAAAAACTGCATTCAAAAAGTATTTTTAAAAGGTTGGGATTTCGCCTACATGAGCTCCTTGGACAGTTTTAGAAGTGCCGCGATGCTATTGGCGGAGCTACGGTGTCGAAGCCACCTCTCGGATCTTCCAACGATGTGTATATGTAAGAAATTCGAAAAATACACGAAGAATTTGAATCCCGGATTAGGGTTTATAAGGTTTAGCAAGGGTGCGCATTTTGACAAGCCGCTTCAAATTTGAATAAAAATCGTTTTCACAGTCCCGGTCATGGATTTTTTCAAAAGTCTTAGTTGAAAGCAACCAATTTTGGGTGCTCGAAAAAGTATTACATTTCATTTTGGTCCGGTTTCACATTGTTGTGTTTTATCAAAGAAAAAATATGGCTTCAATTTGTAGTCGACATTTTTAATGTATGACGAATTCGTTAAAATGAGATATACCACTTGAAAACAACATATTCAGTCTTTTTTGGTTACATTCACTTTTTTACGAATGATCTTCTTTGCTGGATTCAGATAAACACTGCTCGGTGTGTCCTTTTTTTCGGATAAGGTCAACAAAATACAGCAAATGAAAGACAACAAAAAACAGAAATTGGAAATGCTCATTTATTTGAAAAGAAACACAATCAATTCGAAGAAATTCTGTTACTTTTTCTTCATGTCGAATGTCTCGAACATCTCGTCGACGGTGTAGCAATGTCCTTTGTAGCAGGCTGACTCGTAGTCGCATTCCTTGCTCGAAGTGCACCGTTTTCGGGCATCTACGATTGGAGCAACAATAGCAAGAAGAACGAGAATGAAAAGGCCAAGAATATTCATAGCTGGTGGAGAGAAGATGGAAAGTAGAAGTTTCCGATGACTTGCAGAAAGTTTGAGAAAGGCTATATACTGAAGAAAAGGGGGAGAGAAGGCTGAAAACCCCATTTACATAAAAATGTTGGGATTTTTTTCAGATTTTGTTTTTAAAAATATCATTCTTCATGGGTTTCTGTTCAATATCTTTTGGGAAGATCGAAAACCAAAGTTAGCCTGTATATCCGTGAAACCTTTACGTTAAGGTCCTCTTCCCAATACTTGTCAACAGGGACCTGGGGCGTGCCTTCGCTGGACCTGCCATAGTTTCTTTTAGCATCAATATTTTGAGACCAACTAATTTGAATATGATATAACTTGATTAGAACTACAAAATGATATTGAGTGGAAAACTGTATTTTGTCTATGGACATAGTTGACGAAAAAACGGCCCAAAAAACAGGCAGGGCCTTGCTCGACCCGGATCAGCCGCCTTATGGCTCATAACTTTGTTCATAGACAAGATACAATTTTTCGATTAGTATCCTGTTATAGTACTTGTTGAGTTCTATCACTTTCAATTCAATTGGGGTTAAAATATCAATTCTGAAAGAAACTAAGGCAGGGAACCCGAAGGCACGCCGGGGCCAGTTTATAAGTATGCTCTTTTTGTGGTTAAAACTACTTGACAAAAGTTATCTCGTTTCTTGGAGAGATGTCAAAACGTTATCAAATGACAAAATTTTTAATTAGGATACCAAAAACATTTTGTACAAAAACCAATACAAAATTTGGTATGCTGTCTTTTCTACCACACGTTTCCCGGAATATCCCTTTTCAGAAGACCTTGAAATGTCGATCTTAATCCAAATGATTTTCAAGAATCCAAACTAGAAAATTATAAATTCTGGGCGGAGATTCCCTCACAGCAGCGCGTCGAGACAGAATGTGAAACATACTGTAGCATAGAGATCTTATCGGATTTTTCGGGAAGACGAACAATGAACACAAGATGTTTCGCAAAGGATTCTTGCGAATTTTTGAACTAATAGATTTTGAAGATAGGAGCGTCTATATAAATATGCTTGGAGACGTTCAAAAATACGACTAGAATAGTGACTTATAAAAAATTTATTTTCTTTCTTTTGAATCAGTTCAAGATGCACAGACGACAAGGTACTTGTTTTCCTGAATTTATATTTCATAAATTACAAAATTCTAGAAAAACCTTGTCGCGTTTGCACTGCCACCGAACGAACCAGCTACCATTTTGGTGCTCATACCTGTATGGCTTGTGCCTCGTTTTTCCGGCGAACCGTTTCTTTTGGAATCCGATTTTTGTGTAAAGCCAATAATGCTTGTGTGGTTACTCCAGGTATACTGTAGGTATTAAATGTGTTTTTCAATTTTATTTTTCAGATATTAAGTTTATCTGCCGATCCTGCCGGTACAGCAATTGTATCAAAGCTGGGATGAGAAGAGAACGTAAAAGCAATAGAAATGAAAAATTAACTAAAAATAAAATTTCAGAAGTGCAGCAGAAAAAAGACAAGACAAAAATGCCGAAGTACATTTTGGAGTCGCGGCAACATGGAGTTCAAGAAATCGTAAGAGGTATGTCTTGCTGAAAATTTCCCTCTCTTCAAAAAGTTCCTACAATTCAATCTTTGCAGGTTATACGACAGCTCGTACCACTGGTAGTGTTACTTCGAGATCGATAGTCCCACTAACTCAACTAGGTCTAGTTCTCCGGATTCTGTAATTTTTATGGAAGTGTCTAAAGAACATGAGACTTCAAAAGAGGGAACGTCGAAATCTGAGGAGCACAATGAACACGAGTTCAATAAAATGCTCAATGCAAAGCACGATGACGTTCTACAGTACTATGTGAAGCAAGTTGGAAGAGCCATTGCCACCAGAAAGAGATTCGATGTACCAGAGGTTAGTTTTTGGATGGAATTTGGAATTTGATAAGGATGGTTATTTAGAACTTGATAAGTAGGAATTTTTCAAGGTTCAAAAATCAACAGTGTTTTTCTTTGCTTCGTTTGAAATACCGTAACCTGTATTAGTCAACTTTAACCCTTTGTATTATTTGCTTTGATTCCTGTTGCAGTTTTCAAAAATAGGGTTTTCATTTGGACGGATGGAAAAATGGGTCCCGAGGGCTACCCGCGGCTCCAAGCCACCCGGGCGGGAGACAAATTTCCGTAAATGCTCTAGCAGAAGCCCACCCTATATCTGAATTTTTAGCTCAATTATCTCGGTTCATTCAAAAGATATCGAAATTTTTTTAACTGAAAAAATAATGGTGATATCATGATAAACAGTTTATCAATTGGAAACGTTTTCATATCTTTTCGAGGATCCGAGATAATTGAGCTCAATGGTAGGTCGAAGTTAGCGGTTAAGAAACCTGTCTACTTCAGTTTTCATAGTCACCTCGTTACTGTATTCTTCGATTCTATTTGTTTTGGCTCCAAAAAAAATCAACTAAAATAATATTTTTCCAGGACCAATACCAACAATTCCTAATCTCCAAAAGAATAAACGACGAGCTGGCGCAAGAAATCTGCGAAACCTGTCCAGGAACCGATCTTCTGGAACAAGCTGACCTCAATGTGCTTTTCCGATATTGCTCATTCGCTAACCTCTGGATGGATTCTGCATGGACTACTGTAGTAAATCCAAACGACGTGAGTATTTGTAAACCAATCGCATTTTCTCATCACCTAAATGTATCCAAATTGGACGAAGTCTTCTAGATTAGCGGCGGAGATACGGCGGCGGCTACAATGTCACAATTCCTTGAATACGAAAATGGGCACGAAAAGAGACAAAGTGACACCACAGATGCATCGAGGTGAGACTAGAATTATCCAGAATTATCGGTTTGTCGAACTCCAAAATTTCAGACTCATCTCGAATTTCAATCTTCACTTCCAATCCAAAATTGGCAAGGAATTATCACGTCTTCAACTTGACGCCTTCGAGTATGCTGCTCTCAAATCCTTCTGTATCTGGAAATTGGCCTACTTAGATTCTACTCTCACATTGAAAATTGTGGCTCAAGAGCAATATTGCTCGGTGACAAGTGCACTCCGAAGTTATTATATTGTAAGATACAGGAGATTTTTTTTCCAAAAATATCAGGAATTTTTCAGATTGAGAAAGATATGGATGGGAGTGAGACTGCGATCAGACTTGCCGATGTTACAATTATCCTTGGAAGTGTGTCTGTAAGTTGAACTGGACTCGAATTTTTTAATTGTTAAGGATTTTCAGGAGGTCTATCACGACACTGTCAAAATGTATCAATCTCTTGGTATCGAATTTTGAAGCTTTGAATAGATTTATAGAGTCGAAACTTTCTTTTATGTTTCTTGATCTTGCTCTATTACCGGTGATTTTCATTCCTTTAATAAATTGTTAATATAATTCTAATCGTAAATTGAACATCTTCAAGATATTGAAACATACAAAAACACTTTTTTTTCCAAATTAGAGACGAAGCCCCATTCACATACGCTTACTCTAATAAAATAATTTCGTATGCGAGCACTTTGAGCCCAATTATTTCGGTTCGTATCTCTTTCTCTTAAAAGCCTCTCGATGAGATGATTTTGTGGGCCCACCGTTGGAGGTGCCGGTGCGACCGCGCAGCTCAGCTAGCAGCGAGGCGACCCATACAATATTTGACCAACAATTCAACTCCTTTGTTAGCAAAATATTTTTATAAAAATGTAACCCTCCAAGAAATTCAGAAAACATTGGTCATTTATATATTTGATAGAGACAAATGACAGGTTTTTTCCCGAATTTTTTTGTTCTTATTTATATCTCTTCAGTGTCTCAAAAAGAGACGGAAAAATTCAGGAATTCTTTTGCAACATCCCAAGAGATCAAGTCTACGGAGATCGCTATCAATCACCACTGTTCAAAAAGTCACAATTTCATGAAACGTCATTTTTATCATACTGTAGAACGGACTTGACAAGGGTTTAGACATTTTTCAGCACATTTTGATCGGGTTAGCTTTAAACACTTGTGAAATCATCAGAGCCAAGCTGCATATTTAAAATTAAACTTAAATTTTCAGGACTAGAAATCTCTAAAAAAAATTTTTTCGGAAATTACAAAATTTTATAGAAATACGATTTAGCCGCGGAGATTCAATTGGTTTCCAACTATTACAAACTGGTCCGAATTCAGTAAAAACATCATCTAAAAGACAAGATATAATCTAAAAGGTCAGAGATCGTTATCTAAAAGACCAATTTTCTCAAAGTAGTACATATTTTTGTACCGAAAAACTTGAACTATTTACTTATGAATTCCAGAGACTATGGACTGAAAAATCTTCAAAAATCATTCCCACTGATTTTTCACTTTCCTTTACAGTAGATTCAAAAAGTGACGTTTCGAAACATTTTCGACTTTTTGAACAGTTGACGATATCAATCTCCGCGTTCTTGATCCGCTGTGATGTTGCGGACATATTCTTTCTTTTCCTCTTTTCGTTTTCAACAGGTCAAAAAAAATGTGGAACAAAAAGTGACGAAAAAACCGGTGTTTTTTCTAGAATGAACTAGAAAAAAGAAAACGTGGGTACGGTAACATCACGATGGCTTGGCGAATTTCGTACCTGACATAAGATATTTGTGTCGAAATAAGCTTGTCGTTTCACTAAGCTACTGTAGCCTTGCGAAAGGCACTTTCATATATATATATATATATATCAGGCCTGTGCGGCAACAAATTGCCGACTGCCGAAATTGCCGAATTTTTGTTGCCGATTTGCCGTTGCCGAAATCGGCAACGAAGAAAAAGTTGTCGTATTGCCGTTGCCGATTTCGGCAAAAAAATTTCGGCAATTTCGGCAACTAAAATTTTTTTGAATTTAGAGATTTTCACAATTTTTTAGTCAAAAAAATGATATCGAAGTTCGAAAAATCAAAATTTGAACATCATCATCCCTCAGAGTGAATTTTAGAGGAAATGTGTCCCAATAATCATCAAAAATACTTGCATCGGATCTAAAAATGGGCTTCAAGTTTGTGAGCATAGGAGAAAAATAGGCACTCTTCTAGAATCACGGAACGAAGAAAAAATCACAGAACGAAAAATAAAATCACGGATCGAAAAATAAAATCACGGAACGAAAAATAAAATCACGGAACGAAAATTTTGGGTAATCCAAAAATTGCAAGGACCTTCATTCAAGTACTATCCTGAAATTTAACCTTGAAATTACATTTTTTTTGCTCAGTATCCAAAATGACACCCGAAATGTGGTATTGAGTCCTTAAGGTACACTAGTTGATAGTGTTCATGATTAATAGGTTACATAGGACCTTTCCCAGATGTTCTGAGGATCATGGGACATATGAGAGTTAGGTTAGAGGCTGCAACGAGCAGAGTTATCAAACTTCCCGTCGTTTTTTTGGGTTTCCAACATGAAGGAAACATGATGGTTCAGCCTAAGCGTATAATTGAAGAAATCTTATTTTTCATTTTTAAAAAATTGGATGATATTTTTGGATTGAAGAAGCTTTCTTCAATCACAGGCTTAGGCTGAAACGCCATGCTTCTTTTATCTGGAACACCCTAAAATGTCAGCAGGCTAACTGCTTGATGTAGCTTTAAACTGAATTTTCAGATGTTCTACAGGTCCTATGTAACCTGTTAACTAGCGTATCTTAAGAAATTGATAAACCCTTTTTTAGTATACTTTTGGGTATTGGACAAAGTAAAATTGATGCCAAAGTTAGTATTACGGATACTACTTGTCAAAGTGAAGAAGATAGCAATTTTTTAGATTACCCAAAATTTTCGTTCCGCGATTTTATTTTTCGTTCCATGATTTTTTTTCGTTCCGTGATTTTTTCGTTCCGTGATTTTTCGTTCCGTGATTTTTTTTCGTTCCGTGATTCTAGAAGAGTGCCGAATTTTGCGCCAAGTCAATTTCGGAAGCGAAGCGCGGTTGCATCGCGGTCTCTGAGAAGCTGGATGGAGCTGTTTTTGATTTCTGCATTATACAATTTCGGTTGAAGCCAGCCTCTTTATCAATTTTTCATAATTGAAAATTCCGGAACCTGGTTTTATGTTCATTTTGAAATAAAAACCGGGAAATACTCAGATTTTTGGGTTTTTGAACAGTTCGGGATAAGAATCTCCGCATCTTTAAATATCTGAGAGGAGTCTGAACACATTCTTTTATTTCAACAATGGGGAACAGAGATTGGCAGAAAAAAACGGGTATGTTTGAACTATAGTGAGGATACAGGACCAATCTCTCTATAGGTCTTTCAGCTCAAATTGTCTTGTTCGTCATGAAAGTAATCAAAAATTGATAAATTGATAAAATGCTGCTGAAATTATGACAAACATTTTATCAGTTGACCACATTTTTATATCTTTCACAGGAAACGAGATAATCGAGCTCGAAGTGCAAGTATAGTTTGAGCTTCTTTTTGAGCATTTACGGTCTTCTAGCCTGTCGACGATGCCCGTTGCTGCCAAAAACAAAGTTAAAGAAGCTTTGGCGAAAAAGACGAATTTCATAAGAATGCATGCTATCGTATCTTGAAATGAAACATTTAAAGATACGGTATCAAAAGCGGTGCTGGCCTAACGATGGAACTGTAGTTTCTGCCGAAACGCGCATTGCCGTCTGACTAGAGTAAGAACCAGACGAATCCTACCTTCCAAGTTTGAATCTTTAATTTCTTCTAGTAATACTCGTTATTGACATATTTGCTCCCCTATTTTCTCTTCTTCTGCCGGTTACATTTTTCCTGTGTCAAATTTCTAAATTATCCCGTTTCCCCTCCCCTACTCAGATCGGCCTCGTGAGGGGCATTTTCTGAGTCTTTCATGTCCTGCTCTCTAATGTTTTATTACACCTGATCAATAAACAAATTACAAATCCTTCCGCATTTTCGTGGTTATGATTTGCGCCTTGTAGTCTCGCTAGTCCCGCTGCGCAAGTTAATGATGTTTGATCCTTTCGATATGCATCTTTCTATACGTAGTCTACTCTCCGGCGGGACACGAAAACTGCAATTTCAAAGTTAATGGGCCACCGTAATACTTGAAAAATCTTGAAAAATCAGGGCCCGGCCCGGGATGGCCCATCGGGACCGGGTTTTGCACATTAAAATTTTGAAAGTCAAGATATTTATTCAAATTTGTTTGTGAAAATGTTTTTCAATGACACTCCGTCCTTGGCAAGCTTATTATTTGACAAAAAGTTTGTTTTTTTTCTATTGACTCGGAAAATTTTCCGAAAAGACCAGAGAACAATTCGTGAAAACCCGGGAGTGGACGGGCCGAGCAGGGCTGGGCCTTGATACCGTAAAACATATAAAGACCCTCTATTTTTTAACTTTGAGACATTTCGCAAACATTTTATCAATTGACCTATTTCTTATATCTCTTATAGGATCTGAGATAATTGAGCTCAAACTTGACTGTGCGGTGGTCCCTTCTATTACAGGTATTACAGTAATTCTGGAAAATTCCCGGCATGGCAGGTTGCAGGTATCCTTTAAAGATGAGATCATTGTATGCGTAATAACAATTTTCGCTCTTGAAATGTGTGATCTTCATAGGAATAAAAATCCCCAAGAACTCATTTGTTTTTTTTTCACCTGTCTACATACTTTCAAAACATTTCCTCTTTCCACATATCATTCGAATAATCAAAATGATTCAGTGTCCAACCGATGACACTTATCTAGCCAGCCCCGAGTTTTTAAGCTTCGCTCTGCACACACTGACATGCATCAGTCTCCCACTACATGTTCTAGGATTCTACTGTATTCTAGAAAAGACCCCCAAAACAATGGGTTCAGTTAAATTACTCCTTTTGAATATACACACATGTGGCTTTTTCCTGGATATCCTTATTACAATACTCGGGGTCCCTTATGGGATTTTCCCCGCAATGGCTGGGTATGGACTAGGATTTGTTGATTTGCCAGGCTTATGTTTGTATCTTATTGTCATGACCATTAATGCAATTTCTGTTGGAATTTTTTTGATATTCGAGAATAGATTTTTTATTTTGTTTGCTGAAAATAGTTGGTGGAGGCATTTCAGAAAACCTGTATTTGTTGCTAGTTATGCAGTCTCAGTGATCTATTTTTTACCTGCCCAATTTTTGATTCCTGAACAAGAGGGTGCAAGGAAATTTGTCTGGGAGGTAATCATTGAGGTTCAAATATCACAATTGCGCTTCGTCGCAATTTCTTGTCACAAAACTGGGTTGATTGCCAGTTTTTAATTTTTCCAAGCGTGTGTCCAAATGTAAACCGACTTAAGCGTTGATGGGTCTCTACTCAATTGGCGACGGCTACGCTGACACGGACGAGTCGTTCACAAATGGCACAATGCCAAATTTAAAATCGAGGTTCCCATTAGGAATGCACCCCGAAGACTTCGTCCTAATTTTCATTTCCCGAGAGACTTCAGTGGGCGGGAAGCCAACAAAAGTGCTATATTTCCCACAATCTTAAATTAATTTCCAGTCCCTCGGATGTCAACCAGTGTTACCCACCCATCGAAACCTGTTTGTGCTATCCTTGGATTATTCCGTAATCGCACGCTCTATTTTTATCGCTTGCGGAATGGTCCAGATTGAGATGAACGTATTTTTCTGGCTCAATGTGTACTATTTGATGATAGCCAAACCGTCAACAAAAATCTCTCAAAGAACTCAACAATTACAGAAGAAATTAGTGAAAGCTTTGTTTGTACAGGTACCTCCCTAATGCAGCCTCATCATGATATAGAGAATTTTCAGGGTATCGCTACTATCGACTTGTTCGCTATTCCCATAGCAACTGTGGTGTATATCATGAATGTCTGGTATCATAATCAAGCAATCAATAATTTAGTATTTGTTGGATTAGCTTTTCATGGAACAGCGTCAAGTTTGATAATGATTTTTATACACAAGCCATACAGAGACTTCGTTTTGAGTCCGTTTGTGAGGTTGAAGGTTCCTAATGTGCTAGTTGGAACTAAAAGATCCCCGGATTTGGGTTTTGTGGGGCCTACAGTAATTGAGGCATCTTAAAGTTGTGAATATCATAAATCGACAGTTTAAAGCGTATTTTGTATTTGAACTTACAACAACTTAGGCACCTTGAACAGTGTATAGTGGATGGATAAATAGAAATTGATTTGAAAAATAAAGTCACCTGTTTCCTCAAGAAAAATATTATTTTTTGGTTTCCACCTGCGTAGTAAAATGAGTCAAGAAATCAGGGAAACAATGGATAAATATTCAAATACCAACATTTCAGAAATCCAAAAGTTCTAGCACTCACCGTAGATCCGCTCCAATTCCACAATTAAACAAAGTTGCTACAGTAGTACTAAAATTATAACATCAAAAATCTGTCCGAAATCAAACACATACCGCCCGATGGCAATGTACCAAAAAAGCTAAACCAACAGTTCAGGCGGTTTATTGAGCTCAACGCTCCTTTAAACCCATGCTCTTTCCAAACCATGATTTATCGCTACATGATGCACCTGTTCAAATCTTTGTGCTTTTTTGGTTAGATGGTAACCTTGTGACTGACTTTTAGTAATGAACTTTTTTAGGGTAGTTGGGCTTGTATAAAAGGGTAGTAAGGGTCATGGATCCTCACTTTTCGGCTTGGCTGCAGCAATGATTGCTCTCTTCTCAATCCTCTTGGCTCTGCTGGCTCCTCAATCATCAAATGCAGCTATTTCTGGAGAGCTGAACTGCACTACCTACAATGGAACATCGGTAAAACCATGGATGCTGCCTCCTGAATAGTCTTAACTTTCAGTTCGTGTACACGCCATCCGCTGTAGCCTGCTCCAACGCCATCTCGGATGCTTCCTGCCAAGTTCTCTATCCCGCTACTGACGCTGCTATCGGATGGCCAGCTGCTGGAAATGATGCTGAACGTCCATTGGCTTGTTATACAACTGCCACTGCTACTCCAGCTGCTGTGGTCCCAGATATGGTTTCCGCTGCATTAAAGAACTGTGCCAAGACTTGTGGATTGTGTTGCAAGACTGCAGCGTATGACTGTCCAAATGTTCAGTGTGAGTTTAGATTCCTGAAACCTGTTAGGAACTGTTCCAACTAGGGCTCCAAATCGGGAATCTCAAAAATAGCAATACCAAATCACATTAGCTGTAAAACTGCATATACATTTTCAGTCCCACGCCTCAACTGTGCCACCATCACCCAATCTCAATGCATGTCTTCCCAATGGAGAACCATCATCGCTACCGACTGCCCATCTGCCTGTGGATTCTGTAACGATGGTGGATGTGTTGACGGTGTCGTTGATTGCAACAACGATCGCTCCATCTGCCAAAGTGTTGGAATGCAAGACTTTGTCAACCAATATTGCCAGAAGACATGCCAAAGATGCACCGGTTCCTCCACAGCTTCATCTGGAACCGGAGGATCGTGCACCTCATACATTGCCGATTCTAGCAGTGCTTGCGCCGCCTGGGCTACCAACGGATTCTGCACCAACACCTTCTACACAGCCGCTCAACGCAGAGCCTATTGTGCTACGTCTTGCAGACTCTGCTAGATATTTGACAAACTAGACATTCCTAACAAGACGGGTTGACGACAATCATTAGGTACAAATAGAGAGCAATCACACAAACTGAGAGATCATTGTATACTTTTAAAAACACATTTTGAGTCTGACCAACTTGGAATAAATGATTTTCTCGGAATTTTTTGTAAATTTTCTCTAACAATAATACAGACTTCATTTCCAAGATTTCCGGTTGTTTTTATCTGACAGATTTCAATTGGGTCGGAAGTTCACTCGGAGGAGGAGATCGCAGAAAACCTGAATTAATTTTTTTTTAACGAATAATCGAAAAATGATATAGCAGGATCTTTTTGTAAGGGAAAACCGTACATCCTGTAATAGAAATGCTTCTTAACTTGTAACCTTGAACCAATTTTTTTTGGTTCCTGTCAGATGTAGATATATGTTGCCAACTGGTAAAATGTTTATCATGTTTTCAGAAGTGTTTTGTCAGTCGACATATTTTTGATATCTTGCTTAGGGGACAAAAAAATCTCATACATGACAGCGCTCTTTTTGTTACATATTTTATGGTAAATTGATGAGAATTGGATGCTCTTCTGCACTGAGTTTCTACAGATTTTTAAACACAACAGACTTCTTAATAATATAGCATCAGGAGAAATGACTCGATTTCCAGATGTACACAATTTCAGAACTATTAGCTTCCCTATAGCTCCTCTATAATCGTCGACTCCATAATGCATGGCTACATTATTTGTGGTGTATTTTTGAATGAAAAAATACACCAAAAATGTTCAAAACTACACAAATTTGAAACGATGAATAGAAAATGACCATCAAGTTACAAATGCACAAGGTCCCAGAAAAAATTTAACATCATTATAACATTGAAAAAATTAGATTTTCAAATAAGGGGACACAAAAGATTTTTCAGAGTTTTTTGAAGTTACGATATGCATTTTGACAGTATACAGGGATTAGTGTTCATTGCGCAGCAATTAATGACAATCGTACATATATGACATTGGGATCCGAGAGGCTTGCGCCACCGTTGCTCAGCTGGTAGCAACGTTGCAGCTCTAACGGTGTTCCACTAGTTCAACTCTTCGAGAGGATTACATGACAAAATTTTGAGAGTATATTTTTCATTTTCTTCTTTCTTTTTAACCCATGTTTTGGAAGACTGGATAATTTATTCTGAAAAAATACATGACAAAGAAATTAATGCCAAAAATTGGAGATGTAACACATAGATCAGTTTCGTACAAAAACCAAACAACCATGCAAACCACAGTATCCCATTTGAAAAAAACTACACAAACAAACACACCTCCCTTTCTGTTCCCATGTTTCGAAACGTTGCCAAAACCAAAAAAGCTAATCCAATAGAACAATCTCTCAAGCTCACACAATCCATCCAAACCGTTTCCGATGGTTTCTCGCTCTTGATAACTTGGTGCACCTGCTGTTCAAACTTTTTGTATCTATCGAATCCAACACATCAGTTCGTTTTATTTCAGAATAATCTAGTTGGGGACATTGGGTATAAAAGAAATGGTGGGAACATGGTTCTTCACTTTTCGGCTCTGCTCCGCGGTCAACTGGAATGATTGCTCTCTTCTCGGTTCTCCTGGCTCTGCTGGCTCCTCAAGCATTAAATGCCGCAATTTCCGGAGAGCTGAACTGCACTACGTACAATGGAACATCGGTAAGAGAAATTACCTTGATTAATAAAAAACCTTAAATTTCAGTTCGTGTACACACCATCCGCCGTAGCTTGCTCCAACTCCATCTCCGATTCTTCTTGCGCCGTACTATACCCCGCTACTGACGCTTCTATCGGATGGCCAGCTGCTGGAAATGATGCTGAACGTCCATTGGCTTGTTATACAACTGCCACTGCTACTCCAGCTGCCGTGGTTCCAGATATGGTTTCTGCTGCTTTAAGGAACTGTGCGAAGACTTGTGGATTGTGTTGTAAAACTCCAGCATATGACTGTCCAAATGTTCAGTGTGAGTTTAGATTCCTGAAACCTGTTATGACCTGTTCCAACTAGGACTTCAAATCGGGCATCTCAAAAATAGCAATACCAAATCACATTAGCTGTAAAACTACATATACATTTTCAGTCCCACGCCTCAACTGTGCCACCATCACCCAATCTCAATGCATGTCTTCCCAATGGAGAACCATCATCGCTACCGACTGCCCATCTGCCTGCGGATTCTGTAACGAGGGTGGATGTGTGGATGGTGTCACGGATTGTGCCAACGATCGCTCCATCTGCCAAGGTGTTGGAATGCAAGATTTTGTCAATCAATACTGCCAGAAGACGTGCCAAAGATGTTCGTCTTCTACCACCGCTAGATCTGCAACCGGAACTGGAACCGGCACCTGCACCTCTTACATTGCTGACTCCAGCTCTTCCTGCGCTGCCTGGGCTACTAACGGATTCTGCACCAACACCTTCTACACAGCCGCTCAACGCAGATCCTATTGTGCTACTACTTGCAGACTCTGCTAGAGCAATCACTTCTACTGTAATTTGACATTCTTGACTAGACAGACGGGTTGACTGACAACTTTAGGTAAAAGTAGAGAGCAAATGCCGTAACCCGAGAGATCATTGTAATTGTTTTGAGCTTGACCGCCTTGGAATAAATGATTTTCTCACAATTTTTTTTTTTTTCAAGTAGACGATTAACTCCAAAAAGAGGAAGCAATTTAACATAAGTCTAGAAGGTTTTCAGAAAATTGGCAGACATTTTTTATTATAATGTGTTGTTTTTCAATTAGTCTACTGACCTCAAAAAGAAGCAATTGAAAAAAAAACTCTACAATGCTTTCACCTGAACTTTTTTGCTCCGAAGTATCAGAGAGATCAGACTATTTACTAAAACTACGATTCTTACAAAGCTGTGAAAATCGCGGCAACGGCTGGTGTGATTCAGAACGTTGTCGTGGACCAATCAGTCCCCCAGAAGTACCTTGTTCAAAATTCTAGGGCCGATGGCGGATTGTTATGAGCGATTTCAGAAAGATACCAAAGATTAATTACTTCGATAGTCAATAGCTCATGGAGCAAAACAACATGTTAAAATAAATTGTTAGAACAAGAAATTCTGGTGAATGAATGAATTCCTCATATGGATGTAAACAAAAAACACGACTGGTTCTGTCTTTTCAATTACTTTTATTTCAGGTTGGTCAGACAAGAAATGTAAAAAAGTAAGAAAATGTATACATAGTTACAATATGGTCGTCGTCGTCGTCTTCACCCGTGTGTCAGTCTTGTCAAGTCAGTTTGTTCAGCAAATTCTACACGTGGTTGCACAGAAGCTCTTTCTTTGAGCCTCAGTGTAGAAGGTGTTGGTGCAGAATCCGTTTCCAGCCCAAGCAGTGCAGGAGCTGCTGGAATCTGCTTGATAGGTGGAGCAGGAGCCTCCTCCTGGAACACCTGGAGAACCGGTGCTCGATCCACATCTACCGCAAGTTCTTTGGCAGTTCTGGTTGACGAATTCTTGCATTCCAACGCTTTGGCAGATGGAGCGATCGTTGGCACAGTCAACGACAGCGTCGACGCATCCTCCTTGGTTACAGAATCCGCAAGCTGACGGGCAGTCGGTAGCGATAATAGTACGCCAGTTGGGGTCGAGGCATTGGGCGTTGGTGATGGTGGCGCAGTTGAGGCGGGGGACTGAAATAGATACTCATAGAATTGTAGGCATCCTGGCGTAAAAGTGGGTTGCTATTTAATGGGCAAAACACTCGAAAGCGAAACAAAAACTCACATTGAGCGTTGGGGCAGTTATAATCGTCAGTGATGCAACAGAATCCACAAGTCTTTGCACAGTTAGACAGGGCTGCCTTCTTCATGTCAGGGTCTACCGGAGCAGGTGTCTCAGCTGCGGTGGTGAAGCATGCGATGGGTCTTCCGGCACTATTTCCCGCTGCTGGGTAACCAAGCTCGTCTTCAGTGGGGTACAGTACCTCGCATGAAGCATCAGAGATCGAGTTGGAGCAGGCAACAGCGGATGGGGTGTACACGAACTGATAATGATAAGATATAGTTTTTATAATATTTGAGACATGCTTACCATGGTTCCATTGTATTGAGTACAGTTCAAGTCACCTCCGATTTCAGCGAAAACGGTTTGTGGGACCGAGAAGGCTAGAAGACAAGACACTAGAATACTGAACATGCTCTCCGCTGAAGTGATGAGCTTGGAATGTCTTGATTCTTTTATACGGAACAAGGATCGTTTAATCAGCGGTCCGATTGATCATGATCGTGAAAAATGTAACATCAATGTTTCAAATTTAGCATGATACAGTAGTAAAATGGTGTTTGATGCTTGATTGCTCTATTTGTACAGGTTGCGAGATTCCTAAATGATTTTTGAAAGTCAAGACTGTGTTTGTATTGCTGGATACCATTTTTTTTTGTTGAACGTTTGACTTCGTGTAGGGGTACGGTATCAATAACTGACGCCTGAGATCTCCTTTTCTAATTGCTCCTCTCAACATAATTTGTATTTTTGTTCCATAACTTTTCAGAGATCTTTACATGACCAAAAAGTTCAAGAAAATTAAATTATGCAAGTTCTCCTCCCACTTCAAGAATCAAATATTCATTCAATTACTTTCCTAACTGACCACAACCAATCTATCAAGCTGTCTAGAATAATCACCTGTCAAATGCAAAGAGGGAATTCCAAGATGGACAACATACCAGTTTGTATATCTCCGTCACTTTTGACTAAAAACTTCTTCTGAGCAAAAAGAAGAAAAATAATATTTGTGTTCTCATCTGATCTACGTATCTTCTGCTTCACAGATCACAGAATATTTGCTCATTTCGCTTATTTTCTGTCTTTCATTTCATAGTCACAATGAATTTCACCTCCTACTTGGATACTCCCCAATTCCAAGCTCTCGCTCTACATCTGATGATCGGCCTCGAGATTCCCATTCATTTATTTGGAGTGTTTTGTATACTTTTTCGGACTCCAGACTCTATGAGATCTGTGAAATGGGGAATGTTGAATTTGCATGTGTGGAGTATGGGACTGGATTTGGGGGTTAGTTTATTGACGATTCCATATATTTTGTATCCTGCGTTGGCGGGATTTACACTAGGGGTGTTAACCGATTTCGATGTTCCAATGGCGTATCAAGCGTACTTGTTGGCGGTTTTGATTGGACGTGAGTTTGAAAAACGGATAAAAAATGCACCTTAAATGTAGGGTGACATGGAAGAAAGGTTGTCTCAAAATTTCGTTCATATAAGATTTCTCAAGAAACTGAACTCGTGAGCCCGTCGTTGGAGGTTCCACGCCGCAACCGGCTGAGCTACGGTAGCTGCGTGGCCGACCGATGTCACTTGGCCCGTCAACTTAGACCCAATTTAGTCCCTGTGAGAGATATCAAAAAATGCTCAACTAAAAAAATGTTTATCATAATATCAGCAATATTTTGTTAGTTGACCACTTTTTGATATCTTCTACAGGAACTGAGATAAATTGGCTCAAAGTTTGAAGTTAGGGATCATTAGGGCTTACGGCGAAATTGGTCCACAATTGTACGACCTTCTAGCACAAATCAGAAATACGGTAGACCTAAAAAAACCAAAACTTTAAAATACATTTTCAGTTCTTGGCGTCTCGATAGTAACCATATTGGAAAATCGGTACTTCATACTATTCGGTCGGGAACAATGGTGGCGTCATTGTCGTATGCCATTTCTTATTTTCAATTATATTTTTGCATTGGTCTATTTTTACCCGGCTTATTATTATTTTCCAGATCAAGCCAGTGCATTGAAGGAGGTTTTTCGAGTAAGACATTTTTTACAACAATATGTCCCATCCAAAGAGCCCCAATCAGTTTAGGGGACAATTGCAAAACCGTTCACCTGGTGGTAATGGTTTCCTTGACTTTTTCAGGGTCCTTTATTTTTTAAAGTCTGGGGAATCCCCGAAAAAAGGACCTAAAGTTCTGCGTACCCCTCTGGGTATCTATTTTCAGGGTCACTCATTTTTAGGGTCCCAAATTTTTTCCAGTCTGGGGTTCTTTTTTTTCCAGTCTGGGGTTTCTTTTTTTAAAAGGGGACGTAAAATTTTAGAGTACTATTTTAAATAGAATGAACCCTATAAATTAAGAGACCCAAATTTTTAAGTGGCCCATCGTGTCCCAATTTTGAGCAACCCTTCAACCAGAACAGAAAGCTATACTTCCAAATTTCCAGATGCTCCCCGAGCTGCCACAAGAAATCTACGATGCTCCTGTCTTTGTTCTCGCCATTGACTTTCACTATGTTGTGATTCCAGTATTTATTATGTCCAACTTATTAATCGCCGAATCCGGGTGCTTTATAATTTTGATATATGGAAATATGAATGAGAGGACCAAGAAGCTATCCTTATCCCGGCACACTATAAAAATGCAGAGAAAGTTTTTGAGAGCTCTGAATATTCAAACTGCTATCCCGCTGCTCTATCTGATGCTTCCCATGGGCTATCTAGTGACTTCTAGAATTTTTAATTTATATTTTCAATCTGCAAACAATTTGTGCTTCATCATAATTGGTCTTCACGGATTATTCAGCACCATCATCATGCTTTATATTCATGCCCCCTATCGAGAAGTGTGTAAAAAAGTGTTTCATTGCAAATTGGAAGATTATTCTAGACGATGGTCCATGGTTTCAACTGTTTTATGACTATCGCGGAAAACTAGAAAAGCAAGAGTGTGGTCTTTTTGAGACGAAGGAACCAACTAGTTTTCTTTCTGACTTACATATTTCGTGAGGTGCTCTTTTTTTTCCTCATTCCAATATAAAAACATATGTGATTCACTCCTAATTACACAACACGTTCGTCCAAAACAAAATTTTTGCAATTTTGAGTTCATGCAAGTTCCGGGTTCCCGTTACAAATCTGAGCTCAGCAATTAATGCTCTGCTGAGCATTACGCTTTGTTCCAGATTCCAAGAAAATGAATGAGTGTAGAAGTATTTTCGGTCATATGATTCATGCTCGACTAGAGCTTGATCAAGTAACAAAAATGTATCAATACTAAAAATTTAACACTTCAATGATTACCTAATCGTATCTACACACCAGGGGGCACTTTTTACGCTGAGCTTTTTTAGGAAATTGTTTCACACAGTTTTTTCCGTAACATTTCAAAGAAATAAGAGCCAATAAAAAATGAGAAACGTGGATCCACAGTATTCGCATGATGCGAATTATAGTGAATTTATTCCTCTCAAAAGATAGAGAGAAAGTACCCCAAAAGTCGAATCAGTATTAAATACAAAAAAATAGCAACATAAATCGGGATATACTAAAAACAAGGCCCCTAAAAGTAAAATCAGCCATTAAAAATTATTTTCTTAGCCTTTAAAAAGCAGGCTTACGGCGCACAAACTTAAAAATCAGACTTCGAAAAAATATTCCGTAAAATCTGTATTAGAAGGACCCCTTTAATAGAAAGGTCCCTCTAATAAAAGGGCCCTCTGTGAAAAATTACCCCTCTTCAATGTGTTTTGGAATAGGCAGATTTTTTGGCAGATTTTCATGAATTTTGAACGAAACTTCGTCGATTTTTTAATGCAAAATTTCGGAAAAAACTATCCAGAAAAATAGAAGGGCCCCCTCTAATTGAAGGGCCCTTGTGGTAGAAGGGCCCTCTGGAGGTACCTTGGAACAATAGAAGGGCCGGTTCTTCTAGTACAGGTTTCACGGAAATGAAAGTAGGCTCAGTCCTTAAAAAGTAAGCTTAGAACCCTAAAATAATGTATACCTAAAAACAATGATATCTGAAAGTCAAATTAGAAGTTACTTCAGCTGTCAAAAAGTATGCGCAGAGCTTGAAAAGACATTTACAAAATGTGGAAAAATCGCAAGAAAATTCTGAATATCTATGCAAAAAGTTCCCTTTTCTGGTAATACTTGAAGTTTGTTTTCTAAGTTTTCGATTCCCAATGTTATAAAAACATTTTCTAATGTTCATAGAACATGTGTCTCTCAACCGATTCCGGAATATTTTTACAAATTTATAAAAGCTATGTTTTTTCCAGTTTAGAATATTCTAAAAACTATCCCAATAATTTTTTTAATGTTCAAATTAGCCTTTAAAAGTATTTAAAAATCCCTATGAATTGCCTATTCAGGAAAAACAATTTCCCCTTCTTTTTTCTGAACACTTGGTGATGTTTTTCCAGTTTCGGAAACTCCAAAAACTACCCCAAGAATCATTTGAATTTACAATCAGAAATTTCGAAAAAAATGATAGTTATTTTTTTTTGAAAACGTGAAGTATATAATAACCATCGAAACTTCATCTAACGTGCTCCCGATTAGCCCAGTGGTTAACAGGGATGAATTTGAAGCAACCATCGTTGGTTCGAGTTCTCCCCAGAGCCTAGTGGTTTTTGTCAGAGTACAGTAATCGGAGGTAATCGTGGAAAAAATACGGGAAATGCCCCCTGGTGTGGGTATACGATTGAGTTCAATGATTAGCACATGATTAATCAGAAAGGGAGATGGCAAAAAATGTCTATATTTTTTTCTGGAGGTACAGTGTGCTATTCACTTTTTCAATCAATGTTTCATAATTTCAGCTTTAACGCAACATAATTCCTTAAAGATTGCCTTCAAAAAGTGTCTTGAAATTGGAAATTTTCCGTGCGTTTCCAATGAAAAATACTCCGGAAATTCCAAAATTTGGAAGTTTTGTTGTTGATATTCTATATTTTTCATGAAAACTTGCTCAATCTTCGTGATATTGATAGATTTTTATGAATTTTGAACTCAAATTCGTCAGTATGTTTCGAAAAAAATTTCGGAATAAATAGGCGGAAAAATAGAAGGGCTGGCCCTTCTAATACAAGTTTTACGGTATATTCGATTTTCGAGCTATTTAAAACGTGCCAACAAACAGACTGACAAAGAGACGCAACTTCATTTTTTTTCTGACAGCGTTAATGTATAACTATTGACTGCACACTAATTGGTTTTGTTCCTTTTCCATACATTTGAAAATCCAAAATATTCAAGCAAAACTTTCGATAGGGCTCATGAATGAACATCATAACAATTGCCGACACCCATCCATGAAAGGATATCAAAATCATACAAATATTGTTAACAGCTTGGTTATAATATTCGAATATAAAACAAAAATCTAGATACGTAGCTGGTACGAATAACACAATAAGAGGTGTAAAAATCTGTAACATTTGATTGTTTCTTTGCTCTTTGAAACTGTTTCTAAATTGAGTTAAAACTACCTGAATCCCAATAGCAATCAAAAACCTTCTTTGTAAGTGGTAGGTCCTTTGAGACATTTTCCCATTGCTTGACAGTTTTCGCATGTTTAGAATTATTAAAAAACAGTACAAATTGATTTGGGATACGGTTAATGCGCCGGTTAAAAACACGGAAAGGAAAACGTAAGAAGAATCAACAGAGAATATGAATAAGGAATCTGAGTAAGAGGAGAATGGAATGTCAGGAAACTTCTGGAAACGAAAATTTAGGAATTTTCGAGAATTTATGTATCTTACCTTTTGTATGATTTCGAACGCAATAATTTGATTGGGAGCTTGTAATAATAGAGGAATAAGAAAAGTGCAAGCCACGAAATAGTTGAAAAACAACACAAAGGGACGGATTTTTCTCCAGAGTGTGTTAATGACGAATAATAAATAAAACCGATTTTCCATAACAGACACAATACTCATGCTGACTACTGTAATACTTTTTTGAAATAGAAGTCCTGGCTTTTCTGGTGTGCAAGCAGGTTTTTTGCGGGACGGTGTACAATGGTCAGTGACTACAGTACCTTTTAAGTAAGCACCAACGGTTGACAAGCTCCGGCTACGACCCCGTGGCTTAGCTGGTAAAGCTCACAAATTCTTCCACTCTTACCTGCGAACATTGTCCCGGCGAAATACAGTTCTATACCAGCACACTTTCCAAATACCTTCAGAACTCCATTAGAATATGCAGCAACGGCAGGAAAAAATACCACAGGCTGGATCAGAACACTAAAAACAATGTCGAGTGTCATACTGCATAAATGTAAATTTAAAATGACCAATTTCACGGAACTCATAGATTTCGGAGTTTTGAAGAGGATACAGTAAGCTCCTAACATGTTCACGGGGACAGTGATGAAAGTTAAGAAGTGGAATGTACGAGAAACGAATTCTGGCGATGACAGGAGAGAATCTGTCATGTTGAATGAAAAAAATTTGATTCAGAGATTTTTGAGCATTTTCAAGAGTGATGTAAGATGTTTTCTTGTCAAAACTGTTAATTAAAAAGAGCCAGCATTTCCTGTCTGCCAAAAAAAAACAACAGAAAGATCTATGATGACGTTTGATATTTGGATTTTTGCAAACAGTGATTGTCGTCTGATTTTTTTTGAATATCTAGTTCAACTTTTCATATTTTTTAATTTTAGAAACACGTTTAGAATATCCTGTTTTTTCTGAATCCATTCATATAAAAATCGTTTTCACGTCGTCATTTTAGAGGTGGTGTGCGGTGAAAATTTTTATTGCTTCATTTTGTGCTGAAATCCATGTAGATCCCAATAAAAATAAAGAAAAAGTTCAAAAAAAATCCTTCATTGAGAAAAACGGCGTCGAAAAGTCAAAGTTGTATCTGTTGGCCTAGCAGCCAGGTGAGAGTTTTCGAGGCCAACTGCCGGTAAAAGCGCGCGAAGTTCGAATTTTTATTGATTTTCAGTGTTTTCTCTGATTTTTGTCAGGTTTTTTCATACACCTGGGAGGAAATTAACAATAAAACTTTGAAATCTTTGAAAACGGCAGAGAAAACACTGAAAATCAATAAAAAATCGAATTTCGCGCGCTTTTACCGGCAGTTGGCCTAGAAAACTCTCACCTGGCCGCTAGGCCACCAGATACACCTTTGACTTTTCGATGCCGTTTTTCTCAATGAAGGAATTTTTTTTGAATTTTTTCTTTGTTTTTATGGGAACCTACATGGATTTCTGCACCGCACACCACCTTTAAAGATTTTTATGAATATCTAGGTCAACTTTTCTTGGTAAACTCACCGGATCAACCAAGTATTCAAATAATGCGAAGAAGAATCCAATAACCGGCAAAACAAGTAAAAGGTTTTTGTAGCTTCCCATTTTATCTTTCACGAAGAAAACTGTCATAGCAATGAACAGTGTGGAGGAGAGCGCGGTGAGGTAGAACCCAAGATTCGCCATTTTTCTAGCAAACGACATCCAGTAAGAAAACTTCATGGTTACTGGAAAATGTGGAGGAGTACGATGAGGAAGCTTAGCATATTTAATATGCGTTCATCATTAGAACAACATCACCAGACACGTTATAAATGAACCGGGAAGAAATGGAAAGTGATCTATTGCTCATGATGTTTCAAACAGAAAACTTATTTGAAAAATCTATTTTTTGTAGAAGGTGGGTGGGTAGTCGCGAGCCAATAAATTTGGCTCTTTTCTAGTTTAGAGGTCCCAAAAAAGAATAGAGGTCCGAAAAAAAAATTAGAGGTCCAAAATAAAATAGAGGTCTCAAAAAAATTAGAGGTCCCAAAAAAGTTTAGAGGTCCCAAAAAAAATAGTGGTCCAAAACTTTAAAATGCACAGGAATAATGTACTAGAATTTGAATTGTGTAAGAATTTAAAGTTTTGAGGTCTTATAGCAAAATAATTGTTGATGATAAATTTTATACTTCTAATAGGCTTAGGAATGCATATTTTCTGACAATTATCTAAGTCTGAGAGACAGCATGATCCCTTCGTTCGATATGAACTTATCTGATTTTCCAAGTTCTGGTTTGTAGTTTTTTTAAATCAACGATTAATTTTGTACAAACTTTTTTAAATAAAACATTTTTCAGAAATTCGAAATTGATCTTTTTGAATTCTAGAGAAATTTCCAGTCTTCTGGAATGATTCATGCTTCCCTTTTTGATGTTGTTTTGTATTTTCATGTGATTTCTGTAACTGCAATGACGTTTGATAGTCATATTGAAATACAATATTTGGTCTGTGGTAAGAGGAAGAAAAACCAGGAAATTCGGATATCTAGTAATGATACTTATCTTAAACGAATGAGTATTTTAATTTCCTTTTTGGCTCTTTTCTAGTTTAGAGGTCCCAAAAAATTTAGAGGTCCGAAAAAAAATTAGAGGTCCAAAATAAAATAGAGGTCTCAAAAAAAAATAGAGGTCTCAAAAAATTTTCATATTAAATATGCTAAGCTTCCTCATCGTACTCCTCCACATTTTCCAGTAACCATGAAGTTTTCTTACTGGATGTCGTTTGCTAGAAAAATGGCGAATCTTGGGTTCTACCTCACCGCGCTCTCCTCCACACTGTTCATTGCTATGACAGTTTTCTTCGTGAAAGATAAAATGGGAAGCTACAAAAACCTTTTACTTGTTTTGCCGATTCTTCTTCGCATTATTTGAATACTTGGTTGATCCGGTGAGTTTACCGTAAAACCTGTAATAGAAGGGCCCACACACTGTCACGTTTTATCTCAAGTTGTGTGAAAGATATCAAAAAATTGATAACTGATAAATTGTTAACCAAAATAACAACAGTATTTCACCAGCTGACCATTTTCCGGTACCTTTCACAGGAACCGAGATAAATTGGCTCAAAGTTAGGAGACCCATCATACATAGGTTGTAAGGCATCATAATACATTAAAATTAATTTCAGTTCTTTCATTCATACAATGGTTCATTTGCATTCTTCCGATTGTCTTCATTTGAAAACTATTCCGCAAAATTCAATATGTGCGCATTAGCGGTCTACGTCGCCTTATATGGAAGCACCGTTTCAGTATTGGCTCTACAATTTGTATATCGATACTGTGCAGTATTCAAGTAGCTCATTTTTTTGTAAAACAACAATTTCAAGTATCCTGTTTCAGCCCCCGCTACATCCGAATGTTTTTCGAGGGTCCTCAATTCATATTCTCTATAATTTACATCGCATTTTTTTGCTTTTTATTTTTCATCAATGACCTAATATTCAATCAACTGGATGAATACTCAACTGAATATTTGAAAAACGACATGATGGAAAGCTATGGGGTGAATGTTACTAACGTAGCTGCGTTTGTATTAGTGGCGTATGACGAGAGTGGTCACATTCGGATCAAGAATACAGTAGGATTATTAGCAATGTCATTAGAGTTAAACATCCAATACATCATCATTATCTATTGCGCCGTTGTGATGAGCTCAAAAATGCAACAGAAATTGTCGACGTTATCGGAAAAGCTTCAGAAAGTTCACAAGCAGTTTTACTATGTACTCATTTTTCAGGTAAGTATTTTGGGTCTATCGCAGAAGAGAGGTCCTAAGTAGACCCAGTCGGCCCTATGATGGAACCATCGGTCTCAGAATCAGAGACTTATTATCTTATCCCAGGGGGTGGGACCTTGGCAAGGTTAATGGGAATATGGTCGGTTGGATGCGACCTCGGTCGTCATGTTAGGGCCGCTCTTATGATCAATGGACCGGACCCGTGGGTGGCTTTTCAGGACTGCTGGTCCTAATATGGGAAAGACAGGCCAAATGTGGGAACGACGGGCCCAACATGAGACCTCTCTTCTGGGATAGACCTGATTTTTTTTTGCTGGAAATTTTGAAAATAGTTCAATTTTCAGATCTCTGTGCCGACTGTAGCTTTATTCTTCCCGGTTTTCGTTTTGTTTTTTGTTCCATTTCTGGATATAAAAATCAGTTTTCCAACTGGCGCAATTCTCAGCTCATTTGCACTTTATCCAGCTGTAGATCTCCTAATTTTGATTTATATTTCGTCCTTTTACAACAAAGCAATGAAAGGTTTGAGAGTATTTGTATAACATTTTGATTTATTCAAAATGTTACAGATTTCATTAAATTGATATGGCGATGTGGGAAGAAAAATGACTCGCGGATCTATGCGACGTCTACAGCGAATTCTTATATGGTGAGGCTTAGAAAATCTTTTAAATGTAAAATGATTAAAGAACATTTCAGAACACAAATTTGACTTCATAAAAGCCAAAACTGAGACACGCCGGAAATTATAATTGGTTTCTATAACGAAAGCAGAAAATAATTTCCGTCCAATAGATATCACATGATTGAAATAACAAAAGTATAGGCATTACCTCATTGTCTTTCGCTGTCATTGAATAAAGTTTTCCAATTGCCATAAACACTCTAATCATGTATCTCATTTTCTGTTAGAGATATGAAAAAGTGGTTAACTAATAAAATGTTACTGATATCATGAAAAACATTTTATTAGTTGACAACTTTATGATATCATTCAAAATAAGTGAGATATATAGGCTCAAATTGGACGGTCCGGGTGATCTTCTATTAGAGTGTTTACGGTATGTTGAAATTTCTAAAGGTATGGCAAAACTCGGGTATTTTGTTTCATATGGTGATTTGGAAGAAAAAAAGGAATCGCGGAACTATGCGACGTTTACAGCGAAGTCTTATACATATGGTTCAGCTCAAAAACAGATGGATGTAAAGTAATTGTCGAATAGTTCAAAACTCAAAACTGACTTTATGAAAGCCGAGAAAATACCGGAAATTATTATGGTTATTTTTAACACAACCATAGAACAACTTCCGTCCAATACACATTACATGATTGATATAACAAACGTATACGAATTACCTCACTGTCTATAACTCCTACTGTTGTCATTAAATGAAGTTTTCCCACTGTGTTGAATTTGCTAGAGGCATGGCAAAACTCGGATTTTTTCTCACTGCATTCTGTTCATCGCTTTTCTTAATTTTGACTGTTTTTTTCGTCAAGGATAAAATGGGCAGCTACCGATATTTTTTAATGATGTTGCCTGTAATTGGCTTCATCTTTGCGTTTTGTGAGTTCATGACTGACCCGGTAAGTTTTAAAACTGAGCGGTTTGCGGAACGGAGTTTGGAGTTCCGGAACAAAAATCGACGGAATTGAAAATATTACTGTAGCTGTTAGAGTTTCTAAGAGGTTCGAAACATCTCAGAAAACCGAAAATAGTCTAGAAATAGTCTAGAAATTGACATGCAGGAGAGGGGGGAATGGGTGGCTTCCAAATATTTCAAAAATCAGAAATTTTGGAAATTTCGAAAATTTCAAAAATTCGCAAACGAAGAAATTTCAGTTCTTCCACTCTTATAACAGTGGATTCGCATTCTTCCGGCTGTCTTCATTTGAAAACTTTTCGCCATTTATCAATCTTTGTGCTTTGGGATGTTACGTGGCGTTTTATGGTAGCACAATTTCAGTGCTGACGCTACAGTTTGTGTATCGGTACTGGATAGTCTTCAGGTTGGTCCTTTAGCAAAGCTTTGGTCTCTGACGCAGAAAAGAGGTTCCAAGTTGGGATCGTCGGTCTCATGATGGGACCATCGATACCAAAGAGGTACTCCAGGGTCTCAGCGATCATAAGAGAGGCCCCCACATGACGGCCGTGGTATCATTCCTCCCATCTCGCCTATCACGGTCCCGTCCTCTTGGCCACGTTCCCGGTCAATGTGATGGCATCATGATCGGAGGAATGTGACCACAAGGGGCATGTTCTATATTCGACGGGACTGATGGTCCCATCACGAGACCGACGTGGGACCATTTCTCTGGGATAGATCTAAACACTCTTCAAAACTAATTCTTAATTAAGGCCTCGCTTTATTCGAGTATTTTTTGACGGTAAACGATTCATTTCCGCAATATTTGTCGTTTCTCTTTCATGGTTCTGTTGGTTTTCAAATGCTCTAATCTTTCATCAATTGGATGATTATTCATCAGAATATTTGGGAAAAGACATTTTGGATAAATATGGATTGATTCTGTCCGAGAAGCCGGAGTTTGTAATCGTTGCTTATGATGAGAATGGTGATGTTCGATTGAAGAACTTTTTGGGATTAATGGTGATGTCATCGTTATTGGTAATCCGGCACTTTTTTGGGGTATATCATGAAAATCTGTTTTTCAGGGCAGTCAATACGGGATAATGATTTATTGCGCAATTGTGATGAGTATAAAAATGCAAGAAAAACTATCCGTTTTGTCAGAAAAACTTCAAAAGGTGCACCGTCAATTCTATCATGTTTTGATACTACAGGTTTGCAGGAAACATCAATCTACGGGCTTTATCCCAAAAGAGTGCCCCCAAGATGGGAACATCGGTCTCATTATGGGTCCTCTCTTTTTGAATAGACCGAAATCAAAGATCTAAAAAATAAAATTCAGATCACCACACCAACATTGACCCTATTCTTCCCAGTATTTGCTCTATTTTTTGTGCCTTATCTGAATATTGAAATCAGTTTTCCAACTGGAACGATTTTAAGTACTTTTGCATTATATCCAGCACTGGATCTCTTAATTATGGTGTACATTGCTTCGTACTATAATCAGGCGCTAAAAGGTACACATTATTCATTGCATACTATTCACTGAATACTGTAATGAGTATACTAATTTTGGTCCCAATGCATAGCACACAACGACCGTATACTCTATACCGGATATGTATTCAACTGCATAATTTTCAGATTTGCTGAGAAGTTTTTGGCGAACTTTTAGAAGAAAAAACGGAGCGGTTCACATAGATCCTTCAATAAGATTGGAGACAATGAGCACCAGAATCGTAAGTGTTGGGAAAAACATTTAAAATATTTTTTTTGAATTTTCAGGGATCTACCACAATGTGAGTCCTTCAAATCCTTCCATACACAAACGGAATCACTTTGTTCCATTATAATTTTCACCCGTTACTTGTTTTCTGAAAGCTGCTTCCGTGTTCACATCACAATATGTGTTTTATTCAGTTAATATATTTAAGATCAGCAAGCTGGTGCGCCTTCGGCGCGAATTCAATTCAGTTTTTTCAATGGTTCGTGGCTCCGCTCCTCCAATTATTTCTAAAGGGTCACATAAATCTATATTTTTTAAAGCTTTTCAAAAGCGAACAGCCTGACAACAGGACACACAGACGCGTGTAGCGTTTTATTTATAAGGAAGATATCAAAAACTAAATTTAAAAAATATTTTTCAAATTAATGAACATGAAAAAATGTTTATAGAAGTTTTGTTCTGATAAGCCTCTCAAGAAGTTGAACATGTGAGCCCACCCTTTGCCTTGATTACTGTAGTCTCCGAGACACTTTAAACAATATCCTACTTGCCACAGAAGTTTTTGCCTTGACTTTGGACTCTACGTCACTCCTTCGTTTAAGTATCCTATAACCCAGATATTCATCAAACGCATATCCACTAGCTTTAGTGAGTGGCAATATCATGTCAATGATTGTTTCAAAAAATGGGATCGCCAAGATTAGAAACGATGCAATCACATTGAATATGAAAATAACCGTGGCATCGATAAGGGTCAACTGGTTTGCCTAGAAAAAGTTCGAAAATAAGGTCTAAGAATAATAATCGAACTTCACCCTTTCTAGATTCTTGTTCTTTGCTTCTTTATTGAAAAGAAAAAACTTTACAGCAATAGCCAAAGACCCTATGACAATGATACCATGTTCAACCTGAATTTCAAATACCTAATTGTAAGTTAGTCTTGAAGATGAAAATGACTGGCTTTCGGCCAAATCCTGAACTTTTTATCCGAATTCAAAATATCTCACCGTTTCCTTTGATACTATATACTGTAAAAAACATTGACCCACAAGACACGGATAGTTTGTACAGCCCAGTGGAAATCTCAATTCAAAATTGCAGATTTTGATTGGTACAAAACCCCTGCCGGGGGCTCAACCTCCTGGGTTTTGTTTACTTTATCTTACATTTGAATTCCTAATTTCAGAAATTCCCACTTTCCGTGTTTACGAAATTTCCGAGTTTTATGTTCAAAAGTTATATTTTCCCGACATCGGAATTTTTGAAAGTTTTAGTAAGTTTGAGCATAATTTTGAAATTTTCGATTCTCAGCCCTTTAGGTTCCCTATTAGCTAGGAGGTCCACGATGTTGACAGCGGATCCTCAGTCAGTCGAGACCGATCCTACGTCCTAACCCGAGAGTGTCTGCAACCTGAAATGACCCCCAATTCCCCCCAAATGTGTAAGATAAGCGGTGCAAAGGAAATAACAGTACACAAAGTATTCAAATCCAAGTTTATTAACGGAAAGGGATTTGAATAAACGGCAAAGACAACTGAATTGGGAAAAGAAAGCAAGAACAGAAAAAAAGTAAAGGTGTAGGGCTAAAACCTCCTGGGAGCTACCGGAGGAAACCTTGCTGCCTTCTAAAACTGGTACTAACAAACCAAAACGATGCCAAACGTAGAAAACTAGCTGAAAGGATAAAAAAGGTTAAACGGGACCGCATAGCGGTCAGCTCTTGGTGAGATACGAACACTCGCTTCGCCGCAGCGAAGACTGAGTAACGACGGGCGGCCGGCGCCAGTGCCGAGTGGCGCGGCGCGGTCGCTGCAACGCGGTCGTTGGCGCGTATTCAAATAATATTAATATTATTTGAGTGAAACAATGTACTTGTAATTAGAGAACGAAGAGAGATAAGAAGGGGAATGAACATAACCCGAATAAAATAATCCAGAGGGATTTTATGGGGAAAATCGGGAGACTCTGGGTTATCTCGCTTTCAGGTTGTCATTGTTCCAAAACAATGGGAAAAATTGACAACACACGACACCATAGACATGAAGCGCTCGGCAGTTCACCACACACCACTATAGGAGTCCCATGCCCCTTTGAGTTATTCAAGTAAATGTCCGAGACAGACACACACACAGACAGACAGAAAAGTTTCATCAGTAAGAAAAAGATTGTCAAAGATCGGTGAGACTCACACAAACAACATCAGAACCCAGTTTGGGATACTCGAAAGTTGAGCTCGGTAGGAAATCGGAACAAATACTGCAAACATTCGATCAAGTGTTATAACAACCACGAGAAGACTGCGAATAGTTGTAACAAGTACGTTGGGATGATATGTTGAAAATGTAACGACTGGGTCCACCAATAGGTTCATTTCATTTAAAACATCAACAGTCGTCGTCGAAAATTCTGAATTTTCGATTCTGAAAGTGTGCTAAAACCTCAATTCACCTCCAAGTCCAGCTATTCCATCAATCAAAAGTCTGAAGTAGAATAATGTCAAAGTTTCCGATTTTGTAAGCGTTCTTGATCTGAAAAAGTGTTTTATTATTCTAGATTTTCAAATATCCCTCACATAAACATCGAGTACAGCAGCCCGAAATCTATAAAAACATTTATAGAACCAAGAATGAAAATGAAAATGTCCACTAGAATATGCATAGGTACCAAATAAAGTTTTGAGTGAAAAAAAGCTTGATTAACTTTGTTTTGGGAAAAAGGAACTAATTTTTCTTCAATTAAAAAAAATTGTTTTCACTGTGTTCTGTGTTCTGCTACCAAGACATCACAAATCAAGTTTACTTCTGGGAGTATAGAGGATACTGTTTTATGACCCCCGGTATACAGTATACCGAAGATAACTTGGTCATATACAGTATACTAATAGGCGTAGTCCAGGCTCCGCCCACTAGAATCGTACTCATTTGGAAAAATCTGATTCAATCTAACTCCATTATTATGTCTTCCTATATCAATTATTTTGTCCATCCAACTACTTCTATGCCAATCCAAGTTTCCCTTCGAAACTTGCCCGTTTTCGAGTCTTTCTACCCATCCCTTCTGGAACAAGTCACCGGCTCTGGTAGATTCTTCTGTCCACACCCTAAATTTTCATTCTCTGGAATGGAAGAGAGTTCAAAGTATCAGTTGAGTCTCCGATTTGATCGTATGTCGGATAATAAGTGAGTTTTGGATTTTTTTTTCTTTTTAGAAGTTTCGGTACGCATTCTGACGCGACGGTGTACAGGGATTGGTGTCGTTCGGCCGCGCAGCTACCGTAGATCAACTGGTAGCGGCGTGGCTCCAACGCTGCGCCCACAAGTTCAACTCCTTGAGGGGTTGTTTTGAACAAAACTTCGAGAAAATTATTTTTCAAATTTCAGATTCCAATTCAAGAGCAATGGTGAGTGGGAGGTGGACGAAACGAAGAGACAGTCAAAGTCTGAAAAGGAAGATCCTATTTTCCTTCATCCCGATATCACAACTGGAAGCGAATTAATGTCCAGAGAGACTGAATTCATCGTTCCGATCACTCATAGACCTGAAGTGAAAAATACGAAGCATTTAACATCCAAAGCTGTGGCTCTGGAAACCTGCGTCAAGTACCAACCTGTATTGATAGTAGCCAAAATCCCAGAAAATGGTCAAATGGGAATCATATCTCAAGAATTCAAGTTTGACTGCTTAGCTTTTATGGCAGTGTGCAGGTATCGGGTTAGTTGATTACATACGTTATAGGCGTATAAACTTTTTTCAGAACAGTAGAGTATCCGCTATCAAATCAGAACTCAACGGATACGCTAAAAGTGCGGATAAACGAAGAATCTCTAGGATGAATAATAAGGACAAACAACGTACGCCAGCAACCCTTCCGATGGCAGAATCTGTGAACCATGCTCCTCAGCCATCCACATTCAACCACGCTCCACTGTTTCAAGCTCAAGCTCCAGGACACCCATATCAAAGCCCACACATTCCAAATTTCCAAGAACATTATCCATTCCCATCAAACGAAAACTTTTATCATCCAGTTTATCATAATACTTCTTATTCCTCCGGTGATGGTTATCCTCCTGTTTTTGATCAACTTTATTTCTGAATTGTTTCAATAAACGTACTTGTTAATCAGCTCTTCAATAGTTACAAATTTTATAGTTGAGCCTTACCATCGGGTTTGAGACCGCGTAGCTCAACCGGTAACGGTGCTGCTCCCCTGGCAAGAGATGTGCTTCGCAAAGAATCTTTTTCTTTTTCTATGCTTTTTCAATGTCACCACAAAGTTGGTCGTACGGCCGACCAGTTGAAAACATTGACGAGTGGTTGACGCCGGCCGGTCGATGTTAATTTTCGAAAAGATCATAGTCCCCACACGGCCGCCCCGCCGCCTGTTCTCTCCTCCCTGAAGAATTGACTTAAATAATTTATTTTAGGTTTTCGTAAACTTATTTCCAGAACAGGCGAGTATCAAATCAGAAATCAACGGATATGGTAAAAGCGCTGATAAACGAAACATCTCTAAAAACAATGATGCAGTGAACATTTTTGTCATGAGTTCAGTTTAATCTGTAATAAAAATCTGCAAAAAAAAATCATATTGTTATCAGGGAAAACACCTAGGTTAATGATTAACTTTTTTGCTTTTTTGCTTCCTCCACAAGGTCGCTTATTTTTTCAATTATTTCGAATCATCTGTATGAGACACCCAACAAAAGGTATTTCCTTTCATTTTAAGTATGATTGATTGTCCTCGACATGTTCTAAGCAGTCCCGAATTCCTGAAGATTACATTCCATGTGATCACTATCATAGCAATTCCAATTCACACATTTGGTTTTTACTGTATAATTCGGAAAACTCCAAAACATATGGATTCCGTAAAAATGCTCCTCTTCAATTTGCATTGTTGGTGTGTGCTTTTGGATATTGCTATCACTGTTTTTGGAATACCGTATATATTTCTCCCGGCCCTGGCTGGATATCAGTTAGGATTCGTTGATGCTCCAGCTCTCGTTTTTTATCTTGTTGTCACTTTTTTAACAGGTAAGGTAATTTTAGTCAAAAGCTACTTAAGATGAGAATGGTTATAGGAGTTTCTACATCCATTTTCGTAATCTACGAAAATCGATATCATATTTTATTTGGGCGAAACTGTTCATGGAGATTTTTTAGAAAATATTGCATTGTTTTATCGTATTGTCTGGTACCTTTGTATTTCGTAGCTCCGATATTTTCTGTTCCAGAACAGGAGACAGCTAGAAAGATTGTCTGGGAGGTTTGTAAGGTTCAGAACTATATACTTTTGATGAATCAGTAATTTTAAGAGTCTCTCTTGTGCTCCTGAAATTCCGGAAGGTCATTTTGACTTTTTCGTAATTTCTTTAAACATTCGACTCATGGCAATAACTATAGCAATAGCGGAAGGTGTACCTTTTTTCCAAATTCTTATATTTTTCTCTCTAAACTTTTACAATTTGATTTTGGCCAGACAACCGAGTGGACTCTCCAGGAAAACTACCCAGATGCAGAATCGACTCGTGCTCGCATTGTTTGTACAGGTAACTTTGAAATGTACAGGCGCAAAGAATTTTTTAGGCCATTGTAGCGGATGGCGTAGAAATGAATTAAGATTCATCAGATGTGTTTTCTAGACCATATACCATAGCATAGAGAGCGGTCGTATCAGGTCGTTTCTTGGCCACCAACTTTGCTAGCCTAGAAAACTCAACTCGCAAAAGTTAGACAACCAAGTAAAAATTTCAGTCATCCGTCACATTTGTCATATTTCTTGTTCCAGTTAATGGTATCATTCTTTTCGTGTATACCGGTTATCATAATCAAATTTTGAATAATTTCGTTTTTCTTGCATTTGCTAGCCACGGAACTGTTATCATGGTTGTTGCTCATAAACCATATCGTCAATTTTTCAGTTTATTATCAATTCGATCGAGTCGCAAAGCCACAATTATGGTGGTTAATTCAGATGTTAGATTGTAAACTTCATTTCTCAAGAAATTGAGTTTTGAAAAATAAAATAGATCGATCTTTAGCTACTGCAACGTTACTTTGTTCAAACAATGGTACTGCCCGATTTTTTGAGTATACCTGAAACTGTGAATTCAACTTTTTTGCAGAATTCCAGTTTTCAAATTTTTTTCCGCTCACCGATAGTCCTGAACAACATACATCACAGTAATAGCATCATGTCTGGCTACAAATGCACAATCCATTTGAAGAGAAAAATACAAATCGAGTTCGATCTCTAACAGAAAACTACTTGAAAAAAATCATATTTTTATCAGAGATTACAAAATCACCTGTGTTATCAATGAATTATTCTGCTTCCTCTAGAAAGTTGCCTTCTTTTTTTGAATCAGTTGTATTTTTTTTCTACTACAAGTTTTTTTTTCTACTACAAGTATGATTGATTGTCCTCGACATCTTCTGAGCAGTCCCCAATTTTTGAAGATTACATTCCACGTCATCACCATTATTGCTATTCCCATTCATTCTTTTGGTTTCTACTGTATAATTCGAAAAACTCCAAAACATATGGATTCCGTAAAAATGCTCCTCTTCAATTTGCATTGTTGATCTGTGCTGTTGGATATTGCTATCACTGTTTTTGGGATACCGTACGTTTTTTTACCGGCCATGGGTGGATATCAGTTAGGAATCTTTGATGCTCCAGCTCTTATTTTTTACCTTGGTGTCACTTTTTTGACAGGTAAGATATCTTTGTCGAAAACTTACTATCAGAATGATTATATGGGTTACTACATCAATTTTTGTGATCTTCGAAAACCGATATCACATATTGTTTGGTCAAAACTCTTCGTGGAGATTTTTCAGAAAGTATTGCATAGCTTCATCATATTGTCTGGTACCATTATATTTCGTACTACCGCTATATGCAGTTCCAGAACAGAAGGCAGTTAGAAAAATTGCTTGGGAGGTTTGGGAGGTTCATAAATAACTTTTTTCGCCAATTGAGTGTTTTTTAAGAGTCTTTCTTGTGTCCCTGAAATTCCGGAAGATCATTTTGAGTTTTTCGTATTAACTTTAGATATTCCGTTTCTGGCAATTAATATAGCAATCGCAGAAGCTGTACCTACCTTCCAAGTTTCCACATTTTTATTTGAATGTTTACAATTTAGTCTCGTGCAGACAACCGAGTGGGCTCTCCAGGAGGACTTTTCAAATGCAAAATCGGCTCGTTCTTGCATTGTTTGTACAGGTAACTGGAAAATATACAATGGCAAAGAATGAAGAGGGTCGATTGGCTTATTGGGTCAAAACTTTGCTCAAGCTTATCGATTATACATATGTGTGTTGAGCGGAAATACAATTTCGCTTCACGGAAGACGGAAGACCGGAACGGAAAAAAATTTTTTGACGGAAGACGGAAGAAGGAAATCCACGGAAGACGGAAAACGGGAAATCTAATAATTAAACTTGGAAATTTTGAATTGGACAATACGTTAGAATTTAATTTTCGCATCGGGTTTGCCGTTAGACGGACCGCCGAAAGAATTTTAGAAAGTTCGACTAAAAATTCGATAATTCCTGAAAAATTTTAGTCTTCCGTTTGTTGTGATTTTGCCGGAGTTTACGGAAGACGGAAGCCGGAAGACGGAACGAAGAAAACCACTGAAGACGGAAAACGGAAGACGGAAGACGAATTCCGCTCAACACTGGTGCAGACGCCTTTTTTTCTGAATTTTTCTCGAATGTTTTGAGATTTTTAGCCAACATTTAAACAAAAGCTACCATATATCAGGTTAGTACATAAGTTTCTTTCGATTTTGGCAAAATTTTCGGTCAAATTTTTCTCAAAGCGGAGGGCCAGATCAATGAAAGTAACATCCATGAGCATTAATAGTTGTCTGGTAACGCTCTGGTTTTTCTTGATTCCTTCGGCCCAGAACTAGGAGGACTGCGATAGAAAACGGGGGTCAACTCCTTTGTTGTGTCATCTTTTCGATTGAAGTCTTTTCTATCAAGATGACATCTAAGAGCCCCAAACAATCATTCATTCGAAAGTGCAAGATCCAGAAAATACAATGGGTGCAAAAGAATAGTCCAGCCAAACGACATGTGTTTTCGGCTGATCCCTCTGGTGACAGGCGATGTCGCACTGTCGAGTTGGAAGCAAACCTTTGCTTTTTCTCCTTTTTCCGATTCGACTGCCAATATCAATTTCTCTAATTATTAGCTGTTTATGACGTTCATTATATTGGTACATTCATCTAAAAGTTCCCAGTCTCCACTCCTTTGACAGACTATCAAACACATAGCATACCCTTTTTCACGGGAAATTTAGGTTCCGGGACGTCCAGAGCTAGCTGTTCTTTGGCAATCAACTGACCCTTCCGCACATTGATAGAGTAACCGCCCCACTTTTCATCCACAGTAATTAGATCATTCACCCAACTGAAGGTGTCAAGAAATGATGGGAGAAACATGACCATGTCTACACGGCGATCCATATCGTCGTCCTTCAAAGTATAGGTTAAGAATCGACCCAGTTCTTGAAGTTGTCAAGAGACTTCAATCCGGTCACAATATTTGGTTGACTAACTGACAATGCCTTTGACATTTTGCAAGTGGTTTTAAGCGAATCGGTTTCAATAGTATTCTTAAATAGGTCCATGTGCAACTCCCGGACCGAGCTTCGTCTTCCAGTCCTAAATTTTTGGCTTCAAAATGATCGGTTCCATGCTTGATGGTAGGAGTAATAAGAGATCCCTCTTCATCTATTTCTTTCATTTTCTTGTAGATAACATGCCTTTTTGAACCAGAAAGGAATAAAAATAAAATGACATTTTAAAAGTGTAGACGGTAAGTGACAAAAGCCAGCGCCGTGCTCGTGAACGATAAGAAGTAGGGATGAAGCAAAATATGTAAAACAAGTCCGTGAGATATTCTATCCAACAAAAAAAACATCCTTCAAGAAAAACCATCTCACTGACTAGATATCAATTTTCAAAGTTGACCGTTCAACCTCGAAAGAAACTTATGCGCCAACCTAATATTTTGATTTCGTTTTACCTGTTTTTTGGCAAAATTTTTTCGGGCCGAGGCGGGCCGAGAAAATGTCTAATCCGGCCAGTCCCTTTGCAACTATAAAAAAGTTACACATTTTGATGAGTTTCTAAAAAGTGACCAATGAGTGAACCAATGAAGAAAAAAACTCAGCACTCATCATTTCTGTCTGCTGTAAGAGTTTCTAGAACATTTTCGATCTTTCAGTCTTCGGTCACATTGGTCTTATTTGTTGTGCCAGTCAATAGTATCATTCTTTCCGTGTATACCGGTTATCAGAATCAAATTTTGAATAATTTCATTTTCCTAGCATTCGCTAGTCATGGAATCGCATCCACTGTTATCATGGTTGTTGTCCACAATCCTTATCGCAGATTTCTCCGTTCACTATCACTTCAATCAAGCCGCAAATTTACAATCATGGTGATAAATTCTGAGATTAGATTTAGAACCACATAATTTATCAAAGGTTTGAAAAATAAATTAATTCAATTCTTGGCAACTGCAACATGCTTGAATGGAGTCTGAATTGTATTCCTTCTTGTTTCGTTCAACAGAACATTGCCCGCATTTTGAACAAATCTAAAATTTGTATTTTTCAATATTTTCGCAGAATTCTCAATCACAAACTTTTTCCGCTCGCCGATATGGCTGAACAACATATTTCATAATTATAGCATCCATAGCTGGATACAAAAGTAGTGAACAAAAAAAAATTCCCGTGGGAAGATTTATTTCAAGATTAAGTAATGTTAAATAATTAACGTTACAGTAAAAAAAAACAAATTGATGGTAATAGCAACACTTGAAGGACCAGCTCTAGGATCAATAATTCAGTCAAACGGGGTCAACGATTCTTTCGGCAAAATTTGTCGACCCCCCTCTCCACTGATTCAAACACCAGGACACACTCGCTATTGTAGTCATCTAAGCTATTCCAAGTTCAAGAACATTGTCCATTAGACGAGAAAAAAAGATAATAAATCGAGTTTGGTCTCAAACTTCTCGAAAAAATCATATTTTTATCAGAGATTACAAAATCACCTGTGTTATCAATGAATTATTCAGCCACCTTTAAAATTTGCTTGTTTTTCAAAAAAAAACTTGATTTTTTAAAATCAGTCGATCCCGGTTTGAAACGCTTTTGTAAAGAAGTTGGTGATCAAAAAGGCCTAACATGAAACTGATGTGTCAAAGTGGCCTAGAAAACTCACCAGAAGAGTAACAAGCTATTAATACAGGGTCCGCCAAAATTACGTGTGCACAACTTTGACGCCATGGCGCTGCGCACTGACGCACTTTTGGTGCGCAATTTTTTAAAATTTTTATTAATTATTTCATTATTTATTAGTTTGCCAAATTTCATCCCAATCGGTTATGTTTTAGGTAAATGACAGCGGCAAGTCCTCATCGTACTCTGATCGTCGACTTTTACAAGCGAGGTTTAAGCACAGGAGACATTTCTAAACGACTCGGAGTGCACCGAAACACGGTTTTCGCGACCATCCGTCGTTTCAACCAGCTTGGCCACCTCAAGGACCGTACGGGAAGAGGAAGACCGAGGACTGTAAGAACTCCAGCGAAAGTCAAGGCCGTCCGGGAGAAAGTCAGGCGAAATGCTCATCGTTCCATGAAAAAGATGTCAGATGACATGGATATCTCCTATACATCAATGAAGAGAATTGTCAGAAAAGAGCTGAAGATGACCTCTTATCGAGCAACAAAAGCTGCTATTCTATCCCAAGCCAATAAGGAGAAACGGCTCATCAAAGCGAAGCGCCTTCTCGCTGGCACGCGCAAAAAGGATCATCTTATCACCATCTTCTCGGACGAGAAACTCTTCAGTGTCGAGGCTGAATTTAATAGCCAAAACCACCGAGTGCTGGCCACAAATATTCAACAAGCAGCTGAGCGTGGTAAAACAATCCATCGAGCCTCTCATCCTGCGAGCATCATGGTTTTCGGAGCGGTTTGCTATGATGGGAAGTGTCCGCTTGTTTTCGTTGATAAAGGCGTGAAAATCAACCAAAAATACTACGTTGAGGAGATTCTGGAGAAGCATGTGCTACCGTGGGCTCAAAACCACTTCGGTCAGAAGAAATACATCTTCCAGCAAGATGGAGCGCCTGCTCATACCGCAAAAATGGCTCAACAGTGGTGCAAGGACCACTTCCCCGCCTTCATACCAAAGGACGAATGGCCGGCTTCGTCGCCTGATCTGAACCCGCTCGACTACTCCGTATGGGGAGTTCTGCAGAATAAGGTCTGCGCAAGACCTCATGCAAATATCGAGGCCCTGAAGAAGTCGTTGTCTGAGGAATGGGACAAATTATCCGTCGAATACCTGCGTGCCACCATTGATGCCTTCCCTCGACGACTTCGTGCCGTGGTCGCTGCCAAAGGAGGTAGAATCGAATAATTTTTGTTGAATTATGATTTCAAGCGTTGAAATAAACTATCTGTTAAATTTCGTCTTAATCTCGCATCTACTTCTGGAGATAACGTCATCTACACTTGCACACGTAATTTTGGCGGACCCTGTAGATCATGAACATTGATGGCCTAGAATTTTCGTCTTGAGAATATTTGTTAACCATGCGAAATGGTCAAAAAATACATCTTACTTACAAAAACCCAGAAACTTGATATTGCCACTAATACAGCCACCGCATACGTTTCAAGAACATTTTCGAGTTTGCAGACAGCTGTCTCATGCGTCTTATTTCTTGTGTCTATCAATTATTTTCGTGTATACTCTTTATCAGAGTAAAATTTTGAATAATTTCTGTTCCTAGATTTGCCATATCGGGAATTGTATATCCAATCAAGTCGCAAATTGACAATCATGGTGATTAATTCGGATGTTATTAGGAGCAGATTTTTACCAACAATCAAAATTTTAGAAAATAAAATATTTCAATTCTTGACTACTGCAACATTATTCTGTTCAACCAAAATTACAGCCCTCTTTTTCGAGAAAATCTGAAATTGGTTTTTTTACATTTTGCGCCAGAATTCGCGTAGTCAAACTTTTTGCCGCTCGCCGATAGTCCTGAACAACATACTTCACAATTATCGCATGCATGGCTGGATACGAAGGTAGTACACAAAAAACATTCCCGTTGGAACATCCACTTCAGGCCTGTGCGGCAACAAATTGCCGATTGCCGAAATTGCCGAAATTGCCGAATTTTTGTTGCCGATTTGCCGTTGCCGAAATCGGCAACGAAGAAAAAGTTGTCGTATTGCCGTTGCCGATTTCGGCAAAAAAATTTCGGCAATTTCGGCAACTAAAATTTTTTTGAATTTAGAGATTTTCACAATTTTTTAGTCAAAAAAATGATATCGAAGTTCGAAAAATCAAAATTTGAACACAATCATCCCTCAGAGTGAATTTTAGAGGAAATGTGTCCCAATAATCGTCAAAAATACTCGCATCGGATCTAAAAATGGGCTTCAAATTTGTGAGCATAGGAGAAAAATAAGCACTCTTCTAGAATCACGGAACGAAAAAAAATCATGGAACGAAAAATAAAATCGCGGAACCAAAAATAAAATCACGGAACGAAAAATAAAATCGCGGAACCAAAAATAAAATCACGGAACGAAAAATAAAATCACGGAACGAAAATTTTGGGTAATCCAAAAATTGCAAGGTCCTTCATTCAAGTACTATCCTGAAATTTAACCTTGACATTACATTTTTTTTGTTCAGTATCCAAAATGATACCCGAAATGTGGTATTGAGTCCTTAAGGTACACTAGTTGATAGTGTTCATGATTAATAGGTTACATAGGACCTTTCCCAGATGTTCTGAGGATCATGGGACATATGAGAGTTAGGTTAGAGGCTGCAAAGAGCAGAGTTATCAAACTTCCCGTCGTTTTTTGGGTGTCCAACATGAAGGAAACATTATGGTTCAGCCTAAGCCAATAATTGAAGAAATCTTATTTTTCATTTTTTAAAAATTGGATGATATTTTTGGATTGAAGAAGCTTTCTTCAATCACAGGCTTAGGCTGAAACGCCATGCTTCTTTTATCTGGAACACCCTAAAATGTCAGCAGGCTAACTGCTTGATGTAGCTTTAAACTGAATTTTCAGATGTTCTACAGGTCCTATGTAACCTGTTAACTAGCGTATCTTAAGAAATTGATAACCCTTTTTTAGTATACTTTTGGGTATTGGACAAAGTAAAATTGATGCCAAAGTTAGTATTACGGATACTAATTGTCAAAGTGAAGAAGATAGCAATTTTTGGATTACCCAAAATTTTCGATCCGTGATTTTATTTTTCGTTCCGTGATTTTTCGTTCCGTGATTCTAGAAGAGTGCCGAAAAATAGATATCATGAGTCACAACTCATCAAAAAAATTATCCAATCTGTCTCAAATCTCTAAGGAACGTGTGTCGTGAGTTGCCTAACAAGTTGAGCGCACTATTTTCAAAACTCACAATCGGAACAAATATTTTCAACCATTGGAATACCCTCTATTGCTAAAGAGAAATAGTTTGCATAAAAAATGTGGTCTTGAGTTGCCAATTTTTGTAATTACTTTTTTAAGGAACTTATGAAACACATTTTCTGTAGTTCTGAGCCTGATAGAAGCATTTTCGGGTGAGTTACGTATCGATTTTACTAAAAAAAGACGCAAAAGTTTTGTTGCCGAAAATTTCCGAAAGTTGCCGAAATTGCCGAAATTTTTTTCGGCAATTGCCGAGTTGCCGAACGTTGCCGAAAAGTATTCGGCAAATTGCCGAGTTGCCGAATTGCCGAAAAAATTTTGTTGCCACACAGGCCTGATCCACTTCGAGATCTCAAAGAAGTTTCAGCCAGATTGGTTCAATCTCCGAGTTTTCGCGGAGTTTTGTGCCTTTCGTGAGGCCTTTTGCCGGATTTTTTTGCCTCAGCTGAATGACCATAATAAAAGTTAAAAAAAATGTAAGTTGATCCTGAAAACAAATTTGGTTTGTTTTTCTTACAGCACGAACTACTTCTGTTTTCATCACAACAACTTCGCTAGTTAAAAGCCATTGTTAATTAGATTTTTCAAGTAAATTCATCAAGAATCTTGATAATAATCATTCGTATCATCATCAACATTTTTATAATAAATAAATAGATGGTTTTTTTTTCATCTTTGTGTCTTTCTTTATAAGTTGACGAAAGCTGGGAACTACAATAATACGACCCATCATGCATTTTCAAATCAAAAAGAGAGGAACCAAAACCAGAAGACTCCACGAGAAGAAGAGTTTGCTCTCGTGTTCCTAGGGTAGACTCTTCTAGGATTCTAGGAATTAGTTGTATTGATATGATACATCCATTTAACAATATGGTTCTTCTCGCAGATCTTGAAACTGAAAATTTATGAATTTTTCATCGAACTGGAAAAAAATTGGTTCAATCGTAACAGAATGACGTATAAAGTTTCACACTGTCACACCTCACTTCTGTCTAAAAACACTGATCAGAAGCCCAGCAAGCCTGAGATCTCTCTTCGTGTTTATTCTTTTCGTTGGCTGAGCATCAAACGTACAGCAATGAGCGAAAAAAGCACGAGTTAATTAAAATTACACATGTAATGCACTTTGCGATTTTTGACCAGACGCTTTGGAACCCTGTGACACCGTCATTCAAATTTTTTCTCATTCTGCTTGTATATAATTTACCAAGTTGAAAAATTTGTAATCATTTCCTGGGAACAAAGTCGATGTTTTTGCCAGAAGAAAAATGGAGCCAAAGTTCTTTTTCGCGAGGTACAGAGCTTCAAAAAAATCAAGTATTTCGGAGCAGTACTCTTTACTTTTAGTTCTCAGCAATATTTAGGGTAAGATATTTAAGAACCAACAGTTCAAATTTGAGATCCTAAAAGGTGGGGTATAAGACCCCTCGATTTTTTGTCTAGAGCAATCAACAATCGTATAATTCCAAAAAAGCTAAAGGGTTTTACTTTTCCAGATATACATCTTGAAGTGGAGAATCAAACTTCTGTTACATTAGCTATGCAGCACGATATCCTCTTCCCTGTCTTCACATTTGTTGTAAGCTTCACAATTTCCGAATATTATCTAAAAATGTCCTTTCAGATTACGGTATTTGGTATAATTTCAAATAGCTATGTTTTCTTTGCTTCGCAACAGATGACTTCTATGAACAGCTCTTTTGGCACTATAACCAAGTACCAAACGATATGCAACTCAATGATGTGCCTTTGTTTTCTCTCATTCGTTCCTTTCCAACTTGGGTTTGTTTTTCCGACTACTGTTATTTTATGAATTAAAAGCTTTAGTGCGTTTAAATCTTATATTCCTATTACACATTGGGTTGGTACAACCGCAATGATATCAGATGAAATATCCTACATGTGTCATTTATTGATTGCTCTCAACAGATTCTTCAGTTTGTACCTAGCATCGTTTTACGAACTGGTTTTTAGTGTTCGAAACACAAAACGAATGATACTCGTGATTTGGATCGTATCGATTATCGTATGTACAATTTTATACGAATTTGTTGGTTGTCTCTATCCGTATAATGAACGTACTCTATCTCTTCAATTTTTGGACACCCCGATGTGCGATCATTTAACTTGGTTCTCAGATTTTATGCTCAATATTTCTTTCGCTGTGGTTACTGTCACTATCAACTTTCTAACAGCATTCAAAGCTATGAGAAGCAGTCGAATGTTGGTTAACGCAGCCGGACTGCAAATCTCAAAACAACAGAAACAAAGAGAGATGAACTTCATCAGGCAGACTTTTTTCCAAGGACTCACTGTTTCCACTGGCCAAATTTCATATTATGTGCTTGCTCCACATGTTTCAAACGAGGTTGCTCTTTTCTTCCTGACTTCTTTGTGGGGATTTGTCCATGCCTTCGAAGGGTGAGAACTAGTTTTACAACACAGGGTAACGGCTGCGCATGGTATATGCGTTGGCGCGGCGCCTCATATGGACGACATAGGTACCCGTTTGCGCGCATATAGTACGCTATATTCGCGCACGCGCCATCGAGATCGGACATGACGCTTTCATATTTCATCTACAATTTCAGGTCGTATTGGCGATGGATATCTCTTATATGGATTAATTCATCTAACTATAGTTGTAATAAGATGTGATTTTGTTCAGGTCTTCCAATATCGTTCATTTTCCCTTTCAGATTTCACAGAGTGACCATTTTTCCATTTTTCAGAATTTTCTCACAGCAAGAAAAATTATGGCAGGAAGTTAAAAATATCTGGATGATATAACATTATAAATTTTTCCTTCATAATTGCGATATAGAAAACTTGAAAAAAATTCAACAAAGTCTTGAAATTGGCATTAATTCGCATAATTGTTTTCGAAATAATTTTGTGTTTCTCGGATTTTTTCCTACTTTTACTTCGTAATAATCGGAAAACTTACCAACCAACCTGTATTTCACCTGAAAAATATACTATTCCGCTTATTCCGAAGTAAAACAGAAAAGTCCTTATTTCAAGAAAAACAGGATTTTGTAAAAAATTTTACCTATTTCTTTACTAAAAATAAGTTTTATTTTCGTTAGCCATAATTTTTACATGTGAAAACAGTAGAAGTTCTTTGAAAACAGGAAACATGGTCGATATGATCGAAAAATTGATCAAGATGGGCGGTGAAAAATTTTGTTAAACAACGCGCACTAGCGTAATATTGGAGTGTCGTTGGTGGGTTGTCGTTTTCATGGGAAAAGGAATCATAATTTTGTCTAACAAGGAAATGAGATCTGCATTCAAAAAAAGTTATGGGAACCGTAAGTTATCCCAGAGGACGGGTTTAAAATTTTAATTTCATTCTCTTTCAGCACAAACTATGCCCATTTTCATTACAACGTCTCGCTAAAAGTTGAGCCTTCTTTATGATAACCAGCCTATCTGCCGTGCCTCATGTGCTTCAAACGTCTGGCTGGTGCGCCTAAAGCGCAAGTTTGTCAAAAGTAATTGAAATTTCTAAGATTTTTTTCTCATTGTGCTTCAGACCTGCCAACATCAAAATTTTTTGCGATATATCAAATGCGGACTTATTTTTCCCGTTGGAAACTTCTCTTCTTTGGAAGCAGTATGACTCACTTGATTTATTCATTATAAAAATGACCAATGATATTCGTATGGCATTATGTTTCCCAGAGGGGACGGAAATTTCCCATGGTATATGCGTTGGCGCGGCGCCTCATATGGACGACATAGGGAAAATCAGATCAAATTTGGTCTACTCTTGGAGTTGTCAGTTCTGAATCTTAAGGAGAAAAAAAAATGAATAAAGGTTTTGATTGTTTTTTCCACATCAAATAGTGTCAATAAAAAAGAGGAGCGAAGCGCCGAACTCGCGCCGTAAGTTCTCCGGCCAGACGTTTGAAGCGCTTGAAGAACAGGCTGATAAAGTTTTAAAAATTCCATGATTTATATTAACAGTTTGACATTTTTTCGCGTTCATTTCGGTCGACGATAAATCTATAAACTAACCACAGATGAAACGTTTTGTCTGACAATTCGGGAACACTAAAATGCATCAATGCTACAGGAATGATCGTGTTCATGAAAACGCACAGATCTTGTCAAAAAGTTTTTCGCTCTAGTCTGTTTAAAACTCTCCAGCGCCTTCCGATAATTGTCATTAGAGTAACGTGTCGACATAAAGTCGTATCGACGCGAGTCGACACAGAGTCGACTTGCGTCACCTCGTGTCCTCGTGCTACAATGGGCATTACCTTCAATTTATCCGACATCGCTTTGACCTTTTTTACTTTGAATAAAAAAAAAAGATATATGACTGGCGTTGAAAAGTTGGCTCTAGTATGAAATTCTGGTCCTTAAAAAAATTCTGGTCCTTAGAAAAAATTCTGGTCTGAAAACTGATATTTAAAAAAATGTTTTTAACTGGAGAGTTTTCATCTGAAATTGTCATTATTAGTTTTGTTTCATGTTTTTCTGGTGGGTGCTTCTGAATATTATTTTGAATTTAATTTTTGAAAAAAAAATGGTTTTTCAATAGAATCATTAGTTTTCAGTTTGTAGAATAGAAGAATAATGTCTATGACATTATTACTACGCTTTTTTATGCCTGAACTTCTTATCAGTTAGTCGTTAAATAAAACGGTTTTATCATCTTTTTTCTTCCTCGTGCACAAAAATCAACATATATTTTCAAAAACCAACATGTATTTTCATATTAAGTATAATCTGAATTTCACAAGGCAATGAGAAAGTACTGTACTACTTATCCAGAATTTCAAAGTTGGTATTTTTAGTTTGAAAAAGGCAATATCCCAATAACGGCTGTGAAGCGGACCATGGTCAGATTTTGGCCAAGACTTGGAATCTGAAACACTGCTAGGTCCACATTAAATCGAAATCTGGCGAATCTGTCGGAGATTCAGGAGAAAATTTTTTGGAGTTACGGCATGCATTCCGACGTGACGGTGTACAGTAATCGGTGTTAGCACAGTTCGTGGCCATGATAGCTCAGCTGTTAGCAACGCGGAACATCCAGCAGTGGGCACACAAGTTCAACTCCTTGAGGGGCCCATTTCGAGAAATATATTTTTAATGTCATCAAAACAACATAAACGCATCCTAGACAAAAACATCCAAGTTCCACGAAAACAGTAAAATACGTGCAGTCGTTTGATCCGAAACTCTCAGGTGGATTTCATTCTAATTACGAAAGCAGTTGAAGACTGCTAGTTTGTTCAGTTCTATCTCTATTAAATATTAGGTTGTTCCGAAAGTCTTTTACATTTTTTGGCATTTTTTCAACAAAACTGTATTCAACGTTCGAAGTATTTCGGCAAGTAATAGGTAGCTGTTTGATGCCTCTTGCGTAGAACTCGGGTGAAGAAGGCACCCATATACGATTTGAGGTCCGATCTTCTTTAAAACCGTTCACCCTTATTTATTTATTGATTACGACCTTCCGTCGTGGAAAAAGAGAAAAAAGAGAAAAGGAATACAATATAATCACAATACAATACAAAACACAGATACACGAATAACTAGACAATACATTCAATTAAAGTGGGGAACCGAATAGTAACACTATTTCCAAATAATAGCACATAACCATCAACACATACACGCATACAGAATAAAAATTATACCTGCAATAATGATTAACAGAAATAATAAATTATTTTACAACTTAGAGAGAGGGGGCCTTGGGTTCTCAATTAGACTCAGAGTGCGGTTGACAAAGAAGTTTCGCCTTAGTTTAGATTTAGGAATGGACCAGAGAAATCGTGTCTTTCTTCTAGTACGTGTTTCAGTTGACGCGAAAAATTCAGTTACGTTCAGACCTATTTTGTCCGATATCATTTTTGATACCATTTTCCTGTCTATTGCTAAGCGTCTAGAGTGTAGTTAATTAAGACCAAAAAGTAGGTTGCGCTCGCTCGCAGATTTATATTTCTTATCGTTTGGGTTAACATATCTTCCTAGTTTACCACTATACAGTCTTCTTGTGAAAGAGTTTTGCACTGATTCTATTAATTTAATATCTGATATTTTGAAGGGACTACTGATTACCGTACCATATTTGAGCACAGGCTTATGAAAACTTTGTATAAAAGAACCATTAATCGGGTGTTTTTACTATTAAATTGCTGGAAAGAATGAGACAGGATAAATTTAGCCTTGTTAGTTGCTTGTCTCCAGTGCTCAGAAAAATCCAGTTTTTCAGATACTAGAAATCCCAAGTCACGGGTTATTGACCTTTTAACCATTAACCTTTAACCTTTTAACCATTTGAAAGCGAGCTCATTAAATAAAATTCTGTTAGAGCGAGTTCTGGACTGACCAAGCATTTTGATACTTAGACGCTACATTTTTTGACGAGTGGCCAAAGTGCGCATTATCGTGACTCACAACTGTGTCTGCTTCTGGGCGCAGTGGGGGATATGCATCGAACAAGTTTTGCAGTTGGCGACAGTACATGTCCGTAGTAACGATCGCACAATTCGGAGAAAGCTCTCTAAAGATCAGACGTAACAATACCATCAAATGCTCAACATCTCCCTTTCTTCACGAATTTCCCTTTTGTGATTGATTTCTGGAGTTTGGCAAACCTTGACCCACTAACGCTTTCTGTTTTCTTCAATCTACAGACACCCTTTATTGTTTCCTGATGCAAGATAATGGATCCCATCAAAGGTTCGCTCACGAGTGAGCAAAGACCAACTCAAGCCACAACTAGTTTTAATCTTGGAAACACTGAAATGGTGTGGCTCCAGTCGACCATATTTTTCTATGTGCCAGGAACATCGAAGATAGTGAAATGCAGTTGTATCAGGTTGGCCAAGAATTGAAGAAACTTTACGAACAGTGAGTCTCGCTTAGCTTCCAGTGCCTTCTAGATATCGGCTCTTTGAGCGAATATTCGCCGTTCCGAAAGCGATTGAACCAAGGTCGCACTACAAGATACTCAAGTGACTTGTCACCAATTACGGAACATATAGATCGATGAGCAGTGGCAGCGGGTTCTCATTTGAGAAACTCAAAAAGAAGGCAACCTCACGCATCATGGGTTTCGTTGGCGAGGCTCTCGGCCATGGACTGAGATTTTTTCAAGCACATTGACAATTTTTATTGAACATGAGTTAAATATTATCAAAACCAAAAAAGAAAACGAAAATCGATCGGGAAGAATGTATAAAATGCCTGCTCAAAAAATGTAAAAGACTTTCGGAACAACCTAATATCTAACTCACAAAATCGGTTTCTCGAAACAAACAAAAAGTTATCTCCCTCAGAAAGTTTTCGTATATTGGCGATGGATGACATTATAAGATACGGCAGTGTGGAAAATATTCCGCTGTACAATTGTAGGTCAGTTGTTTTGGTACGAAATGTCCATCCGCCTTATCGAATCAGTCTGGACCAGTAAATTGCTGAATAATATTTAAACTCACGATTTTAGTGCCAGAACCCCCGAACAATGGTCATTGGAAACTGGCGAGCGTCAACCAATCACTGGAACACTGCAAATTGCATATGGAATCGTTGTTAATGTTAGTTTCTCTATTCAACTGTCCATTTTCTTTAAACTTTAGCTTCTCTACATCCCAATCACCCTGATCATGCTCGACAAAGAGCATTTCAAACTGTCCTGCTTCAAAATCATGTTCCAACTTGCCATCACCGACTTTTTTGTCATTTGTATCAATTCGATTGTTACTGGAATCTTAGCTATCCTGGGAGCAGTATACTGTACCTATCCGACACTCATCTACCTTACTGGTCTGGTGGCAATGTCGTTGTGGTGCTCTTCATGTTTCACCTCGTTGATCCTGGTTTGCAATCGGATCTTGGTGATATCGAAACCACATCTGGAGATGGTCATTTTTGAGGGCAATAAAACATATATAGTGCTGAGCTTCTCTTTGATTTACGCTCTATACTTCTTGTTCACCACACCGCACGTTTACAATTCGAAGCATCATGCATGGCTCTTCGACCCCATGATTTTCCCAGATATGGCTAAAGAGTACGATAATTTGGCTCATACAATCAACAACTTTTCTATCGTGATCCTCACCTCTATATTGTATATTCCCTTTTACTATATAGTCAGAAACAATCTAAACGCAGCTGGCACTCAGTCAAGGATGCAAAATGCCGTAAGCTTCGACAAACAAGTATTTTATTATTTCAGAATCTTTCAGAAAATCCAAGTGTTCATTCAATCGATACTAATTTGTGCGGCCAGCCAAGGTGCCGCTGTGATTTACGTTTTCATGAATCTAGTTAACGTGTCTCCTGGAGTCATAATTTTCGGACATGTGCTCTGGCAATTCGTGCATGGAGCACCTGTTTTTATTTATATCGCTTTGAATGATATGATAAGAAAACGGTTTTTTGCAATGATAAAAGTCCAGAAAAAAAGTAATTCAACTGTGGTGGCTTTATCAATAATCAATCATTCGGCGCTTGTGCAACACTAAGTGTCAGTATTCGAATCAACAAGTCCGGTTCCTGGGTCGAAAGTGACTTTTTTGCATTTCAAATGAGTTTTATCGAATAAAGTGTTATTTCCTAGTCTCTGAATTTCCTATAAACAAGATAATTTTCAGCTAAGTCTGTTTAGAAATGAGCTTAACAGAGGAAATGCAATGATCTGACGTAATGAACCTTTACAGTTTCGATTTATACATCGAAATAGCGTAGTCTTCCTAGTAGCCAATGGTGTTCCTTGTGGCATCTGACATTTTAGCCTGTGGGTGTGGACAAGTCTTGGCCAGGTTTTGGTCCAAAGTTTTTCAAAAACGGTTGTACGGCGGACTGTGACTCAAAAACAGCTCTACAGCTGACATTAGCTAAAATTTGATAGGAAGCTCAAACTTTAATACTGATGATGTTGTTCTGAATGTTTGTCGACACTGCTTTGGCCAAATCCAAAATCGCACGGGTTTTCGACTTCCGGGTTTTCGACCTCCATGATCGACGGTTTCATACATATTCCCAACAGGCGAATTTGTTATGATACTAGACAGTCTCGTCTGTCTTGTACTAGCTCCAACAGTTCTCGGAACCATTACAAGTGCTTTGTATACCTTGTAGCGAACAAAGATCGAGTGAGAACTCTTTAGGGGTCAGGTATTTATCGTTTATACAAGAAATCAAACATCAATTAAGGGTTCAAGTAATTTGAATAAATCTTGGGTTAGAATTATATATGGGAGATATTTCGCTGTTAGAAAACAGAAAACAATTGAGAGTCACTTCAAAAACATTAATGAAGATAGCGAAGGCGTGGGACGATCACTGATCCTTCAGAAGGTCTGCAAATCCCAATAGATTTTTTTTATCTAATTCTGCAAGACAGCACTCAACTGTGTTATTGTGTTTCCAGTAATTAAAGCAATTTCTAGAGGGATAGATGTTGTTTGGCTAATGACACCCACTTGCGTATCGGGAAGTCGGTAGCTCAAAAACACATCCCCTGCTGAACATCTCATGGATTATCTCGTACTGGTTGCAATAGTTCTTACTGCAATAGTTCTTGTAAGCGAACAAAGATCGAGATCTCAAATTTGAAGTTATTTCTATTGAAATTTCTATTGACAGTGGGCGGAGCCTAAATTAGGAAATGTGGTGTCAGAATGATCATTTGGTGTGGGAGAAGAAACCAGACAAAAAGCAAATGACGAGAAAAAGTGAATAGAAAATTCTGGAACAATGAAGGAACTTTAAATTGAGTTTCAGTTTCAAACATGAGTCAACTCTTCGAATCTCTATATCTGACTAGCCTTTTTAGCTATCCAGAAATATTAAACTACAAAGTTGTTGGAAATTTTAACAATTTTATTTTTGTTGTTGGCTTTCTAGGATTCATAGTTTTTGAGATATGATTACAGGAAGTTGTACCACCGCCATGACTACCGCAGCTTTCAGATCGTTATATCTCACTCCATGTGTAACTAATCAAAATTAGTTCAACTACAAACTTGTGTAAAATCTCCTGTTTAACATTTTTTTTCTAGGGTTCATGGTTTTTGAGATATAGTCATTCCAATGTTGCGGCAACTGGTTTGCATTCCCCTCGCGCCACGATTGCCGCCGCCGCCCCCCCCCCCCCCCTCATATCTACGGAAACACGCTTCTCTCAAAATGTCGCATCGGTGGTTCAGTGGTAGAATGCTCGCCTGCCACGCGGGCGGCCCGGGTTCGATTCCCGGTCGATGCAATTCCTTTTTTTTTGACGAACTTTCGAGGTTTGATAATAACTCTGCCGCGTTCAAAAAGTGTATCTTCGTCAGTACATAAATCAATTCAAATTATGGAACTCCCAAAGCTCATAATCTCCTATTTTTATCTCTTTTTTTTTGGAAACTCTCCAAAATTTTCGAAGAACAGCTTTGACGTCAAAGAGAAGAAGACAAGGAAGAGATGGCTCAAGAAAAAAATGTGGGTTAAAGTTTGAATCGAGTCAGTCGACTCAACTTTTTTTGCTGGAGATTTTTGGGATGAGATGGATGAAGAAGCAAGAAAAGAAAAGAAAAAAACATGAAAAGAACAGTGATTCAGAGAAAATACGAATTTCCGAATGATTCTAGAATTTTTGACGGCTTGCTAACTATAATGAATGAGTTAGACAAGATTCGAAATGTGTGGAGAAGGCTTGGAGAAAAATCGGAAATATGGAAACGGGTTAGCACAAGTAATAAGTAACTTTTCTAACGGGGTAAAAAACAAAATTGAACATGAGAAATTTTTTATTTCAGATATTTAATACAGCGTCCGAAAAATGAGAAATTTGATTGGTTTTCTGAAGCTTCTTCGGGCATATCAATTTGCAAACTTGTGACCGGATAGTTGGGTTCAATGTCAGATACACGATCGTAACGAATCCTGTGCAGATCTGCCAGCCGATTTGAGCAAAAATGATAAGCCAAGCAGGGGAGTAAAAAAATTGCATATATACGTATACAGATGAAGCTAGAGAGTGGAAGAAACAGATTATGGCAGCTTGAAGTATGACTTGGCGCTGGACTCGAGCATCATGAGCTGATAGCTGATTTGTTTGACTTCTTATCAGATAAAATACCAAATAAGCGTATAGAAGAGTAGTAACTACGCTTTCCGCTTCATTGTTAACAGCTTGAGAAATATTATGATACTTTGATGAATCTACAAGCCCTGTTCCAGGATCGAAGAACCATGACATATATTCAGGGCGAAATATCAGTGCTTCAGTGAAGAATGATCCGTAAAACGGAAGTAGGAAAACCAAAAGTATCAAAAAGTAAATACAGGGGCTTCTGAAAATCCACTTGATTTTTAAATTGGGATTCACACCGCTAATTCGGCACAGAGCTAGAGCGCTACACGAAAATGAGCATCCCATCCATAGCCCGAAGCCAAAAGATCCAAGAACGAATATAAGTCGTGGATAATCGCAAAAATATATTCCAAAGTAACCGAAATAGCCAGTGAATATGCATGCGATGAAAAGAGATGGTATATCGAAAAGAGCCAAACAGACCATGATCTTATAAGCTGGATGGCGGATCAGTTCACGTTTGAACATAGTGATAAGACAGAGAATGTAAAGGATCTAAAAAAAGATGTTCAGATTTAGCACCCAAAATTCCTACTCACCACATAGATAGTTCCACTTATCATTAAATACGTTCCCAAGATTGGGCTTTTCACTCTCTCCACTTCACTCATCGTCCAGTTCTCTGGACATGCATAGAAATGAGAATTAAGTTCAAATTCATTCAAAATAACGTAAGACAACGACATGTGATAGCTGGTACGGGTGGACATCTTTAAAAACTTGTTACAAAAAAATTTCAGGTTACATAATTACAGATGTTAGAGATTTTTTTTCTGCTCACAGAGATCAGAAGGTGACGAGGATGTAGGCGTGAGGACGATCACTGGTCCATCAGAACGTCTGTAAATCCCAATGGATGATTTAGTTTGGCCAGACAGTACTCACGTGTACGTTTCCAGTAATCAAAGCAATTTCTCGAGGCATAGAACTTGTTTTGCTTATAACACCCACTTGCGCATTGGGAAATCTGTAGCTTGAATAAGCAAGGACAGAGATAAATTGAGCGTTAAATAATTATAGATGTTACAGCTTTCTTTCTGCTTGTAGCTAGAGAACAACAAAAATTGAAAGTCACTTCAAAAACACGGCTAGCGAGAATGTAGGCGTAGTGACGATTACTGATCTTTCAAAACGTCTGTAAGTCCCAGTGGAATGATTTCTATTGGACCAGACAGTACTCTATTGCGTTTTCAGTAATCAAAATTCTCGTTACATATGTAGATGTTGTTTGGCTCATGACACCCACTTGCGTATTGGATAATTGGTAGTTCATTAACATGCTCCCCGCGGAACTTCTGATAGATTATCTTGTACTAGACTAAATAATTCCTGAAACAATAACAAGTAAATAGAAGTCCTTGTAACTGAACAAAGATCAAATTTGAATATGGAAAATAATTTTAACAAGTATTTATTGTTTAAACAAAAACTCAAACATCAACTACGAGTTCGAACAGCATCAGGAAAATGAAAAACTTGATTGGCTCCTTGAAGCTTCTTTGGACATATCAATTTGACAACTTCTGACCGAATAGTTGGGTTAAGTGTCAGATAGACGATCGTGACAAATCCCGTGCAAATGTGCCAGCTGATTTGTGCAAAAATGACAAGCCAAGCAGGGGAGTAAAAAAATTGCATATATACGTATACAGATGAAGCTAGAGAGTGGAAAAAACAAATGATTGTAGCTTGAAGGATTACTTGACGCTGTACTCGAACATCATGAGCTGATAATATTACATTTGTTAGATTTCTTATTATATAAAATACTAAGTAAGCGTACAGGATGGTAGTAATTACGCTTTCCGCTGCGTTGTTGATAACCTGAGAAATATTATGATAGTTCGATGAATCAAAAAGTCCGGTTCCTGGGTCGAAAAACCAAGACATATATTCAGTGCGGAATATCAGAGGTTCAGTAAAGAATATTCCGTACGACGGAAGTGCGAAAATGATAACGATTAAATAGTAAATGCAATGGCTTTTAAAAATATACCCAATTTCTAAATTGTGATTCACTCCGCTAATTCGGCACAGAGCTAGAGCGCTACACGAAAATGTGCAACCCATCCATAAACCAAAGGCAAAGGAGCCAAGAACGAATATGAGACGTGGATAATCGCAAAAATAGATTCCAAAATATCCAAAATAGCCGGTGAATATGCATGCGATGAAAAGGGATGGTATGTCGAACATAGCCAAACAGACCATGATCTTATAAGCTGGGTGACGGATAAGATCACGTTTGAGCATAGCGATAAGGCAGAGGATGTAAAGGATCTAGAAAAAAGTAGTTTCAGATTTAGCACCCAAAATTCCTACTCACCACATAGATAGTTCCACTTATCATTAAATACGTTCCGAAGATTGGATGGACTCTTTACTCTTTCCTCTTCACTCATCGTCCAGTTCTCTGGACATGCATAGAAATCAGAGTTAAGTTCAAATTTATTCAAAATAACGTATGACAACGACATGCGGTAGCTGGTCCGCATGGATGGATCTTGAAAAACTTGTTACAAAAAAATTTCAGGTTACATAATTACAGATGTTAGAGATTTTTTTTCTGCTCACAGAGATCAGAAGGTGACGAGGATGTAGGCGTGAGGACGATCACTGGTCCATCAGAACGTCTGTAAATCCCAATGGATGATTTAGTTTGGCCAGACAGTACTCACGTGTACGTTTCCAGTAATCAAAGCAATTTCTCGAGGCATAGAACTTGTTTTGCTTATAACACCCACTTGCGCATTGGGTAATCTGTAGCTTAGCAGCATCTTTTTCACTGAACTTCTGATGGATTTGTTGATAGTGAGATAGACTACACAAAAACATCCATTACTCCATTGCCATGTAAGCTGCCCCAGAATGATGAGCAATGGTGGCGAGTAGAATAACTGCATGTAGACGTAGATGTAGGCTGCTAGCGCGTGGAAAGAGCAAATGATTATGGCTTGCAGAATAACCTGGTTTTTATTTCTGGACATCCACATCGAGTTGGTACTTTTGCCTTTTTTATAAAGCAAAAATATGCACATGTAGATGTAGAGTCCTGTGGTGGAAGCAGAAACCACAAGGTTGTTTATGGTGTGTGGAACGTTACGGTAGATGTTTGGCTGAAATATGGTACGTATTTTGCTGAAAAGCATGTGGATTTCACTAGAATGTACCCCTACCTTTTGAGATCATACTACATTTTTCACTTACGTCTCTGTTAATTTTAGGATCGAAGAACCACGAGCTGTACCGGGCAGAGAACAATAGTGGTTTGGTAAACCAAACAGAATACATCCAATACATTCCAACAACACCCAACACTACCCTAAACGCTTTCTTATGAAACAAAAACGCCAGGAAGAATTTTGAGTGGATCTCGACACATCTGTCCATGGCTAGAAGAATACACATCGCACATCCAGCCATCCAAGTTCCATTTCCAATTGCACCGACGATGAAAATCAGTCGCGGGTATTGACAGAAAGATGCTCCTAGGATGCTGAAGATTCCAGTGCTCACCGAGTTCACTGCTAGATTGATGATGTCAAAAACTGCTAGGATGATCATAACACGGAAGGAAGGGTTGCGAGACTTGGATTTGAGCATCACGATGAAGCATGGGATGTATAGAAGCTAAAAGATCACTATTTTCATCAAAAGCTTTTTAAAGGTCCTGTCCCAAAAACTCACAATCAGCAGAATCCCAGAAAGCAAAAAGTAAATTCCCAGGCGAAGTCTTACAAAATAATCGTTTTGCAAACAATCCGGGCATTGATATTCCGCTGGAAGATCAAAGAAATCAGAAAGAAGTCTGAAAAGCGACATATCAATTATCTGTCATTCGAGATTCACAAAAGACTTTTATACGTATTGCTTTTCTAGGATTCTGGGAACGTTCTTGTTTCCTGTTATTCGTATAAGCACTTTGAGATAAACATACTCTGGGAACAACTGTTTGATCCCATTAGTGGATATGAGACAATATTTTTGAAGGTGTGGGCGTTGAAAAAAAATCTCATGTCGAAAAAAAGTGAAATTGCGGAAGTAGTTTTCGGGTGTTATCGGCTGAGCTACGCGGTCGAAGCTGGCGGTGAATACCCTTTTGTAAAAAACATATTGAATCCGGGTTACGGTATTAGAGGAATGAGGGGGTTTATGGCATCATAGGAATAGGTTTACGGTATCAGACAAAAAATTCGGTTTACAGTATCAGGGTTAATTTCAAAAAAAAAGCTGTCACAGAGTTTTCGATTAAGCTCGTTCAACGTCATTTGTGACGCCAGCGTGCATCGCCGGAAACCAACTCTTTTGATAAAAAAGCAGTACGGTAGATACACGAGAGTGGAATGTGTACACACCGATCATTACTATTAGGTGGTTCAAAAAGTCTTTGACACTTTTCTTCGAGAGGGGTTTTCTTCAAGGAAAATAAGAATCAATAAGAAATGTATTCACTATTGGAGTTTATAACTTTTTGCCAGCGCAACAGAAGTTGGGTGATTTCAATTGCACAGAAATCTGGCGACTTAGAAGCGAAAAAGTGATTCGGCCCATACTCCGGGGGTACATCAAAAAGGGGTACATTGAGGGTACATCACATTATAGGGTACATTGACTCAGAGGGTACATTGACTGATAGGGTACATCTGTGGAGGAGTCTGATAGGGTACATTTAAGCATCTCTCATAGGGTACATCGACGAAATACTCAAAGGGTACATCGAAAAAATCTGAAAGGGTACATTGGTCTGATTTCGCACAGTTTTCGAATGTTCGTAACTTAATGAGACGGACAAGTTTTATAACGAAGTTTCGGTCATTCATCGGATTATAAGCAACTTACTGATGCTCGGCGAGGTTTTGCAACGTGCTCCTCCTCAATCTTGAATAATAAGCGCTCATTCCTCGATCACTTAGGGACGAACATTGTATCTTTCATTGTATCTGTTTGAAGTTATTTATCTTCCTGGGCTAGAAAAAAAGTGTAGCTCGCTGCTCAAGCTTTCAGAATGCGGGTAAATTACTAAAGTTGTTTTGACATATCGTTCCTGACCGATCGAGAAATGAGCGCGTACTATTCTAGATTGAGGAGGAGCACGTTGCAAAACCTCGCCGAGCATCAGTAAGTTGCTTATAATCCGATGAATGACCGAAACTTCGTTATAAAACTTGTCCGTCTCATTAAGTTACGAACATTCGAAAACTGTGCGAAATCAGACCAATGTACCCTTTCAGATTTTTTCGATGTACCCTTTGAGTATTTCGTCGATGTACCCTATGAGAGTTGCTTAAATGTACCCTATCAGACTCCTCCACAGATGTACCCTATCAGTCAATGTACCCTCTGAGTCAATGTACCCTATAAGAGTGATGTACCCTTTTTCGATGTACCCTCGGAGTATGGGCCAAGTGATTCAAAAATTTTTTGACATCTTTCCGATCGTGGAATTTATTTCCAGTAAGACAGTTCGGAGAAATTAGAAAAATTGGTAATTAATTAGTGCCAGATAAGGCGTATACGCTGGGTAAAACAAAATTTTGATTCCTATAGGCTCGAGCGTACTGCGGGTGTTCAAAGATTTGTGTGGTTTTTCGTTGTCATGCAATAGTTTGAACCGCAAGCCTTTCTGGAGGTGAGGGCGATGTGCATAAATATCACTTTCCGTTTGGAAGCCGTAGAGCCAGAGTTGATGATACTGGAGCCCGGAAGCAGCTTGCGGGACATTACTCCAGCACTGTCTAACCAAATTCAAAAAATCTGATTTTTTCTGGAAGCTTCCCGTTTGAGCTCGATTTCGCCCTTTCTTGTGCAAGGACCCATTGGCTCTTTCTGACATAGTTGAGATACAGTACCCGTATATCATCTCAAATAGAAGTTTTGTTGATCCAGTCCCTCGTCGGTCCCCTGGTGAGAAGTGAAAGTGACAGGTCACATCGTACCTTTTTTAGATAATTGGCCAAAATGTGTGGAACGATTCGACCACCCCTCTGAGCTCTTCCCGTTTGGTGAACATTATTTGTTACGGTGGTATTAGGATCACAGACTGTCAAAGATACTGCACGTGAAATAGCTCGGGGCTCTTCCTCTAGTATCATCGAAATATCACCAATCATACTGAGAATAGGTCATTTCGATGTTAGTTTATGTTCCATAGTTCCCCTCTCCGAATCTTTCGAACCAAAACTTATTAGTGGTTCGAGGGATAGTGTCTACGTCTAACACTTTGCACCTTGTTCGCCAAAGTTCGTTGCTCTAGAGACCCAGGAGAAACATGAACAAAACACACCTCTGGGTATGTGATGTTCATCGAGCTTTATATAGTTTATTTAGAAAAAATCGAAATACGGAAGAGCAACATAGAGCGAAGTAAAAGTGTCAAAGACTTTTTGGACAACCTAATAATAACATTCACCAAATTCTGTATGTTGTATGCATGTAGCGTGCCTTTTCCCCCGTTCAAAGTTAACCGATCGAGCTGAAACCTGACAGATAGCTCAGAAGTATGTCTTAGTTGATGCCCGAACTTTTCTTTTTTCAAAATTTTGATTTTGAAGTCTTCTGCAGACGTTCCTTGGATTCACCACAGTAAAGCGTGGTGAGCAGCGAGGGCGAGGAAATCCTACACAGGTAAGCCAGAAGGTTAAGCGCCGGAGGGGCGTAAACCGACTGGTTACTATATATTCTTGAAACTGCAATATTTGACACGAGCACAAAATGTGGGTTGGTGCTTTGATAAATTTCTTTTCTTTTTATTTTGATGTGCTCTTATGAATCATCCGAAGTGAAGTTACACTCATCTTTGACCACTGGGAAATGACTCCATTGTAAATTAGTTGCCATTCAATATTCCTTTCAATTTTTCGTTTGATGTTTTGTGCTCGTCTGATTTCTGTTTTCCAGACTACACAATTTTTATTTACGAGGAATTGATTTCTCTGGGGAATCGGGTACTATTTCTAATCCCTAAATATGTATACGTTATTGTAAGATTTACCACTCGTGATATTATATATTTTCTTGTGTGAGCATCTAATTTAATATTCTTGGCTCATATTCAGCAGTTTTATCCCAATTGTTTGATCCCCAAAAGCTTACGATGTCGGCTCTTCAAATGTCCTTGTATCATGTCTTTACAAACTCATTCACACTTTGGGATGAAGCATACGACTGTCCACAGAATCTGACAAATTTGAAGTTTGAGAGACCAGTGTTGGGATCGTTCTTCTTGTTTTTTGGAGTTATGTTTATTGTAAGTTCTAGAAAGTATACGAGAAAAAGGTTCAAATGTATATTCTACATATGATTTCCTTAAAACCTTAATACCCCTCTAATTGTAGCGTTCCTCTAGAGACTTCATGAAAAGGTTTCAATGCAGATCCTTAACTGTAGGTGTTACTGTAGACATGTTGTACTGTAGATGGATAGTTTGGATTTGCTTTTTTCACAATGGACTTTTTTTTAAAACCTCCGAAAACTAAAACTACCTATTATTTTGTGACAGACCCTGTCTCAAGTTAGACGCAAAAATTGTTTCCCAGGTCCTCTACATTCCTTGCTTCCTCGCTATTGTCCAGAAAAAATCGCGTGCTCCAGTCTACCAAATCATGTTTGCTCTTGCCATATTCGACATCCTCTCCCTATCAGTCAATTCTGTCTGTACTGGAATTTTTGACATTCTCGGAATATCATTCTGTCATTCTCCTCTTATCATTTTCTGCCTTGGCGCCATTGCTGGAGGTTCCTGGATGGCTGGATGCTTGGCTTGTGTAATGCTAGCAATTGAGAGATGTGTTGAAATAAATCCACAATTCCCATTGGAGTTTCTGTTCCGCAAAAGCGTGTTCCCTTTCGTTAGAATCCTTATGGGAATGTATACGTTGTATGCGTACTTGTTCGTGAAAGGTCTCACTTTTTCCTCGCAGTTCAGTTGTTGGTTCTTTGATCCCTTGATTGGGAAGGATGTAATTTTAAGATGGACTGAATAACTGAATAAAATGTGTTTTTCAGCCTCTTCTCTACCATAGCTATCCCCATACAATCAATAACTTCGCCGTTGGTATTGCCACTACAGCTCTTTACATCTATATATCGTACCGACTGATTTGCAAGTTCGGCTATACAACATCCATGTGGTTATACAAAACTAAACGACAGGTTTGTGTGCGTTTTTCCGAAAAGGGCTATTTTCTAAAATTTAACAGCTTCCGAACAAACTGATGTTCAAACCACTAAACTGAGTGAATTATTTCCGAGTGTCGTAGTATTTAAAAATCATATTTTGGGGTTTTTTGATCACCCTATTTCTAGGCCATTTAACATGATGTCCTAATTTTCGCAGGATGAATTTTATAGGCCACCATGGTAAATGATCTAGAAAGGGTATGATAGCCACCAGGTGTATTTTTTAAGCCATTTTAAAATGGTGACCTCACCTTTGCAAGTTGAATTTTCTAGGGCACCAACTTGTATGGCTTCGAAATGACCTGTGTTATGTTTTGTGTGTTTCTAGGCCATTTTAACCTTTTTTTATGAATCACCTTTTTTTATGAATCACAATTTCTGAGCATGATTATTGCCCTAGAAAACGTTTATCAAGCCATTCATCGTGGTGGCCTAGGAAATTGAAAAAATTGAGAAAACCCATCGAATGAACTCAAATTCCAAAATATATTTTTGTTGAAAATTCTACGGTACTCCGAAAAAACACTGCGCTCAGTTTAGTAAAAAAAATAAACGAACATTTAAAAAAAAATTCGAACGCGATCACGAATGGCCTAACTTTCTCAATTTGAGTTATCTAGGCTACCAACTTTCTGGTTTGAACACTCGAAAATTTTTTAAAAAGTGGTAAGACTTCTAGGAAACGGTTTTCAGCATTATTAAGAATAACAAGGCAACAACTAAAGCAGTTTTGCCTACTGAACAGAGCACACAAAAAATACAACTCACAATGAACAGCACACCGGAAAATGCAAAAAACCCTCCCAGAACTGGCCTCTCGAATCTTATCGTAGTCAAATTTTTCGGACATCCGTATGCTTCGTCCCAAAGTGCGAAATCATTAGTGAATAGATAGAACGTTGACATTTGAAAAGTAGCCATTGTTTTAACGGGGCTTGGTAAATGACTAAAAAATCACACGAAGAAAATAATAGACCATTTCTATGCTACGAAATTTTGTGGCCTAGGAAAATCAACTTGCGAGAGTTAGGACACCATGGTGATCTTACAAGCAGCGTATGGTTCGCGTTACGTTCGATCGATTTCTCGAAAAATCGTTTGCAAGGTTTTCCGAAAATTTTCCAAACGAATTTTTCGGAAGGTCTTTCAAACGTAACGAAAATCACACACCGTTTCTAAGAAACTCACTGTAAAATCTGTAATAGAAGTGCCCTTTAACTTTCAAATTTGAGACAACTTATCGTAAAAACTCTATTAGATAGCCACCCCTAATTGAATGCCAGCCTCTAATATAAAGCCACTGCTGTATATGATGTCGCTGTGGGTAAAAGTTGAAGAAGTTTCTAATGTTTTGCAAAAAATCCTCGGACACAGGTTCTTTGGGACCACGCATTCTTGCATAGGATAGCTATCGTTGTCACATCAACCCAGACAAAGAAAAAACTGAAAATGAGAAAGTCAAAACGGTAGTTATTAAATGAGGGATCACAAAGTTTTTTAAAGTAATAAAATTGGGATAAACTTCGGGCAGTATTTGTTTTGAGTTTCAGTAGATAATTTGCGCCGAACAAAAAAGTGCCAGCATCTAATTGAATGCCAGCCCCTAATACAGTGCCACCCCAGACCACCTTCGAAGAATAGAGTGCCATGGCTATCTAATAGAGTTTTTACGGTATCTAAGTTCCTGTAAAAGATATAAAAAAGTTTTCAACTGATAATTTTTTACCATAATATCACAAACATTTTAACGTTGCAGATCCTTTTCCAAGCAATCACGTTATGCATTTTTCACACCGCCGCCGCATTCATCTACGAATACATGCAGTTTATTGAAGTAACCCCAGTCATAATTATAGCAAGTCAGTTTATATGGCAATGGAGCAATGGTGCTGTGTGTTTGGCTTATTTGATATTCAATCGCACTATTCGAAATTTGGTTGTAAAAATAATGGTCCCGAAAAGTGTCAGAAAACGATTCGGATGGTATATCGGAGCTGATGAGCATATTGCACTAGAAGAAGCTGGCGGACCCACACTGTCTGCTGGGCTTGGTACGGTCAATGCAATAGGAGGAGTGATCAAATTCGATAATTTTATGTTTAATTGAAAATTTTTTATTTTTGTGGTTCTACACTTGGGTTCAGGGGAGGGGGTCAGAAAGCGCGCCCCAGTTAACTCGTAGGCCAGCCGAAATTAATTAATTCAAAATGACACGTGGATTTCACGTGGTTTCTCTAATGTTTTTTTAACGATACAGAAGACTATGAATTCGTTTTTTCTTTCGGTGAATACTGATCCTTTTATGTTGCTGTTCCCCTTAAATTGCCCGAGGAAGGGCAATGCAATACATGAAGATTTATTCAGATTCAGGATATATAACAAGAGAAACAGCAATTATTATTAAAGGGATGATCCATCCGACTTCTCATAAAACGATGATCCATCCGACTTCTCATGTGCACAGCTCGTGTCGTTGTTGTCTTCGCAATCGGATGCCGGTTTCTGGTTGCTCTGAAAATAGAACGAATTATTGAATTACCTCTAATAAACAAATAATAATTATGGAAGAACCTCAATGCATTTACTCACATGTTTCATGCTCCATCATCGAAGTGATATCCTTCTCTTCGTTGTAAAATCACCGATTTTTTGCCGACAGATGGACGAAGGCAAATGAAGATTAAGTTAACTTCTTCTTGATGTGGAGATCGTTCGAGTGTCCGCACTTCTTTTTTCTGCAGTTGCTGGCACGTGGTGGGAAACGATCGTAGCAGTTTCTCCAGATCTGCTAGTCTCAGTTGTACATCTGGGCAAGCTGACGGAGCGACGGATCGATGATTCCCTCACAAAGACGGAGAACCAAGACGGAGCTTGATTGTCGGCTCGCGGTTTGTAGAGAAACGTGTGAATCTTCTTCGACGACCACCGTCGCTGGGAACTTCTGTAAAAAAACATGTTTCCACAAAACTACGATTTTCAGCAAAACACTCACTTGAATTCGGGCCACTTATCCTTTCTGCAGATCTACTTATCGCAGTTGTACTTCTGGGCAAGCTGACGGAGCGATGACTCGAGCCTAGAAAATCAATAAATATTGGAACATTACATATTTAAGTTACTCACCTCAAAAAAACGTCGAAAATCGAGCTTTATTCCGTTCGCTCACTTGACTCATCACTGCACGAGGCCGTTGCATTGGACTTCTCACCTTAATAAATCATTTGAAACTTTTTTCAACTAATTTTCACTGAAAAAAAGGAGAAAACGAGAAAAAACGATCAAAAACGAGCGAAAACAAAAGAAAACATCGAAAAAATATTGAAAAAATATTCATCTTCTCGGCCTAATGCATTAAACTATGATTGTCAGTCAACGAGAGCCGGCAGCCAATTGAGAATTTTTGGAAAATTTACTGGGGCGCGCTTTCTGACCCCCTCGCCTGAACCCAAGTGGTTCTATTATGATTGAAAATTGTGTTTTTCTCTAATTGCACGTTTTTTATTTTTTCAGATAATGCAAAGAACAGCGCACGTGACAAAAGGTGCTGCATTTCTTAAGAGCCTCAGAGATAGTGGCAATATTTCAATTTCCGGCTGCGCACAAACCATAAGAAAAAATTGCCAGTGACGGTTTTATAATTTAGGGTGTCTAGCCGACCAAACAGCCGCCTTCGAGTCGCCCGTATTGTGAATTTTCCTCGTTCTAATGAAAATATATTAAAGTTTCTACCTGTGTTCTATGTTCAATTTCCAGAAAACAATCCATGAAAACAGACACCCACTTATTTTTTGTCCCCATTTCAATCGTTGTTTCACAGAATCAATATCCATTGGGATTATACTAATTTAATACAATATATGTGCCCTTTTTATCCCACTTTTAGTTCCGTCTCGTATTTTTTGTGTTCTCACAAACAGTTCAGTTTTCTTTGATTGAAGTGAAAAGTGAGAAAACCCCGTTAAAACAATGACTACCCTTCAAATGTCAATGTTTCACCTATTCACCAACTCTTTCACACTTTGGGACGACGCATACGGATGTCCGAAAAATTTGACAACGATGCGATTCGAGCGACCAGTTCTTGGTGGCTTTTTTGTATTTTCCGGTTTGCTGTTCATCGTGAGTTGTATTTTTTCGTGTCCTGTTTATTAGGCAAAACCGCTTTCCTTGGTTTTTTCAAATGTTGTAACTAGTGGGTGATTTTTGAAAACGTCTTATTTCGAAAAGTTTTGAAATTTTGTTTGAACCATAAGAGTTGATAGCCTAGAAAACAGAACTTGCAAAAGTTAGGCCACCACGGCCTAGAACGGCCACTTACCTTCACCTTTGCAAGTTTATTGGCTTACCTTTGCAAGTTTATTTTTCTAGGTTACCAATAATGGTCTCAAATTCAATTTGTGTGTTTTCTGGGTCATTTAACTTAGTGGCCTAAAAACTCAACTTGTAAAAGTTAGGTCGCCATGTTAAAATGGCCTGGAAAACACATCAGGCGAATAACAGACCATTTCTAGGCCGTAATAGTTAATGGCCTAGGAAACTCCACTTGCAAAAGTAAGGGTATTCTATTCCTCCGGAAAAAAATTCGAATGGTTTTTTTGAAAGTTTGGTCAAACGAAAATCACAAATTTTAAATTTGAGATTTTGAGAAAAAATTACAAATTCGCAGACACATCGGTGACACAAAGTGACTCAGTATCCGAAACCTTATAATTTTGTAACCCTATAATTTCCGTTTTAAGAACGAATCCCGTAAACACACTAATATAATTTTTTTAAACTCTCAAATTTAAGCCAATTTATCTAGGTTCCAGTGAGAGATATCAAAAAGTGATTGACATGGAAAATACTTTTAAACTTATGATGAATGTTTTGTCAGTTGATTACTTTTTGATATCTCGGCTACGGGTGCCAATACTTGGCCAATTTTCATGATTTTACAAGTGTTGGCCAAGCCTCCCACAAGTCTTGGCCAAAATATGCGCCTCCATGAGCCGTTGGGATGGCTTCCACAAGTCTTGGCCCATAGTCGGATGGCTACACGTCCTGGCCAAATTCTGATTATTGATTTTTTACCTTCGGACTCATCATTTGATTTTCAATTTTTTTTCTGGTTTTACCTATTTTTCTACTTTTTTCATAAAGGATTAGAGTCATGAGTCGAATAGTGACTAATCGACGAAAATCGACTTTAGTCGATTAATCGGAGTCGACTCTAGTCGATTTCATCGAAGTCGATTATTAAATAATCGACTTTTTAATAATCGACGATAGTCGATTATAGTCGACTCTAGTCGATTATTAGTCGACTAATAATCGACTAATAATCGACTAATAATCGACTAATAATCGACTATAGTCGATTTTAGTCTCAACTTGCAAAAGTTAGGCCACAGTGGTAGAATGACCTAGAAAATACACCAGGTGAATATCAGGTCATTTCCAGCTTAAAAAAGGTGGTGGCCTAGAAAACTCAACTTGCAAATGTTAGGCCACCACCTAAAAATGAATTTCAAATACACACTATAGTCGACCATAATCGACTATAATCGATTATTAGTCGATTATTAGTCGATCATTAGTCGATTATTAGTCGTTTATTAGTCGTTTATTAGTTATATTCGACTGTAATCGACTCGTAGTCGACTAATAATCGACTAATACAAAATCGACTTTCGTCGACTAAAGTACTATTCGATTCTTAAAAAGTTGACTGCGTCGATTTTCATGATCAACTAAAATTGTCGATTAAACGAGTCGACTCATCACTCTATAAAGGATTGAATTTTTATGAAGGTATTTTAGTTTTTTTGGTATAAGAAATTTTGAAGTTTCGAATGGTATAACTTTAAACATGACAGAACATTCAACTTCAACTCAAAAGAGCAAAACCGAAAAAGGATAAATCTGCAAAGGTTTGAACCGTTCAATATTACAGAATTCGAACACTTGAATATACAGAATTTCGTCTCACGAAAACACAGGAGACAGAAGATGAAAAAAGTTAATTTTCTGAAAAATTCCACAAAAACCTACTGCATTAAAACTGCTGTTTCAGTCGACAAAGGATCTCTTTTTGAAGGTATCACACATTTTTCAAGGAGTTTGAAAACGCTATGAAAACGATTCAGAGTTTCGTCCAAATCGTGCATGTGTAGAGTGTAGCAGTGGAAAATGAACACGATTTCAGTAAAAAACAATGTTTGGAACTCACAGGAGTAACGTTTTTTAGGATTTGAAGACAACTCGAACAATGTAAAGAAGAACTTATTTGCACTGCACATTATGTAGATGCTTGTTATCCGAAAGTCAGTAATGTCGAAACCAGAACTATGAAAATTTTTCGAAAAGGAAGTGATGGTATTAGTTCAAAGACTGAGAATTTTTAAAATTATCGTTTGTATTTCAGATGCAAGAAATTGGATCGTAATGTTCTCGTCTAAAGGATACTTCAAAATACAAAGCAAAAATTGAGGAAATGAGATGGCTCGACTTGATGCGATTACACTGTCATTGTCGATGAATTTCAACGGATTTGAAAGAAAAGGAAACGAAAAGGTGGAAATTTTTTGTGATTTTAATTAATTTTTTTCTCATTGTTCGTTTTGTGTAGTGTTCTAATAAAATGTTGTAGTATATATAATTCCAAATACAATCACAACAGAACAACAGGTTTCAATGAAAACACACAAAGCCACACACAAGTCTAGGACAAGCCTCCCACAAGCCTTGCACAAGCCTCCCACAAGTCTTAGCTAATACATAGAATAATGTGCTCGGAGACTTGTGCTAGACTTGTGGGAGGTCTGGCCAAGCATTGGCGCCGACAGCCGAGATCTTTCACAGGAGCGGAGATAAATTGGCTCAAAGTTGGTCTCTTGAGTGGCATTCTATTTTTTGTTCCAGGCTCTGTACATTCCATGCTTCTTGGCAATCCTCAAAAAGAAATCTCGTGCTCCAGTCTACCAGATCATGTTGGCTCTTGCTGTATACGACATACTATCGTTGAGCATCAATTCAGTTTGTACTGGTATTTTCGACATCCTTGGTATATCATTTTGCAATTATCCCATTCTCATTTTCTGCCTCGGCGCCACAGTTGGTGGCTCGTGGATGTCTGGATGTTTGGCATGTGTGCTACTTGCTGTTGAAAGATGTGTTGAGATTAGTCCACAATTTCCATTGGAGTTTTTGTTCAGTCAAAATGTGTTCCCAGTTGTTAGAATTCTGATGGTTTTGTACACCATATATTCATACGTTTTTGTAAAAGCCCTCATATTTTCCGCGGAGTATAGTTGTTGGTTTTTCGATCCTATGATTGGAAAGGATGTAAGTTCAAAGTTACTGAGTAACTGGATAAGGTGTGCTGTTCAGTCTCTTCTATACCATAGCTATACACACTACAATGAATAATTTTAATTTTTTTTTAAAATCAAAAATCCCTTTTCAGCCCCTCATCTACCACAGCTATCCGCATTCCGTAAACAACTATTCTGTTGGAATAGCCACTACAGTACTTTACGTCTATGTGGCATATCGATTGATCTACAAACACGGTTATTCTACTTCAATGTGGCTGTACAAGACTAAACGACAGGTGGGGGAACAGAAACTACGACCCAATGCTAACTTAAAATGTTTGCAGATTCTATTCCAAGCGATAACCCTGTGCATTTTTCATACCACAGCCGCATTTATCTACGAATATATGCAAATGTTTGGAGCTACTTTTGAACTAATAGTGTTCAGTCAATTCGTTTGGCAATGGAGCAGTGGTGCAGTTTGTGTTGCGTATTTGGTATTTAATCGAACTATGCGAAATATGGTTGTGAGATTAATAATACCAAGAACAGTAAGAAAAAAACGCGGTTGGTACATTGGAGCAGACGAGCATATTGCTTTGGAACAAGCTGGAGGTGTAACGTTATCAGCAGGGATAGCTGCGATAAATGCTGCCGGAGGAACTGTAAAGTTTGATAATTTTGTGTTGAATTGCACCAGTAGTTAGATTTATTTTGAATATTTAATGAAAACTTTTTCGTGTTTGATGACTTGATAGTTTTGTGAACCTGTTCGATCACTGTCCACTTTCTATTTATTGCTGGGTCAGGTCGGTCTAATTCCGGATGAGACCGCTACTAAAAGCGACCAAACTCCGAAAAACTTACCACAATGCTTCGACCGACTAGTATATCAAATTTCAACTTTCGGCCAGAATCTGACCATGGATCGCTAGACAGCCGTTTTTGAGCAAGTTCAGACCAAATTTTTCTACAGTAATCACAAGAATTAATTGGGACGACTTTAATCACATTCACTCGCATAGTATTATCAATTAGTGGTAGCAGGAATAGAATGAATTAGACTTGATGCCTTTGGTGGGGATATTTTCGACATGAGCCAAGAAGTTCGTACAGATTTTTGAGTTTCTCGATTGAGTGACAGATAAATGATTGCATTGGAAGAGCAGTTGAGTGTCTCCAAAAAACGGAATCACAGCATACCACTGGGGTTGATCGGCTGGAACGATGAATGGGAGAATTTCGAACAGAACCCATGCTAATACATAGAAAATGGAAATGAGGACAAACTGAAGTAGATATCTGAAAAATCAGTTGTTCTTGAAAATTTCAACAACCACCCTCTTACTTGCCGTCCTGATTAGATCGATTAATATTACTCGCCACATTTTTCTGAGAATTTCGAATAGAGAAAACACGGCGATATAACAAATGCTAGAAGTGGTACAAACAATATCGTAGGAGACAAGCATTAAATTGGAGTATGAATACAATCCCTTAATATTTATGAATAACATTGTGATAACTACTTTGGGTATTAATTTGGGAATTCTATAAGCTCGAAAAGTTGTTGGCATTCCAGGGCACCCTTCAAACGCCGCACAAATGTGTCATGCTCCTACCGTACTGTTGCCGTGACCCTTATTGATCCATATGCCCTTCTTGTTTCAACGGTACATGAAATTCTGCCGTGCATGTGAGAGGATGGAAATACATGGCATTTCTCAAGATTTCATGTATCCTATGAACCAGTGTGCCCGTTTTCAAGGTTCTCCCCTCTGATGATGGTCCATGCATGGCCCATCATCAAACCTCTTCATGAGATTACGGATACTGTAACCGGAGGCCAGGAGGTTCAGCCCCGAAGGGTCGTAAACCGACTGGTGATAAAAATCGGCGAGAATCTTACTTGCAACATGGGAACAAGTATTGAGTGCAAACGACCGAAAAAACTGTTGTTGTAGTGAGAAAGAAGAAAATGATCAGAGTGGTGTTGGAAGTGAAAATGTAATGCTCGTTGAGAGTGATAACGGTGAACCTGGAGACTCAAATCATATAAAATAGTTCTTTTCTAGTTTACCGATTGACAGCCATAACTATTTGTACAAGGCATTCCATAAACCATCCATTTAGAAAGAAACCACCTAAAAATACGTTTATGAAGCTGTGTCGTGATCCGGCGAGAAGGTATTGCTGAAAGTTCAATGTTTCTTCCGAAGATTGAAATTTACATCCGTCATCATTGACGTTGATAGATAGAAACCTAGCACACCGGCTTGCATTAGATCCGTTATTATATTGAAAAACGCGATTATATAAGCTGTGCTCTTTCTCAAAATGAACGCCAGTCGAAACACCGGAACAAAAATTATAATGTTCAGAAAAATCACGACAATTGATAAGCAGAACGATGAAATACCAAGGTACCACTTGAGCGTCATTGTTGAAAATAATACAGAATTTCTGATCGAACGAATTCTGGCAGAGTTACTTTATATCGCGTTCCTGGCATGAAAACAACGTCCGGATCTCTGAATTGTACAAAAAATACAATAAATCAGTTATGAGGAACTGAAATGATCCACATTGATCAAAACAGATAATGTGTGTTGGTACACATAGAATTATCAGGGGTTTGCAAAAGAAATGCGCGTTTTTGATGCAACTTCCTTTTATTGTAAAACCAAAACAAGAGATCATCAATCAATAAGATATTCTCCATTATTGTTCACTACTTGCTGCCAACGTGTGCGCAATTCAGCGATGCCTTTCTTGAAGAACTCCTCTGGCTGTGACTCGAAATAGTCCACCACCCAAATTTGCACTTCTTCACCGCTTTCGAATTTTTTCTCGGCCAGATGATGTTGCATGGATCGGAATAGGTGATAGTCCGATGGTACCAAATCGGGACTATATGGCGGATGAGGCAGCACTTCCCAGCGCAGCCTTTGAGTTTTCTGCTGAATGATTTTTGAAGTGTGTGGTCGAGCGTTGTCATGGAGCAAAAGAAAAAAAAAGTGTCCACGCCTTGGCGTTTGAGAGCTTGGTCCACACGGTCCAGCTGATCTTTGTAAAGGTCCGCATTCACTGTTTGACCAGGTCTCAGAAGTTCAAAATGCACGAGACCTCGTGTGTTCCACCAGACACATATCATCACCTTCTTTCCGTGGATGTCCGGTGCAGAAGTTCAAACAAGACAAAAAAAACATATATTTTTTAGGAGTGAAAATTGTGAAATTATCAAATTATGAGATTTTATAATTCTGAGGATTCCGATTTACTGTTTTCCATGATTCTGATGTTCTGCAGTTTTGAGATTCTGTGATTTACAGGAATATTCAGATTTCCACATTCCACGAACCAAAGAATCTGAGGATTTCTTTCTAAGAATCCTTCATTGTACCGATAGTTTCAACTGGGAACCCATCGTACCTACAACACAAAGTATTTCGCATTCTTCAAACCGTACTCAAAACACATACCGGTTCTTTGTATCTCTTTATTCCCAAGAGCCTACAAGATATAATCTAGACAAAAAAAACACCCAAAGTGCATTTTCCCATTGGGATTATAATAACTAGGTAGACTTCCTCAAAGCGTTCAGTTCAAAAATGGAGAATTTCTCCTCTAACATGACTCTATATTATGTGATCACGCACAAATTTGATCTTTGGCCAGATGCCTATGAGTGTTCCGGTAACTATACAGTTCCCACTGCCAGATGGCCTAAGTTTGGTATTTATCTGTGGACTTCGGGATCGATATTTTTGGTAGGCGACCTTTTGGAGTTTTTCAAAAAACCTTTTCTTTCAGACTCTCTATATTCTCTGTTTCATAGCCATATGTAAAATCAAGTCTTCCGCTCCAGTGTACCAATTGATGTTCTTTATAGCCATCTTCGATATAATCGCCATAATTGTGGGTTCCCTAATCCTTGGCTACCTCACTTTCCACGGAATATTTTTCTGTCAATGTCCTCTCTTCTTCTTCATCATCGGCTCTTTGGCAATGTTCACATGGCTGTTCAATTGTGTCTCTTGCATTATTCTGGCCATTGAACGTTGCTCAGAAGTCAATCCCAAGTTTTTCCTCTCATTTTTATTTGGCAAGAAGGTGTTTCGAGTTGTGAAGACTTTGGTGTTCATTTATGGAATCAACGGTTTGATGTTCTCGAAGCCAGTAATTTTCAGCCCAGAGTATACTAGTTTTATTTACGATCCAATGATTGGAAAAGATGTGAGCATAATTTATTTGTACAATTTTCAAATTAATTCATTTTTCCAGCCGACCCTTTATCAAAATAATTGGCTCTCCGGGAACAATTTTGCAATTGCCCTCTGCACAACAACTTTATACTTCTATCTTTGTTACTACTTACTGCTGAAATACAGATACTCCACATCAATGTGGTTGTACAAGTCAACGCGTCAGGTTTGAAAGAAGGACCAAATAGGTATTAAAGATTTCAATGACAGATAATTTTACAAGGAGTAGTGATGTGTTTCTTCCATTCCGCAGCCGCCTGTATCTATGAATATATGGCATACTTCACCCCAACGTTATACGTTATTGTAGCTGGAGAAGTGGTTTATCAGTTGGCTTGCAGCTGTCTTAGCGTAGTGTACCTGACCCTAAATCGGACAATCAGAAACACAGTAGTCAAAATGGTCATTCCAAAATCGATTCGTGCTAAATACGGATGGCATATTGGGGTTGAAGAGCATTTAGCTGTTGAGCAAGCTGCAGAATCTAATGGAATAGCTTTGGTCAATGCTAGTGGGATGCCAGTCAAATTTGATAATTTTTTTGTGAATTGAAGATTCAATATGAACTGGTTCTTAGCATTTATAACAAATGTTTTTTTTCTGTTTACAGTATCAGACAAGTATCAGACACGTACCATACAAGGTGTCGCGACCCAGTACTCGTACTCACAAGCGCCATTATCCCAGTGGGATTTTTCGAACAGCAAAACAAAGCTTTGGTCAACGCTGGTTGGGCAGCAGTCAAATTCGATAATTACTTTTTAAGTTGAAGTTTGAATGTGACCTGGTTCTTAGAAATTGTTTAATTTTTTTGTTTTTCAATATGTTTGAATGTACCTGTCGTGGCCTCGCTACCCGATCAGTTTTGTGATCATCCCATTGGGATTATACTAGTTTGAAAACAAGGGAAAACAATTGAAACCAAGGTTCTTTTAGGTTTTAATTAAAAAGAATACAGTTCTCGAACTTGTAGTTCTTAAAACGCTACATGTGTACGAACTATGGATGGCATATTGAATTTCAAGATTATTTGCAGTAGAAAAAGCCACGGAAACTGGTGAAATCGCTTTGTTCAGGGCCGCAGCAGTTGATCTCATATATTTTAACTTTTTCATTTAACAATTCCTATTGACATTATATCTTCTCCTTACTAAAGGAATAGTTCTGTTTGTGTCCGTCCGTCCGGCGTTGTCCCTTGAATAACTTTTTCCTTACTTGACCGTTTGTTTTCATTTTTGGGGACTACCCTTGATCACCCGAGCGCTTCAATTTCGTAAATTTACATGGTCAGGTTACTGTAGGATTACGGTAGCTACAGTAACCTAAAAATTCTAAAATTGCCAATACTGGACCAAATGAGCCCAGGCTTGCATCGAAGACCCCTTAGGACACCTAGAGGTTAGCCTTTAAAATTTCAGAATTTTTTGTACAGAATAGCCGGGAATTCAAAAAAATACCATGGCGGTAATTCAAAAAAAGAATATTTCGGCGGGAATTAAAAAAAAAGAATATTTTGGCGGGAATTTAAAAAAAAGAATTTTGGCGAGAATTCAAAAAATTTTTGGCGGGAATTCAAAAAAAGGAATTCTGGCGGGAATTCAAAAAAAAATATTTAGGCGGGAATTAAAAAAAGGAATTCTGGCGGGAATTCAAAAAAATATTTAGGCGGAAATTCAAAAAAAAAAGGAATTCTGGCGGGAATTCAAAAAAATATTTAGGCGGGAATTCGAAAAAAAAAGGAATTCTGGCGGGAATTCAAAAAAATATTTAGGCGGGAATTCGAAAAAATATCTCGAATTTAAAAAAAATTTCCCAGCATTCTACAACTTTCTAAAACTTTCTAGGACTTTCTGTAACATTTTTGAATTTTTCAGGACATTCTAGGACTACCTAAAATACCTCTTTTATGCTCATCTTATATTGTTGTATTCTAGCTTATAACTTTTTTGAGTCTATAAGCTTCTATAAGCTTTTCCGTTTTTCTGTTGGCGAAATTCAGTGGTTTTACTAATAAAAACAAATACAAATTTGATTCTCCAATAACCCCTCAACCTTTTAGGATGAACTAGAAGTGAATACCAGTGGGAATTCGCGGCGTAGCCGCGAAATTTCCGCTGGTTTATTACTATGAATCAAATCATATCACCTGGTTGTTATACATTCTTTGGTCTTTTTCGACGTAAATTTAGTAGAAAAGCACGGCATCCCGAAGATGAACCTCGATTTGAAAGTTTTCGATTGCCACCGTATATAACCTTACCGGAACTTTCCTGAGAACATTCCTTATTCCTGATAAAGTCTTCATAAAACTCGAGACATTGTTTTCACTCCATTACACTATTTTTCAACGGAATCTATTACGCACCACTGATCTATCTGTAACAAAATCCAGTGGGTGTTTATGGCTCACTATTGTATTTTTCGACATTTTGTACCTACAATACTAGTTAACAACACACAACTGACGGTCAACAACGTCACCAAATACACACCCACAGAGCTCTTGTGATTTTGGCAAAGTTTTAGATATCATAAGTGATATCGGGACAAAAAGGACGAGAAGGAGATCCTTCATTTTCCCGTTTTGCAAATTTACTGTTTTCCTGATTTTCATATTATAACAATAGGATGGTTCCAATTAAAGCATATTCTTTCTTGATTGTTTTGTGTTCTGGGTTTATCAAAGCTAACAAAATAGGTTCTTTGAAAAAAACGTCTACTGCAGATTTCTCAAAATATGATTTTCTCATCATTTCATCCATACAATCTAGTCGAGAAGTTGAACTTTTGGGCCCAGTGATGGAAGTAAACTGGTTACGTTACGTCTAGACGAATACCGTAAATTCAAAAAAAAAATCAAGAAAACCCTGTCTCTCCTCTTTCAAATCATCCTACAAAATGTAGACAACAATTAGGCATATTATTGCGATTCAAAACCATATGTTTCAAAATAGCACATTTAGACACTTCTATGCAGCTGAAAATGCCCATTGTCTAAAGACTAAACCAGAATTCTAAATTCGGATTACTTTCGGTCAGACATTTTCCAACTGGGTGATAATTTTGAAATGGATCAATAACCCATCTTGTTCTTTGGTCGAAAAACTATGGGTATAAACCTTTGAGTTATTTTTAATAGTATTATCATTTCCTTAACATCCTTCATACCCAATAACAAGACTTCCTTGTCTGCTCGAATACAAATTAAGTCTACAGAGAAATAGGAACAGAATCGCCTAGTATTTCCCTATGGATCTAATTAACTCATTCAATAACGTTCGTTATCTCATGATTTTCTGAACAAAAATGTTTGAGTCTAGTTTTGAGGCTCTTACATTAATCCCACCCTCTTAGTTAGTCATAAGAAATCTATTGAGGATTGATTACCATGTAACATTTCTTTTAGGTTTTTTGTTAGCTAATACTTAATCTTCAGCTCTTATGAGAATGATAAGATTAGGGTCAATTTTTTATTGATCTGAAAATGCTCTCTATGAATTTTTAGATATAAGAAGCTGATTTTCCTGCTCTATGAATCTTTGACACACGACGTTTTGCACCACAAAAAACGTATTGGTCATTCAAATAACTCTTCGATCCTTATTTTCAGCTGCCCATATTTAGAGAGACATTTTTTGAACTCCATATTGTTTTCTGCATGTTTTTATTTAAACTCCCATTTTCTTTTAAATGGTAATTGTATCACCATCCAACATCATATTCCAGACACCATGGTGGACATTGAAATGACGCTCTACCACGTACTAACCAACAATCTCGAGATGAGCAAATTGTACAAATGCCCTTCGAATATGACAATGAACCTTATACCAAGACCAATCATTGGATCGTATTTCATGATTTCTGGGATCGCGTTGATTGTGAGTCCAGGTGCAAGGTGTCACACAATTCATATACACAGGTGTAAACAAACGGATCCGTTCGCGAACTTAAACCGTTGTCTGATTCGCGAACGGATCCGTTTGTCCATCATTCGCAAGCGGATCGGATAGGGAGTTCGCGAACGGACAGAATACGGAGGAATACGGAATAATGTGCTGTGGTTTTCTGAAAACGGGTCGCGTGCGGTCCGTATGCGGTTCCTATTTCAATCGTGCGCGAACACTGAGCGTCCGTAACGGATCCGTTCGCATTTTACCTGTGAAAATATATCTTTAGACATAAGCGTCTTGGAAGCACCAAAATAGTAGAAATGTAGTTTTACGTTTGGTTCAAAGCTTCTGAAACTTTTAAAGTGATTGATAACAAGCCTCAACGACTTTCCTGTCTTCCCCCTTGAGGAACCTTAAGCCAAATGAATATCCTTCACATACCTACAATTGAACAAGTCAATTCCAGATAATCTACCTCCCATGCTTCGTGGTGATGATAAAATCCAAATGCCGCGCACCATCGTATCAACTAATGATGCTCCTCGCTATCTTCGACCTAACTTCCTTGATGGTCAATTCTGTAACCACCGGAATTCTCGGAATCATGGGCGCCTCCTTCTGCCATTACCCGTTATTCGTATTTACTGCCGGATCAATAGGCCTCGGATCCTGGATGGGCGGTTGTGTAGTTTGTATCCTTCTGGCTGTGGACAGATGTGTGGAGATTAACTCCAACTTTCCACTGGCTATCATTTTCCACAAACAAGTGTTCCGATTAGTGATGCTCGTTATTTGCATCTATTGGGTGTATGCCAGCTTCTTCACTAATCCACTCCTATTCACCGCTCAGTACAGCTCCTGGTTTTTTGATCCGTTTATTGGGAAAGAGGTGAGAAACAAAAACACGGACAACTTTTTACAGGGACAAGTTTTTCAGGGTGATCTTTATCACAACATCCCTCATACTATCAATAACTTATTGGTATCTGCTAGCTCTACACCTCTATACATCTACTTATGTTATCATCTGATCTTCAAGTTTGGCTACTCCACATCGATGTGGTTGTACAGATCGAAACAACAGGTAGGTCAAAATACCGTATTTGTTCTAGTAAAAGCCCAGCCGATTTTGAGCCTAATTATCTCGGTTCTTGTGAGAGATATCTAAAATGTGTCAACTGATAAAAAATTGGTGTTTTTATGGTAAATAATCTATCAGTTGAAAATTTTTAAATGTCATTTGAAAAAAAGAAAATTGATCTCAAAGTGAATGTATAAGGTGAGGTTCTATTAGAACGAATACAGTATTTCAGCATAGACAACATCTCATTTTTCAGATCATTATTCAAGCTGTCATCTTATGCTTCTTCCACGCCACTGCCGCCTGCATCTACGTTTACATGCAATTCTTTCCCACACCGTCATGGCTAATTATAATTGGCCAATTAGCATGGCAATACAGTAATGGATGTGTTTGTCTTGCATATTGGACTCTAAACCGAACCATTCGAAATGCTGCGATCCGAATGATGTTGTCGAAACGAATTCGGAAACGATTCAAGTTGCACATGGGGATTGATGAGCAGATTGCAGCGGAGAGAGATGGAGAAGTGGCCAGCGTGTCGAATGTCATGAACTTGATGAGTGGTACTGCTAAGGTTGCTCCGTTTTTGTGTGAATCTTCTTTGTAATATTTTTATGCTTTGTGATGTCGAATAAAACCATACTTGCAACAGACCCCGCCTGGCCTGCGGACCAGGCCTTAATTATGTTTAGTACGGATAAAACAACTCAACTTCGTTTTTTTTTATTTTTTATCATAATAAAAACACAGATTTTTCTGAAAACAAGAGTTTTCTATCAACACTGCAGAGAGCTGGCCATTCTAAGAAACGGATGTGTACTGCTCTGTGATAATAGAAATACACACTTATCATTGTTCTCGTATGTGCTCTCAGGCATTATTTCAAGCTGATATCTGAAATTTTCATTATAAACAAAAAACGGCATATCTCTTTCATACATACCGTAAACACTAATAATAGAAGGCTACACATACCACCAACTTTGAACCCATATATCTCGGATTCTGTGAAAGATATCAAAAAGTGGTCAACTAAGAAAGTGTTATTGATATTATGATGAACACTTTGCTAGTTGATGATTTTTTGATATCTTTCACAGAAACCGAAATGTATGAGCTAAAAGTAAAAGGATTGGGTGGCCTTCCATTAGAGTGTTTACGATCGGTACCACTAATATTTGACCCACAAGTTCAACTACTTGTTTCCCACCTTTGAACTGAAAAAAATACGTCCAAAAAATCCAGATTTTCTAGGAAACAAAGATTTTACCTTCCCTCTGACGTAAATTTTCTGCTAACCGATTTTCTAGAATTGTATCCTTGTTTTTTCTGATTTCCAATCTTTTAAAAGTCATGTTACCGCGTGTTGGAGTAGCATAAAAGGAGTGCCAAAGCCTTAGTAACGCTTTTATATATCATTTTTAAAATATTTGAGAAACAAAAGCTCCTGAAATACTGTACTTTTCTTTACCAATCATCACACAAAGTCAACAACATTCGGACGATTACTCATTTAATAAGTTCATTGTCTAGAAACCAATAAACTTCTATTATATGTTTGTATGCGTGGGTTCATCACATGACAGCATTAGTCCCCAGGCAATTTGCTCGTTGTTCGTTGTCTGAAAAATAGACAGTTTTATGTTACACGATAACATCCTTGTTGTCGGCTATGGTGTTTTTGTAAATGAAAACAGTTTTCATTAACACAAAAAAACTATGCGATAGTAAGATTTCAAAGATTATAACCTAGAAATTTTGGCTCTGTTAGAAAAGTAGAGTACCTTGGGTTTTTGGAGGTCCTTTGGCCATTAAGAAGGTACTGTGGTCAAAGTGAATGCTCTTCAAAGAGTAAAAAGTTTACTGAAACTTTGAATTCGGCGCCATTTTTCCCATTGGTAGGAAATCATTGTGTTGAAGCCCAAGGCTAACAAGGGTTTTCAGAAAAGCGTTGAGAATTTTCTCAAACTTTTGTCATTGCTACTTTTGGACACGCTGATTACAGAACTGAAATCAGTTTTTCCACCCCGGCGCTGTGAAAAAGTTATAAGCTCTGAAAGAGATTTCAGTGCTAATTTCTCACTTTTGGAGTAAGTTTTTGAATGGATTAATAACAGCTTTTCGGGATTTTTCGAATGTGAATCGTACTTTTATATTTTTATATGTTGTTCTACAATCTGAGAAAGTTTCCTCATTTTTCAAAAAAAAATTTTTTCTGAAAAAATGTCGCTATGTGGTACCCCCTTTGGATTTTTTTTTCAAATTTTCGCAAAATTTTAAAATGCGCTAAAATGAAGCCTGAACGTAGAGAAACGATAAAATGAGTCTTTTCGCAAGATTTCAAAGCCCATATTCCTCTAGAAATCACAAATAAGGGATTTCTATCCAAACTTCAATGGGTCGTATTTCTTTGAAAAATCTCTAGAAGCACTCAAAACTTGTAAAAACATAGATTTACATAATTAATCATTCATTTATCTTTTTTCCAACCGCAAAATAAACCTTTTTAGGGTATATTATTGACTAACACTACGACTAGGGAAGACTTTCTAGTGTTGCTTCCAGAAATTTTGAAGTAAATCTACAAATATTTTTCGAATTATGTCAAAAAGTATTATTTTTTCTAAAAATATTAAAAATGAAATGAAAGAATTTTCAAAAAAAAAATAACTATGTCTATATTTTGAGACTTCCAGAGGGGCCAGAAAAAAAAACGAAAAAATTTTCAGGACAGGGGGATTCAACTTAACCCTAGTCAGATATGCCCGTCCCTTTTCCCCACTACACCACTTTCGCTGCTTTCCCTCTGTTCCCGAATCAGTATAAGAAAGAGGGGAGGCGCCTCACCGCGGCGGCGCTCAAAACACAGTAAAAATTTCAGACGCAAATTTTCAGCTTCCGGGGTGGAAAAACAAAAAATTACTCCATGATTAGGAGGTCATATAGTATACTTGTTCAAATTTTCAACAGATTCTCAACCCTTTTTTGAAAACACTTCCCTTGTAAGATTCTGGGTAGAAACACTTTTTTTCTGGATAAGAATCTTCATTTCAGCCAAACGGAACTTTTTTATTTCGACAATGGTCCGTTAAATTTTAAAAGGACTTTTATTTTTCTTCAAACTAGGGGACTATCTGAACATGATTCCGAGTTAAAATTCAATACCTGCATCATTAAAAAGCCCATGAAATTTTAATTCGGAAAATGGTTTCTGTTTTTGCGAAATGGGGGTGAGCTTCGAGAAAATTAGGTCAAAAGATGATTTTCAGTTGATTTCTAAAAATGTGTTTAAAAGTTGTATACCGTAAACAACGCCACCAAAACCACCGACTTTGAACCAATCTATCTCGGTTCTTGTGGAAGATATCAAAAAGAAATCAACTGATATAATGTTTATCATAATATCAAAATAATTTTGTCAATTGACAACTTTTTAATATCTTTCACGGGAAACGAGTTATACATATGTATGAGATCACAGCTAACAGTGAGTAGCCTTCTGTTAGAGTGGTTACGGTAATTGAAAATGTTGTATAAGTACATTCCAAGTTGATCATTCGAATGTGCAATAATCGAGAAATCAAATGATGATTCTATCACTCCGGATTAAGTCTGATTTTAATCTGAGGTATAAGCCTTTGGACAAATCTCTATTGTTATTTTGTGGGTGGTGCAATTTTTTTTGGTTTATCTGACTTTTCGATTCATTTGATGTGCTGATTTTTTCAATTATTGCAAGAAAACTTACAAAAATTTAAATTTTTGATTTTCGATTTTCAACTCATTTTTTGCTCCTTTTTTGTTGCTCTTCTTTCTCCTTGAGCGAATTTATCTACACATCTCACTAGATAGAAAGCCAGAGAGATATTTATCTAATAACCAACTCATCATAATTTCCTTTATTCCAGCCAGGCCCACTCATTTGCTTTCACGGTCTACTTGTTTTCACATACTAACTTATTTGCTTCTTCTTCTCTGAAAATCTATTTTATTATTTTTATCGCAATGGCCTTTAACCAAGAAATGACTCTGTATTATGTACTAAAAAATGGTTTGGAATTTGGTGAAATGTACAAATGCCCTTCTAATATTACAATTTCTTTCTATCCAAGACCAATTATTGGATCATATTTTTTGATTTCTGGGATCATTCTTACAGTGAGTAACGGATTTCCAAAACCACCAGAAAACAATCACGAACCTGTTTCCAGATAATTTACTTTCCATGCTTCCTGGTTATGCTATTCTCCAAGTGTCGTGCTCCATCCTACCAACTCATGACACTCCTTGCAATTTTTGATCTATCAGCCCTCACCATAAATTCCATCATCACTGGAGCCCTTGGTATCCAGGGAGCGTCGTTCTGCCACTACCCATTGCTTATATACTGTGCCGGAGCAATAGGTCTTGGATCTTGGATGGGCGGTTGTACCATTTGTATTCTAATGGCTCTGGATAGATGTGTGGAGATTAATCCGCACTTCCCATTTGCTTTTATTTTCTATAAGCCTGTATTTCGATTCACGATGCTGGTTGTTTGTGGGTATTGGGCGTTTGCTACATTTTTCACAAATCCAGTTATATTCAATGTGCACTACATGTCATGGTTTTTTGATCCGAATATTGGGAAAGATGTGAGTTTTTATTTTGTGCCAAATTTTGGTGATGCTACCGGCTGAGCTATGCGGTCGCAAGCTTCCAAAGCAACGGGTCAAAATCGCGCCCCAGATAATTTTTAGGCCAAAATAAATTTAATAATTTTTAAGTGGACGTGGATTTGACCTATTTATTCTAAATCAACACGTTGCAACGCACGATTTATTTTATGATCGTGTAAAAGTTTGATACTCAGCCAACGAATTCAGCAGCGAATTTGTTATTAATGTCACGTTTACTGGAGCGCGATTTCTGACCGGTTTTTTGAACCCCAGTGGTACAGTAGACACATGAGAAAATTGATCATATAAGAAGTAGCGATTTTCAAAATTTTTAATTCTCGAAGGAATAAACAAAAATTGTCCAAATTTCTGTAATTCGTCACAGAAAATACTAAACTACTGATAAATGTCATAATCGATGTGTTTTTATCCAGAAATACTTTATTTCAACGCAATCATGAAAAATATGGTTTTAATTACATTATTTCTGTTGTTTTTCAATTTTGCGAAAAGTTACGTGATGCACAGAAATTGAAGGTTTCGAATTCTGGGAATTTGGAAATTTTACGTGATTCACAGAAATTGAACGTTGCAATTTCTGGGATTTTTCACAGAACTCGAACTGTTCGAGTTCTGGGATTTTGGAAATTAACGTGATTCACAAAACTCGAAGCTTTCAATTTCTGGGATTCTGGAAAAGCATGGGGGGGTTGGGGGGGGGGGTAGGGATTCAAGAAGGGTCGGGATAAAGCAAAATGAATATTAGGAAACTATCGTTGGACTTGTTGTTTTCCATAAAACGGATCCTTCGAGCTTAAAGATAATTGTTTTCCATGGGAGCTCTATGTTGGCTGAAAAACTAGTTGAAAATTCTGAATCGTATTGGAAGGGTTGAAGTAAAAAAACATTTTTATTCGAAACTTACTATTGTCACATACAGTACTTCAGGATGAAATTGGTTGAGATGGTGGAAAAATGTTGTTCAAAAGCTATAAAAGATTCCACTTGGTGTTTTGAAAAACTGGCAACACTGATTTTTAATGATTTACCGTCGAAGAAAACTGAAAAACTGAACGTCGAAGAAAATTCAGTTTTCTTTGACGGAAAATCAATAAAAACCCGTGTTGCCAATTTTTCAAAACTTTCAAATTTTCAAAACATCACGTGGAATCTTTTATAGCTTATGAACAAAAATTTTCCACTATGTGACAAAGGTAAGTTTTAAGCTTTGTATTTATATTTTTACTTCAACCCTTCCAATGCGACTCAGAATTTTCAACTAGTTTTTCAGCCAACAGAGAGCTCCCATGGAAATCAATTATCTTTAAGCTCGAAGGACCCGTTTTATGGAAAACAACAAGTCCAACGATAGTTTCCTAATATTCATTTTGCTTTATCACGACCCTTCTTGAATCCCTACCACCCCCCCCCCCTCCCCAGAATTTGAAGCCTTCAATTTCTGTGCATCAAGTGTTCTTTTATCACCGAAAATATATTTGTGTATCGAAAAAATTCTATTGCAAGTACAGGAAATACTACTCGAAATGGCTTTATCGTTTTTTATGTAAATTTGAATTTTTATTTATTTTTTCGCTCCGCAAAGAAAGTGCGAAATTACTGAAACTTCACAGAAATTTTGGAAATCGAAGTGATTTGGGATGAAAATTGAAAATTTTGAAAATCGCTCCTTCTTATATCCTAAAAATGATCAAATATCCAACTAAAAAATTAGGAAATAATCCTCGAAAAGTTCCAGTACTGATTTAACTAATTCAAACTAATTTTTTGAAATTTTAAAGAATAAGTTCCATCTAGCCGGAATTTCGTGTACCGTAAAGCCTGTATTAGAAGGGCCCCACACTGACAAGTTTGAGCTATTACATCTCATTTCCCACAAAAGTATTAAAAAAGTGGTTAAGTGACCACATTTTCATTATCATGCCAAAAATATTTTGTCAGTTTACCACTTTATGATATCTTTCACAGGAACCGAGATGAATTGGCTGAAAGTTGACAGTGTGGGGGCCCTTGTATTACAGGTTTTACTGCATTTTTTTTCAGGGCGACCTCTACCACAACATCCCTCATACTATCAACAACTTGTTTGTATCAGTTATATCGACACCTCTCTACATTTACTTGTGTTACCATCTTATATGTATTTTCGGATATTCCACTTCAATGTGGATGTATAAATCGAAACAGCAGGTATTTTTTAGCTCTTAATTTTTTTTTAATTTTTTTAATTTTTCCGATCATAATCCAAGCGGTCATCTTATGTTTCTTCCATGCCACTGGCGCCTACATCTACGTTTACATGCAATTCTTCCCCACACCTCCATGGCTAATTATAATTGGCCAATTAGCATGGCAATACAGTAATGGATGTGTTTGTTTGGCATACTGGACACTGAATCGAACAATTCGGAACTCTGCGATTCGGATGATGCTACCGAAGAAAATTCGGAAACGATTCAAGTTGCATATGGGAATTGAGGAACAGATTGAAGCGGAGAGGAATGATGGCAATAATGTAGTGGCAAGCCCTGCGGATGCTATAATGGCACATACTGCAAAAGTTGCACCGTTTTTGAGTGAAACTACTTTATGAATATTATTCTGTGACATGAACAATAAATCGTCTTAAAGGTCTCATTGTTTTTGATCGGTTGAAAACTTTATAACTGCCGGAAATAGAACTTTAAAGCTTCTAAAGTTCTTAAAGAAGTAGGAACATAAAAAACATAATTCTCTTCAAATACTGTGAAACCTGTTTTAGAAGGGCTGGTATTCGCTCTAACTGAAGCCCAAATAAACTGTCAACTTTAAGCTCAGTTATTTCGATTCCTTTTATAGATAGAAAAATCTTGTAAATTGATAAAACATTGCTGATATTATGATAAATAATTTACAGTTTAAAAAATTTCGATATCTTTTACAGGAATCTAGATAGTTCAGCTCAACGTTAAAGGCTTCTGTTAGAGCAAATACGGTAACTCAAAAATTGGACATCAACCCTGAAATTTGAAAAAATTTGAACCTCAAATTCACAATCTCGTTTTCTGACAATAATGAATTCCTCATTACCCTAAAAAATCACATGTGGGATTTGCACCAAAAAACGCTCTTTAAGTATGAGTGTACTAATCTTCGGAAATCCGCTGGCCTATTGGTTCAAGTTTCAGATTGCTCAGATTAACATTTTTCATCTGCTTTTCTCCAATTTTCCAGGTCATTCATTGATCTACTTGTCGGATCAGCTCATAGTAGTAGGAGTAAACTGACATAGCAATTCTATCCATTTCTCATTTTCAATTGATCCTATTGAACCAATAGATTCCCTCTGACGTCCAATGTTCCATCCATGCCCTATACGACTCCAAAAAGTGGTCAAAAGGGAATTTAAACTTCAATTTTTTGTCTCGAAAAACATGTTATTTCTGTTCAGTAGCATACATGCAATTTCACGGTTTGTACGTTTCTGATTGGTCTTCTTCTTCTTTACAAACAACTTATTCCTTTCCTGTGTCAATCTCAGCCCGTTCCGCTCTGATAGTAAGAGCATAATCATCAGCCTATTCATCAAATTTTGATTCAGAAATTTAAAACTTCTTGGGAAACATGTCGGACTTACAAATGTCCATGGCTTACATGTTGACTCACTCATTCACTTTGTATCCCGAGATTTATAAATGTCCGGGGAACACGTCGGCTATGCGAACGAAGCGACCGATTTTAGGAACTTATTTTTTGGCTTCTGGATTGATTTTTATTGTGAGTTTTGGGGGGGGGGGTCATGGGTAGGTTCCCGTAGGCAAAACCGTTTGTCCTTTCGGAAATAAGCTCATCTAGGACCGCCAGATCCTTGCTCTAATAGAAACCTATACGTTCACTTTGAGCTCAAGTATCTCGGTTCCTATGACGGATATCAGAAATCTGTCAACTAATAAAATATTAGTGATTTTATGATAAACGATTTATCATTTAACATGATTTCGATATTTTTTGAAGGGACCGAGATAATTGACTTAACGTTCTAGAATAGGGTGGGCTAATATTAGACCAAGTACGGTAAGATTTGAAAACCCAAAAATTGAAAACACATGAGTTCTAAATCTTTAAAATCTCAATTTCTCCGAGTTTGGTAATTTTGAAATTTCGAAAACATGGAAAGTCTGGTTAAAAATACTGTTATTATTACTCTTGTCCGAAATCAATGCACGTTGCGGCCGAGAAAACAACGGTGGGCGGAGCTTGGCTCCCACAGAGAGAACCTTACTGTGTTTTTCAAATTATTGCACGCGCCTTTAATACAGTACCTCAACATTTATCGAATTTTTGCCTTTTTCTCTCATTTTTTCGCTTGTTTCTGTCTAATTTTGACTAATTCTTAAAAATCTTCAATTTTTTTCTTATAAAATAGAAAAAAAACAGCCAAATAGGGCCCAAAATAAAAACCGTCCGTGGTACGGTATTTAAAGGCGCATGCATCAATTTGTTTTTTCGCTGTGCGACCGACGATGCGATTTTGAGTAAATTTTCGGCCGCAACGTGCATTGATTTCGGACGAGAGTAATACACAAATACGTAGACGAGACGTTGCACTTAAGCAAACTGATAGGTGTGTTCGATCAATCAAAATTTTTTCTAGCATACAAAAATTGTAGGTTCAGATTTCCGAGACTAGAAACTACTTTCTTATTTCTAAACTTTCAGACTGCGTAGTTCGCATTTTCAATCTCGAATAAATAAAACTAAAAATAGATAGAAAAATACAAAGAACCTGATGTCATTCGAAGCTCGTTTGAGTGTATTGACGCTTCTCAAGGGAAGTTACGTCTAAAAATGGTTTCCTTGTGATAAGAGTCCCCGGAGGAGTTGAACTTATGGACAAAATATGAGGGTTGCTGCGCTGATCCAGGCTGACGCGGTCATAAATTAAGCTTGTAAGGTCGCGGCCGGTAGCTCTGCCATTCGGGATCTTCTAGGCCGCCGAATCCTACCTATCGCAAAAGTACAGTAACCAAAAAAACCGCGGCTCTGTTTTTGACAGCCTTGCATGAAACACATACAGTGGAATCTGTAATAAAAGAGCCCCCAAGATGTCAAGTTTGAGCTCAATTATCTCGCCTCCTATATCTCGGCTCATATATGTCTCTCTCCTATATCCTATATGCTCCTACAGTGCGGTCAATATCTTTAAGACCCCCTTGATTTTGGGTGCACAGAAAAAACTAGAAAAGGTATCAAAAAACTGTAAACGCCATTCGATTTGCTATCAAAATAACCTCTAGAGACAAAATTTAATGAAATTAGCATTTTCCCTGTCCGTGTACCATAAAAAAACCGATATGCAAGCGGTCAATATCTTTAAGACCCCCCCCCCCCCCGATTTTTCGATGTTCCAGTGATAATTTTCTGAAAGTTTCCCGATCAGAAATTGGATTCTGAAAATTCACCTCACGATTTTTGCTCTTTTTGAGAGAATTTTTGGTTTTATGGAAAAATGTACTTGGTGGAATTCTATGAAAATTCATATTATTAGAACGCTTTTTCTCCCTTTTTTATGTCTTAGTCATTTGGTATAGATTCAAGCTGAATTCAGATGGGTATAGATTCTTAAAGTCGGAGCTGGACAGTTTGATGGGTTCTGGGGCTAACGTTGAGACGATTTTCGGGACAGTTTGGTCAATTATAACTAATCAAGTAATTTGATTACAAAAAAGAGGATAAGAGCTTTTTAAAAATATGAAATTTCATAGAATTCCATCAAGTAGAACGGTGCATTTTTCCATAAAACCAAAAAATCTCTCAAAAAGAGCAAAAATCGTGAAGTGAATTTTCAGAATCCAATTTCTGATCGGAAAACTCTCTGAAACCGTTTTTATTCAATTCAAAACTATCTAAAATAACTTTTTGGCTGATATTTGATACTTTCATAAAATTTTCTCATGAAAATTATCATTGGAATATCGAAAAAACCGGGTGGCCTTAAAGGAGGCGAGACAGCAAAAATTTCGGGGGCAGTTCGGGGGACGAAATCGCGCCGCGCTTATGTAGACCATCGGTCGTCAGGCGCCTTCGCGCCCCCGTAGCTCAGCCGGTATCTGCGCAGTACCCCTGAGCTGCCTGTCATGAGTTCAACCTCTCATGGGGGTTCTCTATGCAAAATATCAGGAAAACTTTTTTTTTTGGTGTCTGGCCTCCTTTAAAGATATTGACCGCTTGCAAATCGGTTTTTTGGATGGTACACGGACAGGGAAAGTGCTAAATTTATGAAATTTTGTCTCTAGAGGTTATTTTTGATTGTGAATCGAATGGCGTTCACAGTTTTTTGATACCTCTTCTAGTTTTTTCTGTGCGCCCAAAATCGAGGGGGGTCTTAAAGATATTGACCGCACTGTATATGTTAAAAATTTGTAAACTAATGAAATGTTTGTGATGTGATGGTAAATAATTTATCAGTTGACAGTTTTTTATATATTTTACACGAACCGAAATAAATTGAATCAAAGTTAAAGAGGGCTCTTTTGTTATAGGTTTTACGGTAGGCGCGGTCACATTTTTTACTCTCAAACCACCCAAAACGTTTTACTGTCCTACCCTCTTATAAAATTCAATAAGTCTCCTTCCAGCTCCTCTACACCCCATGTTTCATCGTGATGGTTCGATCAAAATGTCGGGTCCCTGCATTCCAAGTCATGTTGATACTAGCCGTCTTCGATCTGCTGTCCTTATCAGTCAATTCTGTTATCACTGGACTCTTGGACATCATGGGCTTCAGTTTTAGTCACTTTCCAGTTTTCATTTTCTGTGCCGGTGCTATTGGAAAAGGATCTTGGATGGGCGGATGTGTGGCGTGTATACTGTTGGCGGTGGATAGATGTGTCGAGGTGAATGCCAAATTTCGACTGGGATTTTTGTTCAAGAAAAAAGTGTTTCGCGTGGTGATGGGACTAATGGTATTGTATTGGGTTTATTCTTGTGGATTTACAAAGCCGCTGCTCTTCAAAGCGGAGTACAGCTCATGGTTTTTTGATCCGAAGATTGGGAAAGAGCCGTATCTTTATCACAGCATCGATCACACTATAAACAACCTAGTGGTGTCATTGGCTACCACTTCCCTCTACATTTATTTGTGTTATCATTTAATCTACAAAATCGGATATTCCACTTCAATGTGGTTGTACAGATCGAAACAGCAGGTAGGATCCTTTAACTAGAATCCTCTCAAAATTCGAAAATTATTCCAGATCATCATCCAAGCCGTCATCCTTTGCTCGTTCCACGCTATCGCCGCCTACATCTATGTGTACATGCAATTCTTCTACTCACCACCCTGGCTAATCATAATTGGTCAATTAGCGTGGCAATGGAGCAATGGATGCTTCTGTGTAGCGTATCTAACTCTAAACCAAGCGATTCGAAATGCAGTGGTCAGAATGTTGGTGCCAAAGAAGCTTCGAGAACGATTCGACTTGCATATAGGAATTGATGAGCATTTGACGAGTGTGAAACAAATCACCCAGATAAATACCGTATCGATTTGTGTTAAAATGAATAGTCTTGTTTGATCCTTCTTTTTTTTAAATATTAGATTCCATGAACCTCAATAAATGACCCAAATGACATCATGACTAATATCTTCTCTTTCTATGTTTCCTAAGTGACAAATTTGTCTGACATATGAAAAAGTCATAACAACTTCCGCCGACATCATAACGTACTGGATTATGTAGCTTCCGGAAGAAGGTGTATTTCTCGATTTTTTTTCTAGAAAGAGTACTTTGATCTTGGCATGTGTACAAAAAAAACCAAATGGGAAAAGAGGGAATTAAGGAAGTTTAAGGTCCAATTTGTGACCCTCCATGAGGGACCTTTCTAATAGAAAGAGCCCTTTTATTAGGGGCTGTAGTTTTTAAGGAAGTTATGCATTTTGAGAATTTAATTGAATTTACCAAAAGTAATTATTGAAAATATAATTTTTCTAAAATTAGTTCGAACAAGATTTCGAATTCTTTGAGACGTGGCCTAACTTTCACAACATGATTTTTCTAGGTCACTATAGTTGATATTCAGAAAATCGCCTAACATGCACCTGATGTGTTTTCTAGGCAACTTACCATGGTGGCCTAACTTTCACAGGTCGAGTTTTCTAGGCTGCTTTGTTAAATAGCCTACAGTGCGTTTCATAAGTATAGGTTCACCCTCGGTAGACAAGGTGGGAAATCTTGGAGGTTTGGGGTTGTTATAATATTAAAGTCCATGTAAAAATACATATCGCCCACAATTTTTAGACCGCTACTACAAAAAATAAATTTTTATGTCAGAAAAAGTCTTTTTTTTGAAAAACGAGCGTTTCATAAGTATAGGTTCACCTTTGAAAAAAATTACAGTTTCACATAGGTGATAACTTTTTAACTATTTTTACTGTTTTTAACTATTTTTGCGTCTTTTACTTCGTTTTTCTTATGCCGCGAGCCACTCATCTCTCGGATTCGGAGCGAGCTCAGATCGGCGCGTTCAAAACGGCTGGATGGTCGAATCGGCGCATCGCAGCTAGGTTAGGACGGTCTTTCAATTGTATTTACACGTTTGTTAACAATCCGGACCACTACGAGACCAACAAGAAGAGCGGAGCTCCAAAAAAATTGACGGATCGAGACACGAGAAGCATCATCAGACTGGCATCCAATTCGATGAAGAGCTGTAACGACATAAAGAATGAGCTGAAACTGGATGTGAGCAAGTCCACGGTCTGGAGAACACTGGACAGCAAGCAGAACATTGTCCGAGCCAAGTTAATGTCCGCGCCGATGCTCACCGATGCTCACAAGGCGAACCGACTTCAGTTTGCAAGGAACAACATGGCAACTGATTGGGATAAGGTATGGAATGCTTTTGAAATCATCACTTATGCTGTTTTCTATTACAGATCATCTTCAGCGATGAAAAAAAGTTCAATCTGGACGGGCCGGACGGCTTCAACAGTTACTGGCCGACCTGAAGAAGGATCCCCTCCATTTCTCCAAGCGTAACTTCGGTGGTGGTCGTCTTATGGTCTGGGGGGCATTCTCTTCTGCCGGTACTGTGGATTTGGCGTTCGTCTCCTTCAGAATGAACTCGACAGACTATCAGGATGTCATGACTGCCAAACTGATCCCATATCTTCGCCGTTTTCATCGGCGTCAGCTCACATATCAGGGAAAGCAATACCAGACCGTTTCTGAGCTCCAAACTGCCATCGTGGACGCATGGAAGAACCTGAAGAAGCCTTACCTCCAGAAGTTGTTAAATTCCATGCCAAACCGCTTGTTTTCTATTATTTCCACTGGTGGAAAGCCCACAAAGTATTGAATTGAATAAAACTTTGTTAATGTTAAATTTTCCGGGGGTGAACCTATACTTATGAAACGCTCGTTTTTCAAAAAAAAGACTTTTTCTGACATAAAAAATTTATTTTTTGTAGTAGCGGTCTAAAAATTGTGGGCGATATGTATTTTTACATGGACTTTAATATTATAACAACCCCAAACCTCCAAGATTTCCCACCTTGTCTACCGAGGGTGAACCTATACTTATGAAACGCACTGTATATAGGTTGTACAATGGCCGAATGGGTGGTACAGTGGAAGAATAAGTGGTACAATGGAAGAACGAGTGGTACTTTGGTAGATTGAGGGGTACAATGGAATGCGTGGTACAATGACCAAATAAGCGGGAAAATGCCCGAATATTCTCCTCTCGGCTCTATCTGAGTCTACAGTTCTTATGGGAGTTTCAAGGATCCGTAGGATTTCACACTTCCCATGGGAACTCATGGGTTTCACAAACTTACTGAGGTCTCAGATATGGTCTGACAGTGCGTAATATAGTTTTAATCAGTTAGTAATTATTATTAGTTAAAAGAATAATTTGATTCTACTGATCCCAATTTGAATGTCTCCGGCCACAACCGCATTCACTGTTCTTGTAACTGGTGGATCTTCTGCTCGAGGGTACACCTAGTAGAGTGTTTCGGTTTAAGCCTATAATTTTGAAAGAAAAACAGAACAATAGTTCATTTTGTAGGGGCTATCCTTCGGGATAACAGCTACATTGAAATACGAATGTGATGAAATTACGAATGAACTAAATTTTTACCTCTCCGGTCTTGTCCACCACTAAATAAAAAAGGTTCATTTCCAGTTTTTTAGGCTCAGTACCCAATGGTAGATCAAAAAAATATATCTAGTAGAGTTTTGCAGACCCATTTTTTTTTACATACTTTTATTTAGGACAAAACTGGAGACCCGTTTTCATTTCAAAACTATAGGCTTACCCCCCCCCCCCCCCACACTAATTATATGTTCTACAAAACGAAAAAAATTCCCGAAGGCTCACTGTCTAGTACCTAATTATTATCGAAAACCTGACACAATTTTTTTCGTATCCGAATCTCTAGAGTCCTCATTGTCTAGTCCTATTTTTCATCTATTTTCTATGTCATACACTCGCATTCTGTTTGACATTTTATTTTGAATCTATTCGAAGCTTAATATTTGAAGAAATGAACGGATTCGAATGGCGAAAAATCCAACACGATTTTCATATTATCTCCACAACTTTCGCAATCACTTTTAACATTTTCCTCATTATTCTCATCAGTACGAGATCTCCAAAAACAATACGCTCCTATAAATATCTGCTTATGGGAGTGTCGATTTTTGAAATCTTTTTTTCGTCTGTAGAAATTATCGCCACTCCAATTGTTCACTCTTTTCATACGATTGTTGTAGTTCTTACAGTAGTTGGAGACTGGCCTAGACTACTTATGCGAATTTTGACAAGTGAGTATAGGATTCTAAACATTGGAAAAGTTTCCAATTTTCAGGCACTTACTGCGGAAGTTTTGGTTGTTTCCTTGCAATGTTTGCCATGCTTTTTGTCTATCGTTATTACGTAGTTAGTGGGTGGGTTAACATGAAAGCGATATTTATAAACCGCCGAAAAATTTTAAAGAAATTCAAAAGTCAAATATTTCGAATCGTGGTATCTTGTTCCACTGGCTGCCATTGTATTATTCTGCGGTTTCATATGGGGTGCTATAGGATATCTTATGTTTGGTCCAAGTGAAGAAATCGATGAGTTCATCAGGTTAGACTTGTACGAGGAACTTGGCTTACATCCTGAAAATATCGCATATGTTGCTCCTCATTTTTATCTTATCAACGAAGCTGGTGAGAAGGTTTGGAACTGGGATTGTATCATTGGAATGAGCGGAGTCTGCACAATTGTGGTGAGTGTTTTCTGTTATTTTTGGAAACCTCCTATGTATGAGTAATGTGGTTATTCAGAGGGAAACAAACCAGCAATTTGCTCGTGTTTTCTTCCTTATGAGCAGAGAAGCAAAGCCGGCAAATTGATGCGGCCATGACGACCAAAATTTCTGGAGATTTTTAGAACACGGCCCTTGCAATTACCGTTAAACCTGTAATAGAAGGGTCTCCACGCTGTCAGTTTGAGCTCAATTATCTTGGTTCCCAGAGGAGATATCAAAAATGTGTCAACTAGTGAATTTTTTGTCATATAATGATAATCAATTTATCAGGTGGCAGTTTTCTTGTATCTTTAAAAGGAACCGAGAGAAATTGACTCAAAGTTTGAAGTTAAGGGCCCTTCTATTACAGGTTCTACCGTAGTTATTTTTTAACGTCAATAATATAAACGAGCAAAGTGTTGCTAAAAAGGTGGCCGTGGCATAGGAAGCTCGGCCGCAAAACTTTGCTGGTCATGTTTCCATCTGAATAACCAAATAACCATTGGTCGGAAAGCGCAACCAAAAATTTCAAATTTTCAGAACATCACCGTATTTTTCATTTTTCGATATGGTATCAAAACGTATCGATTTCTCCAGAAAATGTCAATAAAGCCAAACATATCGGAAAAAGCGAGAACAATGCAAAAACAATTATTTTATGCACTGGTTATCCAGGCTTCAGTTCCGTTAGTACTATTACAATTGCCACTGGTTATACTATTTATTTTCTCACTTTTAAATATCCATTTGGGACAGATTGCAGGAATCCACACTTTTACGATTTCGCTATTTCCAGCCGTGGATCCTTTGCCGACGATTTTTGTTATTAAAGCTTATCGGTTGACAATTCTGGGTAGGGACGCTGCCGAAAATGTATAAACCAGAAAAAACAATTTCAGGATGTCTCACAACATGTCGAGTAGCTCCATTAAGCCACCCAACATCTCAAGTTCCTAATGCAAATTTAGTATCAGTGGCAAACATTGGAGGGGCTACAGCGCCTCGAAGTTTGAACTTAAAGTACAGTACCCCAATTTACTTGGAACCTTAATTTCGGAGTTTAGAGCATTGAGAACTTTAAAATAAGCCTTAATCAGTGCATTTTGGGTCCATGCGCTTTTCACCTTGAGGTTACTGTAGATTTTCGGAAACCAATAAGCCTATGCATCATACTCATTTTTCAAGCTCTCGACGTTCGAAATTCAAAAATCATAGTTTCAAATGATTTGTGTTACTGTTGAAAAAGTTAAGTCTTGTTGAAAAATTGAAGTGACTAAATGAACCCGCTGTTCTTGATCATTTTTAATGATTTCATATCTCTAGAATTTTTTTAGAAATTAGTGAGAATTTGTCTCCAATGAAGAAAATAAAAAGTTGATGTGATTTCCGTTATTATCATAATGTTTCCGATTTCGCATATCCGGTTATCGGATGCCTATTCCAATTATAGTTGCATGTTTCTGTGTTTATTTCTGGTATTTTTTTCAAAATAAAATTTGCAAACGTTGTCATATTTTCCCAGTTATCTCATCGAAATTTAAGGATATTCAGAATCTTACAATTTCAGATAATCAGAGAATCTCAGAATCTCAGAATCTCAGAATCTCAGAATCTCAGAATCTCAGTATTTCAGAATTTGAAAATTTGAAAATTTTAGAACTTGAGAATATGGGAAATTTCAGAATTTCAGAATTTCACAACGGATTTTCAGAAAGGGATTTTTTCGAAAAATTAAGGTATCTTCCTGAATTCACTCCTTTGTTTTCTAAAGTGTACTTATCAACTTTTGATTGTCCAACTGAGACAAATCTGAAAATGTGAAAATATTCAAGGCCATGAAATAAAATTTGAACAGTTAAAGATATTCGAAATTTGAAAAATTCACAATCAATTAGTCGTCGAATGCCCAGCAACTCCAACTCGATTCCCTCGGTGTTCATATTTAATTTTTGACCATAAATAATTAAATGTCATTCCTTCTCTTATTGCTTTAACATTCCGTCGATTGCAGAAAAGATACGAAATTTGAATTAATAATGGACTAATTATCGCATCGAATAATGTTGCCTCCATTGCTACAGTATCGTCATAATACTCTGCCCATTGAATAACGCCGATAAATGCTACTTGCGTCTGAAAATCGCTATTAAAAAGTTCTAAAATTTAAACTTACAGCTTTCAAAATAACAGTAAGAATGGTTTGATACAAAATATAATTATGTGGTTTTTGTTTTTTGAACGATGGAAGATGACGAAAACGAAATATGCTAATGTAGATTGGAATGTATAAGAAAGAAGATATCAAAATCATCGGGTTCAGAACAGTTGAAAAAACCTGGAAATCCCAAACTAGAATCTTTTTAGACTTCTGGATTATTCTCGGTCAGACAATCAAAATGAACTGAAACACGACTAGTATTTGATGATTTTGAAAGTTTTCGAAGTGTTCGTGGTCCATGCGCCTTTAAGCTTTCAAATTTTCAAAATAAGTCTTGTTTAGGCTTATTTTTTTAGGTACGATGAGCAGTGTGTCTTTTCGAAAAAAAAATTCTCGAGAAATGCCCTTTTCAAGACATTTTCGAGGAAATTTCGACAAAAATTTATCGAAAAAAATTCCTCGAGGAATTTTTCGAGGGATGTGCTGAGCAATGCGCGGTGCGTTTTGGAGTGTCGTTTGCAACTTTTTTCAGTTTTTTGTCGTTGCTCGTTTTCTCGTTTATTTTGTCATTTGAAAGTGGTGGCCTAACTTTTGCAAATTTGGTTTTCTAGGCCACCGCTTCAAAATGACCTAGAAAACATACCAGGGTCGTGTTAGGGAATTTTTGTTAGGGCATTTTCATCGCAATGTGTTCAACACAGAAAAACAATTCACTAAGAAAAAGTTCAAAAGGACTATAAGCCAATTCGAAAACGTTTGAAACTCAAAAATCAGTTTCTTACCCTCATTGACATTTCCATTGTGTTTAAAAGATCGAAATTCTTTGCTGATTCATCAAATTTGATTCCATAAACTACCAATAATGGAACTAAACATGAAATGTGCAATCCATAAATAACTCTTCGTGTTGTTTTGTCATTAAAAGAGAAAAATCGCTCGAAATTCGAAAAAAAGTACAGTAAGAATCTTTGAATCGACAGAACAGATAGTAGAATGTGATGAGTGTAAACCAAATGAAATACCAATATCACGATAATTCCATTAGTCACTCTTATGATTCTTGTGAATGGATAAATGTGGATAATGCGGCTGAAAATCTGTGTAAGTAACAGTGATGGGAGGAACTTCCGTTTCCGTTTTCCGTTTTCCGACCGGTTTTTAGAGATTTTTTTCCGTTTCCGTTTCCGCGGGAAAAAAATTAACGATTCCGTTTCCGTTTTCCGCGGAAAAAACTCCCCTTTCCGTTTCCGTTTCCGTTTTCCGTATTTCGGGAAAATGCGTTTTCTCCCATCACTGGTAAGTAACTGAAAAAAAGTTTTTTTCAACGTACGGAAAAAGTGTGCTGTCTCGCATGAAAATCAAAATGCATATGGCGTCAAAAATATAAAAGGCATAGACCATTCTGTAGAAATGATATGTTATTGGGTAGATGACTGTCTAAAAAGTGCTGTAGATGTTTCAATTGTCTTGCAAACTTGAAATTTTTTTGTTTTTAGACTTTTCTCGTCTAGACAAGGGAAATGAGCCTAAACACGACTAGTTTTGGACGATTTTGAAATTTTCGAAATTGCCAGAAATAGCTCTTGTTTGAGCTCATTTTTATCCTGTCGATGAGATAAACACAGAAAAATATATTTCATTGTCAAAATTCTATTAGAGAATCTAATTACCTCTCGATCACGTTCTCGATTTGCTCGAAAAACACTGATATATAATGGTAGAACAATAATTGGTGATACGAGTAATACTAGAAAAACTACAATACACACAATGGCAAAACTGCCTAAAATTATATCTAAAATCCATTGAAAATCCGTGTTGTCAGTCATTCATGTGAGTTTGGCGTTAATTTTCATCATGTATGCCTATGAAAATATTTAAATCAGCTGCTGTCGTTTGATTTCCATCTGCCTCCATGAAAATATGGACCAGAACATTTGAAACACAGCGACGGTGGTGGCTTCTGAGATTCCTGTGATTTGTCCGTGGTTGCTTTTCGATTGCTGGCATTGACCTCAGCTGGATGTTGTACTGCACACACTTTTGGAATCTTCTCGGATCTCCAGTTCCCTGATTTACTTTTTCAGCTCAAGTAGTGTAGTCCAAGGTTTCGATACCATGATTTGCAGAGTTGTAGTTGCTGTCTCTCAATCCATTGATCCAGACCATACAACATGGTTGATCATCGGTCATCTTCTTGAATTCTGAAGATGTGAACCGGCGCAGTACAATACCCGTGTACTGTTCAATAGATGATCCGTCGTATTCCGTTCTCAAAAATTCTTGTCGCTTCCGGAATACCGAAGAAGTCGACTTGAAAGTGTCAGTGAGCTTGGAAACCAGATCAGTGTATTTGAAGGAATTTGGAGTTGCCGGCAGAACTCGATTTGAAAAAATGTGGATAATCTTTGGAATCAAGCTTGGAAAGAACCAACATGACTTTCGCATCGTCTGTGAGAGATGAGCCATCCTTGTTGATAACCTCTTCATACCGATTGTACCACGTCTCAAACGTCATTTCTTCTTCTGGATCATACTTGAAATTTTGAAATCGAGCCGATATTGATTCCACCAGTTGACTTGTTCCATTTGAAGCATTTGATGTGGAAGCAAGTGCTTGTGCAAGATTGGGAACGAGCTGACCGAAAGCCGAGATCAGGGAAGTGATCTGAGTTTTGAGATCTGCCATGGCCTTTGCCTGATCGCCAGATGTGAAATCCTGCGGTCCAGGCATGATAGAACACAGGGGAGAGTAGAAGAATTTATCTCCAATCCGGAAAATGAAAAGTCAATGTAATTTCCGTTATCATCATAGTTTCCGATATTGCATTTCCGGTTTCTGGATGCCTATTCTAGGGATGATTGCATGCTTCCGTGTTTATTTTTGGTGCGAATTTTTCTTTTTTTTTTTTTTTTAAACTGAAAATGTTGTGGCATTTCCGCAGTTACCGGAGTTTTCGGAATTTAAGAATCCCGGAAGCCTTTTCTCAGAGAAATCTTTTCCATCTCACCTCATTTTTCCATCTTGACAGCGTTACTCAAACGTCATCCGCCACCTTCTTCCTTTAAATCGAGTAGGTATCACGGACCCACCATTTTCGACATTTTGTAGAAATTTTGTAGAAATTTTTTTGAAGAATCGTAACTAGGTCAATTCCGGTCCGTTTTGGCTGGCTTTTTTTTCAATCGATAGAAAATCTCTATGGCTACCCGGTTGCTAAAAACCGTCGAAATTGGTACATTTTGAACCAAGATATGACGCAAAACGAACAATTGGATCCGATTTTTTTTCGGTTTTCCGGTTTTTTCTACCGGATTAGGGTCTAACAAGGGAAGTGTTTTCAGATAGTGTTTGAGAATTTCTTCAAAATTGGTACACATATACTTTCGGACATGGTGAATAACGAGAAAACTTTTTTTCGTGCCCCTCGGTACCTAGAATCTGAAAAAACGCGTCTGAAATTTTACCTATGTTTAAGCATTATAAGCGTGAGCGCGATCTCCCCCTTTCTTATACAAATTGTGGGAGCAGTGAGGAACAGCGAAGTGTGGTGTAGTGGTGAAGAGGGATGGCGGTAACTGACAAGGGTTAGTAAGATCCCTTTTTTCCCGATTTGTTTTCTGTTTTTTTTTCTGATCTTGCTGGAAATCTCAAAGTGTGTCAACCCTTTAGAAAAAATTTCCATTCAGATTTTTAATCATTTTGAAAAAAAATTTATTTTTGACTTGTTTCCGAAAATACCCAAGAAATAGTACTTCAAATGTTTTTGGAGCACTGCTCGATAGTCTCCCTAATCAAAAATACAGACAAAACCACCCAGATTTGCTCATTTTGAATACGGAAGAGTAATAAACTAGTCAGAAGTTATATAAATGTGTGTTATCACAAGATTTGTGTGCTACTGGGTGATCAAAGGGCTACGATTCATTGAAGTTTTGAAACAAATCTCTTATTTGTGATTTCAGGGAGTATTTAGGCTACCAAATCTTGTAAAAAGACTTATTTTATCGTTTCTGTGCGCTTAAAAATTATGTTACCTCATTAAAATTTTTTTCGAAAAATTGTAAAAATTACCAAACGGGGTACCCCATGGCAACTTTTTTTCAAAAAAATTTTTTTTTGAAAAATGAGGAAACTTTTCCAGATTGTAGAGAAACATCTAAAAAGACGAATCACATTTGAAAAATTCCGAAAAACTGTTATTAATCTCTTCAAATAGTCGCTCCAAAAGTGAGAAATTAGTACTAAAATCACTTTAAGAGCCTATAACTTTTTTGTGAGGGGCAAGGGGCAAAAAATAAAAACAGCACTGTAATCCGCGTGTCCAAAAATAACAAAGACCAAAGTTTGAGCAAATTCTCAACCACTGTCTGAAAACACTTCCCTTGTAAATTAAAAATCCGCCACGGTTACGAGATGCACAATTTTGATACCTACACTGAGACAAAAAATGACCTGATTTGCTTAAAATTGAAAAAAGTTATTAAGTTTTGAGTGAAATGTTTGAAATTCCGATGGTCCAGCTTAATCCTCTTGGTACGCGAGAACCACTCAATAGATTGGTCTGATTATTGTATCGACATAAATGAAGATCCCTAATTTTATTTTCTGTTTTCAGATTTTTTCCAGGTACACTGGTTCGAGAGAAAACGGTCAGAAACCGCACAAAAATCGGGAAAAATTCGAAAAAAAATTTGTCTAAAAATAAAATATCGTGAATTTGTCTCGAAAAATTTTTCCCTTCTTCTCTTGGAACATCTTCTCACTAAAGTTTTTTTTTACTTTTTAGGTGTTGCTGATATCTCTGATTGCTAATACATAAAATCCAAACATTTTAGAAATTATTCTGACAGAGCGCTGAGCCAGGGCCGCAGGCCCTGTAACTGATTCCCCTAAACTTCCTACTTGTAAAGTTACAGGGCCGAAGGTCCTGTCCGGTCTGTTCGACCTGAGCGAGCGGAGCGAGAACAGACTGAAACTTGGATTAACTGATTCCAAAAAGCCAGGGCCGAAGTCCCTGCATTTGATTCCACCTAGATGCGCGGCACAGCCGCGCCTAGCGGAGTCGGCCGTAGGCCGAGGACGCTAGTCCATTAAGTGTGTTTTTTGGGTATGCGGTAGGTGAAACGGGGGTCATAAAAGATTGATTGGTTCATTTTTCTCTTTTCTAGATGCTCTTCACTATTGGGTTCTGGGCCGTTTACGAGGTGGTGAAATAAGATGAAAAGGATTTTTCTTTTATAAAAAGTATTTTTTCATAACTCATAGTACAGTAAATCAATCTACTTGGAACTGTAATTTTTTTAGATCACTGAGAGCTTCAAAATGATCCTAAACACGGCTCTAATAGTTGCCTTTTGGGTCCATGCACCTTTAAATTTAGGATTTTCAAAAACCACCAAACCTAAGCAGGTTTATAGGCATTTTGAAACTCTTGAGGTTAGGGATTTGAAAAGCATAGTTTCAAGTAATTTGGGTTACTGTAGGAAACCTGTTTAACCTGTTTAAAAATCGACATGACATAATGAATCCTATCTTATTTATCTTTTTTGGTATTGTATATCTCCATAAAATTCTCAGGAATTTTTCTTGAAGTACAGTAACTCAATCTACTTGAAACTACATATTACATTAAATTTAAATCATTGAGACCATTCAAATCAGCCCAAGCACGTCTTTAGTAGCTGCCTTTTGGATCCATGCACCTTCATATTTGGGATTACTGTAGAATTTCTAAAAACCGCTAAACGAAGGCATGTTTATACTCATTTTAAAGCTCTCGACGTTTTCAGTTTAAAAATCATGATTTCATAATCTGGCCAAAAGGTATTTCATCTGAAAATCTGTCCAAACATGATCTAACATTCAACTTCATTTTTGTCCGTTAGAAAAAAAGTGTGTGTGCCGGATGAGTATAAAATTACAAAAAAAGAAGGGTTGTGTGAAAAAAAAATTGTGAGGATGAAAAAGTTTTGTGCGAAGGGGAGGAGTCGGTTTGAGATGGCGATTTTTGTGTGGAATTTACAAAACCAGAAAAGGAAAGGACGGAGAGATAGGAAAAGGAGGATAGATAGAAAGAAGAAGAAGATCCATGTAGATGTTGAAAGAGGGGGATTCAGAAACTTGTGTTGTTGTATCAAAAAGAGAGAGAGAGATCAAGAAATTTGTCAGTTATTATCACACCAGCAGCAGCAGCGGCCTTATTTGCGTCTTCCGAAGGACATGATTTGGCGTTCGTAGTCTTCAGCACGCTTTCCGAATGCCATGATTGGCCGGTCGTATTCCATGGCGGCCGAACGTTTTCCGAATGACATGATGTCGCGGTCGTACATTGAAGCTGAACGCTTTCCAAAGCTCATGATGTCACGATAGAAGTCGGATGGGGCGGAACGCTTGCCAAAGGACATGATGTCACGGTCGAACTGAAAATGATGGTGGTTCAGGTTGGACCATGGAAGGTTCAGGTTGATTTTGGGGAAGCGGAAGTGCAACGTGTAGATCTATGAAGCCAAGTTACCTGATGCGTGTTGTCTAATGAGATGACCTAACTCAAAACGTTGTCATAACATTATGATGAGTAAGTTTTGCTTTATAAGGTTCAGTAGATGTTAGATCATACAATAGATCTCTGAACAAAGAAAGTGTATCAAGGAAGTGTATATATCTCGAAACTTGAGACTCCCGCTAAAGTCTCAAGAGCATCTTGTGATTTATAGGGGTCTCGAAAGTTTTGAAGTTTGGCGGGGTCAAGTCTCAAGGACCTCAATGGTTGTAGACCTGGTATCTAGTACATACAGTATAGGTCTATAGGACAGTCGATTTTCGATCATTTTCAGAAGTCTGGAGCTCGGCTGTCAAGTTTCAAATCACTTTATAATTTTAGAGAATGTAAAACAGACTGACCGGTACTGTATATGCCCCAATTCCGAGTTTGTCGGGAACCGGTCTACCGCGGTCCAGGTTTTCGTGGACTGATCTGCCCATTATTTCGGAGATAAGCTCAGCAAAATAAGCTCAAAATCTTCTAGGACCGCCAGACCGCTGAATTCAACCCATCCTAGAAGATTCCCCCTACTCACGTTTGGCTGTCTCTTTCCGAAGGCCATGATTCGTCGATCGTACATGTCGGCGGCATCAGCGGATCGCTTTCCGAACGACATGATATCCCGGGAGAAGTCGTTGCGCTTAGCACTTTGATTCTCGTCACGGCTGCCTGGAAAATTCGAATTGACATCACTAGAATGGAAGAACTAGAAGATTTGGTTACAATTAGTCTATCAAAGAGTTCGAATTTCAACTGGTGGTGTTTGATTTTGCATAGGATTAGACTACAGAGGAGGAATGAATACACAAACGAACCTTGACTGTAGGCCAACGATGTGAAGACTGCCAGAATGCAGAGGATCTGAAGTGATCGGTGCATATTATAACCCTGGAAAGAATGATGGTGGGGTGAGGATGAGGTCCGAACATTAATGAAAATAAGATTTTAAGATTAGAAAAATGTCTTCAAAAAGAAGAAAATGTGAAAAGAGAAAGAGAGAGAGGGAGAGAGAGAGAGAGAGAGAGAGAGAGAGAGAGAGAGAGAGAGAGCGAGAGAGAGAGAGAGAGAGAGAGAGAGAGAGAGAGAGAGAGAGAGAGAGAGAGACTTTCAGGTATTTATGGAACCTAGATCCCACATTTTGAATCCCTGCTTCTTCCGATTGAGTCCTCGGGTTTCTCACATCAGGTTCATGGTACCTGACCCTTATAACTCCTAGAGCTACCGTAATACCTGGGGCCCCTGACTTTCAAATTTATCCTCAATTATCTCAATTCCTTTGCAAGATATCAAAAAGTGCCCAACTGATGAATTGTTCGTCATGATATTTATTAACATTTTACCACCAGTTGACACAGTTTTGATATCTTGCACATGAATTGAAATAATTGAGCTCAATGGGGCCCTTCTATTACAGGTTATACAGTGACTTCAAGATCTAAAAACCGGGGGAAAGAACCCCAATGAAAACAAAAGAGCCACCCGTCCCAAAAAAGAGCACATCCTGTCCTTTCGACTAGCGAACTGAATGAGCTTGTCAGCATCAACCTCGGCTCTTCCCCGAAAGCCCCGCCCCTTTTCTTGCCCCAATACACTTGACGTCATGGAGTACTTCTTAAAAGGGAAAAGAAAAAGAGTATCTAGACAAGAAAAAGGACCAATCAATCTTTTTATGACCCCACTTTCACCTACCGTATACCCTAAAACACCCACATAATGGATGACTTTAGGAAATTGGGTTTTCGTAAAGCTGTCAAAATGGGGAAATGAGAAAAAAAGGAGAAGATTTTTTTCTTGAGAAATGAGAAATCTGGGTATGGTTGTGGTGTTTTAATGAGCTCTTTTTTGTTTTCGAAAAAAGGGGGTGGAGCGTATTTTTTTTTCGAAAAGTCTTCCTAATGAACCACGCGTCATTACTGTAGGCGGTGTGGTATGACGAATATGTATGTTTTGAGGTGTTCGGGGCTAATTAAACGAAAGAACCGTATAGTAAGAATGGGAACACAGAAGTTGTAACGAGGTGTGACGATAGGTGAAATAACAAAAAGAAAACAAAACAAAAATAATATACATGTAGAAATGGACGTTTTTGAAATTTCAGAGAACGGTGACGGTGGGGGATTTAGGACTTACGAAGAACTAAAATCGCTGATCATTTCAGAAATAGACAAGACTTGAGAAAGATCAGCGATTATGAGAAATTGAACATCGAAAATTTTGAAGTTCTGAAGTTTTTTAGATTCTATGGATTCTGAAATTCAGTGATTCTAAAATTCCTGGACGGTGAAATTTCAAGATTCTGAACTTCTAGAATTCCTAAAGCCTGATATTCTGGAATTCTGAGATTCTGAGATACTGAGATTCTGAGATTCTGAGATTCTGAGATTCTGAGATTCTGAGATTTTTTTTTATTTATTTTACATTCTGAAATTCTTTATATCAATTTTCCGAAAATCTCAAAATTTTGAAAAGTCTCAAAAAATTGAAAATCCTTTTAAAATCGAAAAATCTCCAAAATTCTAAGATCTCAAAAAATTCTGAAACCTCTGAAACATCAAAATTCAGAATCTTAGGACCTCAGAATCTCAGAATTTCAGATTTCCTGAGATTCTGAAATTTTGAGGTTCTGGAATTCTGAATCTCTGAAATCCGAATTTCTAATATCCTGAAATTCCGAAATTCTAAGATTCTAAGATTCTGAAATTCTTGTGTTGAAAGAATACGTGTCTTAGAATAAATTGAAAATAAATGTGCTAGGTAGGAGATAATCTTGGGATTAAAAGTTTAAAAATCGAAGAAAAACTTTTTTTCTGGAGGATGAGAAGGAAGATGGAACGAATTAGAACGGAAAAGAGACTGCGTCATGAACTGAAATCTGAATTCCTGATTTTTTCAGGTTAAAAAGTTCGAATAAAAAACAAAACATAGCTTGTGTGCTGACAACGGAAATGCATTTTTGAAAATTTTCGGCATTCTTGATCTTGTAAATAAAATTTTTTCAACTTCAAAAATTTTTATATGGCTTCTGTATGTTTGTTTCCAGGGGGAAGGGATTTATTTTCATTTCAAAGCGGTTCAAAAAATTTATAGGAGTGATGGAATGAGTCCTAGAGTGCCCTTAAACAAAGTTTTATAGACTTTATGGTTTATAAAATAAACTAATAATTTTGAAAGGGGTTTTATAGTTAAAACGATTCCAAGATAGCCAAGTTTGAGAGGTTGGTTTATTATAGACATAAAAAATATATAAGAGCACTTTTTAATAATTGGAAATTGACGATGAAGATAGAAAAAGAGCCGTGGGGGGATCTTAGAATCTCAGAATCTCAGAATCCTAAAATCTTAGAACCTCAGAATCTCGGAATTTCGCAATCCCTGATTTTTGGAATCTGGAAATTAGAGAAATTCGAAATTTCAAAGAAAATTTTGAGCCCATGTATCTCGGTGCCCGTAAAAGATATCAAAACGGGGTCAACTGATAAAATGTTTATCATAAATTGAAAATTATTTTGTCTGTTGACTTTTTGATATCTTCAACAGGAAACGAGGTAATTAAGGGCAAAGAAACTATCTTAATTAACAGATTTCAAAATCAAAAGTTCCAGTGCTAATAAAGAGTGATGGAAAAAAATAGATTTTGGAATTAGGAAAAACTACGTGAGATGGTTCTGAAACCTATGGCCCTAGAAGAGCACTATAATAAAAGAGAGAGAGAGATAGAGGAAAGAATCAGTTCTCGCTTCTCGGGGCTCCAGAATAGGAACTGGGAGAGAGGAGCCTGAGGATCCTTGGGATCCTGGGGATCCTGGGGATCCTGGGGATCCTGGGGATCCTGGGGATACTGGGAGCCTGGATCTGTGATCCAGCATCTGGATCAGGAGCATGGTCAAATGCTAGTGGAGGATCTAGAAACGGTGTTCCGAAGTAGTCTGCTATGAAATTCAAGATAATTTTTTTTTCCATTCCTGGAACTGAAATCAGGCAATACATGATTTGAGCAACATGATCGTTTGGAGCGCTTCTGATGGTTCAGACTGAAGATCAGAAGACATTTAGTTATTGATCTTACCATTTATTATTGAAACTGGATTGAAATAAATGATGAATCATTTTCAGAATTTCGGAATTTCAGAATTTTAGAATTTCAGAATTTCAGATTTCAACATTTCAGATTTCAGAATTTCAGAATCTCGGAATCTCAGAATCTCAGAATCTCAGAATCTCAGAATTTCAGAATTTTGGAATTTCAGAATCTGTGAATCTGAGGATGTCAAAATCACAGAATCGCAGAATCTCAGAATTTCAGAATCTCAGAACCTCAGGATTTCAGAATTTTAGAATTTCAAAATTTCAGATTTCAACATTTCAGATTTCAGAATTTCAGAATCTCGGAATCTCAGAATCTCAGAATCTCAGAATCTCAGAATTTCAGAATTTTGGAATTTCAGAATCTGTGAATTTGAGAATGTCAAAATCACAGAATCGCAGAATCTCAGAATTTCAGAATCTCAGAATCTCAGGATTTCAGAATTTTGGAATCTCAGAATCTTGGAATCTCTGAATCTCAGAAAAACGTTCAGGACATAAAAAATTCTCAAGTGATGTACTAAAATCCAAAAAATCCGAAAAAAAAACTACTAGACATATTTTTGAAAAACCAAAAAAATTCCAAATGAATGGCGAAGGAGGCAAAGTAAGCGTGAAAAAATACACCAACGTACACATACATACGTATGTATTTTATGGTGACTTCACACGGGCTAAGAGCACAGAGTCAAGTGCTCCGTGAGCACAAGAAGATGACCATGAAAAGAAGATGTCATTGCTCTGAAGACGTGGAAAATTGGAGGAGGGGGAGGAGATGCAAAAATTTATGGATATCCGGGGAAATTGGAAGTGCACACGTATAGTGCACACGTATAAGGAGATAGAGATATACAAATTGCGTGGGGTAGAAATTGAAATTGGGCAGGAGAAATTGGAAATTAATGGGTTCGATATCAATTTAAACTAGACATGAAAACGGACCATAGCTTCTATTAGAATAATTCTCGAACCAACTAACTTAAGCATGACAGAACTCGACAAGGACTACAATACTATTTGAATTACTGTAACGTCAATGAACAAAATTACAAGCCATGAAGCTGCAAATGCGGGCTAGGCCGGGAACTTTGTTCATAGACAAGATATATCATTCCAAATAGTATCATTTTGTAGTACTATTTCAGTTCTACCATATCTGATGTAATTGGTCCAGAAATAACAATTCTAAAAGAAACTATGGCAGGGCCCGTTGTCAAGTCCGATTTAAACGAACTTTTGCATAAGACCAGGCATGGGAAAAAGATTTTGAAAAAGCGCGTCATTGGAGTGTGGAGGGTCCAAATATTTCTAGGAAAAAAACGTGAAAAGTGGGGTGGAAAAAGTGCCCGAGGGGGGCGGGGAGGTGGAGCACAGGCTTAGTATACCAATTTGGGATTTAGAGTTTTAATCCCTTTGCTCAAAAGTAGATCATTCGTTTTTTTTTGTTTGAGAAGAAGAGAAAAGTGATTCATTTTTGGAAATTTCTGGAAGTTTTTCGGTTAAAAGATTCTGAGATTCTCAATTTTTCAGGTTCTGGGATTCTGAGATTTCTGAAGGGATTTGAGATTCTGGAATTTTCGGATTCTGAGATTCGTAGGTTTTGAGATTTTGAGATTCGGAGACTTTGAGATTCTAAGATTCTGAGATTCTGAGGTTCTGAGATTCTGGAATTCTGAGATTCTAAGATTCTGAGATTCTGAGCTTCTGAGTCTCTGAAATTCTGAGATTCTAAGATTCTGAGATTCTGAGGTTCTGAGATTCTGAGATTTTGGAACTCTGAATTTTTGAAATTCGGA